GGGGAATGAGGACGGTTGTCCCCATTGAATTTTTGAATTTTTAAATAACTATCCCAAATTATTTGAAAAAAATATCAATCATGGTTATTTATGCCCAAAACTGGTATGTTCCCATTAACTTTTTCCAATTTTTATTTTCATAGAAAAGGGTAAAAACATTTTAAATATTTAATTTAAGATTAGTTTGAATAGTCTATTTATGCATAATTTCTAAATTTAAAATGTTTTATTTGCTTATTTATAAATTATGTACAGTAATTCACTATGTTTTAATGAAATTTAACACTATTTTTGTCATGTTAAAATTTTTCAAAACAAATTTAGGGGAGCTGTCTTCGAGCCCCGGCCCTATTCTTGCCTCCTGACCTCCATTGTTTTTGGATCTGCCATTGCGAGCTAGCTTGTGATGTTAGGAAATTTATTAGATTCCCGTTTTAATTGACTCATTGTTGTGGGACTCGTAATAAGGTTAGTCTTATAGTTATTATAAATAATGGGTTTGTGTTTAATGAAATCAAATTAGTTTGTCTAAAATTTTACGTGGTATCAGGGCACGTAGAACCTAGTAGGTTGTTTCTCTTCCTTCATCTTCGCTCACTATTTCTCCGGTGACGCTCACGGCAGCAGGAGTCTACCGCACACCTTCGTCGATTACGCTAGCGTAGGACTCATCTACAAACGTTTTGAAGTTGCGAGATCTGAAAAAGATTTTTTAGACCAATTTGGGGGATTAAAGTTCCAACGGGTCTGATGTGTAGTGGATACTAAACATAAGTGATGACGATGACAAACCACCACCTATGAGAGTAGAATGGCCCATCAGAAGGGATAAGACAAATAGTCATCAACTTCAAGAACGTTTGAGCCTGTGGTTAAAAGGGTTGAGGAGCTCGTGACTACGTTGCCGTATTTAATAAATTGCACTCAGAGAAACTTCACCTGAAGTAAAAAGCTACCGCGGAGCGACTAGAACTAGAACGTCAACGACTGTAGCAAATAGACTGAAATAATGACAAAGATCGACAATCTTTCCCCTAGTGGAGTGGGCGGTGGTGTTGAAAACGAGAGACATGATTATGAAGAGGTGGCTGGAAATGCGGAGGTTTTTATTTTTTTACCTAGTTTTAATTTTTTATGTATTTTTAAGAATGAAAGAAGTATCATTTTGAGTAACGCCATGCTAGAAATAACACCAACTTTGGCCTTAGATATGTCAGACATTTACTCTATATAAATTTGCATACACAGATCATAATGAGCTCAGAACGTAATTTTCAATAACAATTATGTCCTATATTTGTATGAATATGGGCATGAATGACATTATTGGTGTCAAAACTAGTGTTATTCTAACATCTTTGTTTTGAGTAATGCTCCAAAACACCCAAATAAAAGTGAGAGAATCAAAGATTTGAACTAGGAAGGTAGTATTGACTATTGAATGAACATTTTTTTTCTACCCAAATATGCGAACCGGGTTGTCGGGTGACCCGTTTTGTGAAACCAAACAGTCAATGAAAATGGGTCCCACTGGTTTTCCCCACGCGGCATCCATCCCCTTTTTTACAAAGAAAGCTCTCTGCCCTTCATATATCGCAATCAGATCTCACTTCTCTCTATCCATTCCCTTCTGTCACTCTCTGCCATTCCAGCCACCGCTGTCGGCGGCGCCACCACTTTTCCCGTCGTAGGACGCTGGGCATTTGTTGCTTCAGTCTTCCTCCTTGACTGAGGTGAGATTTTTGCAGAGATGGCGGGGGACAGAGTGTACCCGCCCGCCAAGAAGAACGTCGCCGCCGCGACTAACGGTTCCGTTCCGTTGCCGGCACCGAATCCTGCGACGGTCTACCCTCTAAAACCCCAGTATCGCCCCCAGCAGATGGTTAGCGGAGCCAGACATGACCGACGGCGGTTCAGCTGCTGCCGGTGCCTCTGCTGCGGCTGCTTCTGGGCAGTCCTAATCCTCTGCGTGCTCCTCCTCCTCGGCGCCGTCCTCGGCGCCGCCTACTACGCCCTCTTCCGCCCGCAGCGCCCGGAGTTCTCCGTCTCCTCCCTCAAGATCTCGCAGTTCAACCTGACCACCGCCGCCTCCGACGGAACCACCCGCCTCTCCGCGAAGCTCAGCCTCGCGATCTCCGCCCACAACCCCAACAAGAAAATCTCCTACACCTACGACCGGATCTCCCTGACGGCGATCTCCGGCGGGATCTCCCTCGCGAACGGATCCTCCCCGGGTTTCCCCAGCAACACGAAGAACACCACCGCGATCCACTCCACCCTGGCCTCGATCTCGCAGGTGCTGGATGCCGATTCCGCCTCCGAATTGAAGGCAGATCTGAAGAAGATGAAGAAAAAAGGGTTGCCGATCAAGATCTTGATGGACACCCGGGTAATGGCGAGCCAGGGCAAGTTGAAGAGCAAGAAAATCGGGATCAGAGTGACCTGTGAGGGAATCCGTAGCCAAACTCCGAAGGGGAAGACGGCGGCCATCGCCGCCACCTCCGGATCAAGCTGTAAGGTCGATCTCAGAATCAAGATCTGGAAATGGACTTTCTAATTTTAGAATTTTCGTTTTTAATTTTGGAATTAATTAATTATATACAGCACACTTTGTATTTTATTTTTATTTTTATCTTTAGGGTACGAAGATGAAATTGGGGAGAATTTGGGGGATATTTGTAGAATTGAGTGGAAATCTGGGGGGTTGGAGCTATAAATATTACAGTAATTTCATTATCTTGGGGGGTGGAAGTATAAATTTGTTACAAAGTGTTATTGATGTCAATGGTTTTTGTTAAATGCAGCTTTGGATTGTGTTTGATAACATTTGTTTATACTTTATACTCATAATTTGTGTTTGAAAGTCTAAAATGTGTTCCAAAAGTGTTGTTCAAGTAATTTTTATTTCAAAGTTTTTACTTTTTTTTTACTCTCTCCGTCTTAAAATTAATTTCTCATTTGACTTTTCACGGTCTTTAATGCGACACTTTGACCATCTATATCTCAATTTTTATATAAATATATTTTATAAAAATTATAAATTATAAAATATTGTATTCATAGTATGATGATAAATTTATACTCCGTAATTACAACAAAATAAATTGAGACCCCCTCCAAAAATGGGCCGTACCCTTAATGGAAACTTATTAAATGTTTAAAAAAGTCTACATTTCAAATGTAAACCTTAAGATTACAAAAAAACGCCTCAAGATTTAATTCATTTCTCGCTCTTTTGCAATTCAATAGGAAGTACTACAAATTTGTATTGTCTTATGTGTGATATCTTTAATGTGGCATTTACGTAGTGATGAAATTAAATATGAGGCTTTTTTTTAATGTTAAGTAGCAATTGCCAACATTAATGTAAACTTATTAAATGGTGATCATAAAAGATATGACATATATATAGTTCAATACAATTAATTACTAAACAAAATTGGTAACCATTTCTTAAGGGTATATGAGGCGCGGCGAGGGGAGCATGAGAGGACATGGTCGGGCGCCACCGCGAGATGCTGTGTCGCTCGGCCCCGACACCTCTACAGTGACCACAATGAATGCATGAAAATAAAAATATTTTTTTTTATTTTTAATTAATCAGAATTTAGTAGACATCAAACATCATTTCAATCGATCAAATAATTCAAACTTTTACATTTCATCACTTCTCTTCACACCCAGCATACTACATATTATTCTATCACTTCACATGATCACATCATACCACACACTTTACATCCAATCACCACTTATCCGGTTATCCCCCTTCAATTCTCTCATAGCACATACGCCTTGTTTGGAAAGAGCATTTTCAACCAGCGTTAGCGTTTTGGATAAAATATTCACGGTGTAGATTAATTTAGGAAATACTAATGCTAAAAGCTACCGTCAGATAATCTTTTAAAAAAACTAACGCTAATCTCTAACGTTGATGCCAAACAGGGACATAGTCTTAATTGATCTTGGCCTCCTTTGGAAATAGCGTTTTCGATTAGCGTTAGTTTTTTGAATAAAATTTTAATGGTATAGATTAATTCTGAAAACGTTAACGCTAAAGGCTACCGTCGGATAACTTTTTCAAAACGCTAACGCTAATCTCTAACGCTGATGCCAAACGGGGCCCTTGTTGTGCATAACAGAGTATATGACAAATCATTTGTACAAAGGCAATATGATAATTTCTTAAAGTTTTATATTTTCAAAAGTCAACAAAATTTAGGAAGTGCAACTGGAGATGGTGTGGGGAGCATTAGGGACCACGTTCATAAAATTGACGATTCCCATGACATTGAAGATCAATGTCATGGGATGACACGGGAGTGCCCCGATACCTCGTTCGTAAAATTCACAGTTTCTACCCCCCTAACCCTTGGTAACCAACCCCCCACCCCGCCCCGATCCGAACACATCCTCCACCCCCTTCAATTGCACGCCCTCAAGTTAATTTTTACTTAGGTGTTAAATTTTGACTCCTAAGTCAAAATTATCTTGGGGGTGCAATTGAAGGGTGTGGGGGATGTGTTCAGGTCAGGGCGAGATGAATGAGTTTGCTGGAGGGGTTAGAGAGTAGGAACCATCAATTTTACGAATGGGATACTGGAGCACTCCTTGATTCTATGATATTGATTCCCAATGTCATGAGAATCAAGAGGATGATATTTTTTTAGTTTTTTTACTTATATCTAGAGAGTTTTTCAAAAGAAAATGAAGAAATATCCTTGTTAAATATTTTTCCAAAAAAAAGTAACCTTATTAATCTTTGTTAAGTGGAAAGAGTAATTTCATACTTGCCATAATGGCAAGGTATTAATTCGAGAAAATATACCATATTTACCAATTTTTTTATTTTTGGACTTACTCCGTATTATATTCCCTTATTTTTCTTGCATGACCGGCCACCTCACCGCCCAAAACCGCCGCCGCGACGCTCTGTTTTCTACCATTCTTTCCTCTCCCCTCACTCTGTATATATTGTTAAAGTGCATCCCACATCGGAAGTTCAAGAGTAAAATAACCGGTATATAAGCTCTTGAGTTGGACTAACTAATCGATTGGATTCAATCTTTTAATGTGGTTCAACCCAAGTGTCTTATTGCCCAATCCAATTGTCCATACCCATCCTAAATTCTATCATGGTATCAGAGCCAGTTTTAGCCCACCTCGTTTGTCAAGGTGTCCGTCTAGACGTTCATTCCTAGCGGCCCGTTAGTCTTTAGCCCAGTTGTCCGTATGGATGTTGTACCCAACGGCCTGTGGCCTGTTTAACACGATTGCTCGTCTGGAAGTCCATACCCAGCGGCTCGTGGTCCAGTAAAATAACCGGTATATAAGCTCTTGAGTTGGACTAACTAATCGATTGGATTCAATCTTTTAATGTGGTTCAACCCAAGTGTCTTATTGCCCAATCCAATTGTCCATACCCATCCTAAATTCTATCGTATATACTCCGGTCACTTCTCCTACGAACAAAAATCTCCGTTTTCTCAAGAGGATGAATCCAAGGAAGAAAGGTGGGATTTGTGAGTGGGGGAGAAGAGCTGCCGGGAAATGTTGGCCGGCGGCGTTGTTTCTGGTGGCAGCTCTTTCATTAGTTTTCGCCGGCTCAAAAACTCCCGTCTGGCGGTTCGCTTCAAATAATTCTCCTTTGCGACACGGCGGCGTTGGTGGCGGAGGCGCCGCTGTTTTGAATGTGTCGTCGACGACCACTGCCCTATTGGAAGAAAACGTCGGTCAAAATATTTCAACCGTATGCTCTCCTTCTACCTTTTCTACCTAAATTTCTAAATTTATTTACTTAGGCAAATTTCACATAAATTTAAAAAAATTTACTTAAATAGGACTAACACATAATGACTTTTTCAATATAAGACCATATATTTTGTTTTCCGATATAGGACCTTTGGTCATTATCAATTAATTAGTCATTATTCAAGTAAAATGTCTATCATTACTGGACATTATTCCTCCCGCTACACATTATTATGTCCTATTTAGAGAAAAAATGACTTATGTTTTAATCCTAATGCAAATTTCACATAAATTTATCGGTTTTGATAACAATAAACAAGTACGACTAATGGACTGCGCGGTTATTTGGGGTTACTTTTAAAAATTGTTTATGAGTCCATGCGAGATGGAGTTTGATGAGGGCACAATGTTACATTATAAGAGTCTTAGTTAATTTTCTTTAATTTTGAATTTAGGCATCTAATAAATTCGGCATCGCGGGTCCCAAAAATGCTAGAAACAGTACTAGACGTCGCAGCAAGCTAGAGATTTTGGAAGCTGGGCTCGCTCGATCTCGAGCTTTAATCATGAGAGGATCAAACCGAACATCAAAAGACGAAGATGACGACGATGAGTTCATACCCGAAGGTCCAATGTATAGAAATGCTTCTTCTTTTCACAGGTGCTTGCTACATTCCCATAATATTTGTGTATGCTTCATTAAAATTCTACTTTTATCAGTAATAGTTATAGAGAAATGGCCATCTTACATCATCGAATTCAAATGGTTTAAAATTGTTACAACAATTCAATTGGAGCACCTACGATGTCCTGATCGTAAATTTGGTTGTTCATATCTAATAACCCTCAATGGAACCTTAGTCCACTCCAGCCTCCCTCTTAGTGACCCTGATTTGATCAAATCAGGGTGAGAGACAGATGAGATGAGTTATTTAAAATTGCAGGAATAATCAATTTTAAAATTATAGAATCATGTAAATCTTTTAATTAAATTGGTATACAATTTTATAACAAAAAATTAGTGTAAGATTATCCCATCTCATAAATATATAATCTTGGAGGATTCAAACTTATAGGAGCTACATGGAAATGGAGAAGAAATTAAAAGTGTACGTGTACAAGGAAGGGGAGCCACCAGTGTTCCATTTTGGGCCATGCAAGCACACCTACGCCATCGAAGGTTACTTCATCCAAGCAATGGACGTGAGCCCATTTCGAACCTATGACCCGGACGAGGCCCATCTCTTCTTCCTCCCCTTCAGCGTCACCATGCTGACGGAGGTGGTGTACATTCGCGACTCCCATGACTGGTCCCTCATGAAGAACGCCGCCTTCGATTACGTCAACGTTGTCGCCGGAAAACACCCCTTCTGGAACCGCAGCCGCGGGGCCGACCATTTCATGCTTGCCTGTCACGACTGGGTACGCTAACATATTGTTTTCTCGAGTGTTGATGTGAACTTTTCCTTTGTCGAGTAGTCGTGTGAAATTGTTTGTGAGTTCCCGTAGGGGCCGGAAATTTCGTTTGCGGTGCCGAACTTGCACAACAACTCCATTCGCGCGTTGTGCAATGCCAACACCTCGGAGAGGTTTGACCCGGAGAGGGACGTCTCCATTCCAGAAATTCATCTTCCTTTGGGAACGACGACGGGCCTGCTCGGCGGTCCGCCGCCTTCTAGTAGGTCGGTGTTGGTTTTTTATTCTGGAGGCCTCCACGGCCCCATCAGGCCGATCCTGATGGAGCACTGGGGGAACAACGAAGACAAAGACGTTCAGATCCATAGCTACCTCCCAAAGGGCCAATCGTATTACGACATGATGCGCAAAAGCATGTACATACACACTGATGCAATACTTTTAAAAGCTCAAGGATTATTGGTACAATTTTTAAAATTCATGGGGAGTGAAGAGTTTGTGGTCAATAGTGCAAAAAATTCAATAATTTTTTCAAAATGTTAAAACTAAACACTAGAATTGTGGCCAAACTTTGAACGGTGCAGGTATTGCATTTGCCCAAGTGGGTATGAGGTTGCGAGCCCGAGAATGGTGGAGGCATTATACACGGGATGCGTCCCTGTGTTGATCAAAGAAGGGTACGTCGTACCCTTCAGTGATGTGTTGAATGTGAAGACGTTCGCGGTGATTCTCAAGACGAAGGACATCCCAAACTTGAAGAAGATATTGTCTAGCATTCCGGAGAAGAAGTATTTGAGGATGCAGAAGAGGGGGATTATGGTGAGGAAACATTTTGAGATTAATAATCCGCCAAAACGTTTTGATGTCTTTCACATGATTCTTCACTCTATTTGGCTTAGAAGACTCAACTTTCGCCTTCGTGACAATCTTGATCATGATAATCTGTTGTGAGTACAAAAACATTAATTGTATCGTTGAGGTGATTACTAGCTAGCCTTTGTCCTCTGATACTAGTTCGCGTAAATATTTACTTTTTGATGTGCGAAATTGTATCAAAGCTTGTAAACTTTGAACAAGAAAAATGAAGTATACTAAGGAACTATTTGTTGTAGGTGTGGTAAGTGTTGTACTTTGCAATAACTTTTCTCTCAATCTCACGCACGTTTATAATATACTGAGTACACTTTATTAAAAAGTGTGAAATCAAAACAAGAAAAAATATCAAGACAAAGTGAGTAATTATAAGTGAAATTTGCACTAAATAGGACTAAAACATAATGACTTTCCTAATTTAGGACTTAAACTTTTTTATTCCCTAAATAGGACTTAATAATGACCTAGTGAAAGGAATAATGTCCAGCAATGATGGACATTTAGTTGAATAATGACTACTTGATAATTACCAAAGGTCTTACATTGGGAAAAATAAAAACATATGGTCCTATATTGGGAAAGTCATTATGTTTTAGTCCTATTTAGGTAAATTTCTCTAATTATAAATGCATTATTAAACAATAAGAACATGATAAAAAGAGAGAAAATACAACTACATAACAAGTAAATTGAATGGTGATTTGGGCGAAATGTTTGTCTTTTATTGTCATGTAGAGAGAGTTAATCAATGATTATCTGTGAGAGATTGCAGCATAAAGCATTATGTCATGAATGGTATAACTGAAACATAATCATATAAAATACAAAAAATATGAATGACATGATGTGGCAACAACAAATAAATGTTTTGACGAAACAAAATTATTATTTTTTATGACAAAATTTTTCTTATTTAAGAAGTAACTTCAAATTAATCACATTTATTGTTTAGTTGAACTTAAATCATTTTCTAAGAGATCTTATTCTTTAAAAAAAACTACAAAGCATAACTAAGGCACTCAAATCAGTTTATAGCATGGATAGTGGCGTGGATTTGCCACTGCCACGTCCTCAAATTCCTTAAGATGCAATGCATACACAATTTGCCATGCTTTGCAATTCATGCCCGAGTTAATTGTCTCTTTTCTTTTTGGTTTCTTCATAAAATACAAGATTTTTTAAATAGAAGTAAAGATGTCTTTGAAAAAAAATCATTGTTAATTGAAAAAAAGTGTAAAAAAGTACTGAGTAATAAAATTAATAACTTGTCATTGCATCACTTACTACTTCACTCATTTGTTAACTGAATTATTTTTTATTGATTACAATGTGTTAATCCACTGTGCCGGCTTGCTAAGGTGCGCGAGAGGAAGGCCCGAGATCTAGACCACGTGAGATGCGTGAAGGACAGCGATGGTAGAGTGTTAGTTGAGACTGTCAAGGTGGCTAAGCGCTGGGGGGAGTACTTTAGTGAACTCTTAAATGCGGGAGGAGACCAGAGGCTAGTTTTTGATGAGTTGGGACATCCTGGGGCATCTCGTGTGTATTGCCGGCGCATTTGCTTGGAAGAGGTGGTTCGGGCTCTCCGCGTGATGCGTAATGGGAGAGCTGTGGGACCAGATGAGATTCCAGTGGAGTTTTGGAAGCATGCGGGTCGTGATGCGTGGGTTTGGTTAACCAAACTCTTCAATGTTATCCTCCGGACAGCATGGATGCCTGATGAGTGGAGGGAGAGTCTCTTGGTCCCTCTGTTTAAAGGCAAAGGTGACATTCAGAGCTGCGAGAATTACAGAGGCATCAAACTGCTTAGCCACACCATGAAGGTTTGGGAGCGAGTTATCGAGTATAGGGTGCGGAAAGAGGTTTGCATNGGCCATTCATCTCGTGAGGAGGTTAATGGAAGAGTATAGGGCTAGGAAGAAGGAGGTGTTTATTGACCTTGAGAAGGCGTATGATAGGGTGCCAAGGGAGGTCTTATGGAGGTGCCTTGAGGCGAGATGAGTACCCATCGTGTACACTCGCGTGATCAAGGATATGTACGATGGGGCTATGACCAAGGTAAGGACTTCCGGGGGCGTCTCAGATTCCTTCTCGGTAGGGATGGGGTTGCACCAAGGGTCTGCTCTTAGCCCTTTTTTGTTCGCCTTGGTGATGGACGTCCTAACTCAAGGTGTTCAAGACGGGGTCCCATAGTGCATGCTTTTCGCGGATGATATTGTGCTTATCGACGACACGCGTGAGGGACTAAACGATAAGTTGGAATCATGGCGCCTTGCCCTTGAGACTAAAGGATTCAGAATAAGTAGGAACAAGACTGAATACATGGAATATCGTTTCAGTGGCCGGGATACAGAATCAGAGGTGGAAGTCAAGATTGACTCTCACCTAGTACCTAAGGTAGACAGGTTTCGTTATCTTGGCTCAGTAATTCAGGCGGATGGGGAGTTAGATGCGGATGTTGGACATCGGGTTGGAGTGGCTTGGGCCAAATGGCGGTTAGCTTCAGGGGTGTTGTGTGATCTGAAGATTTCGCCTAGAATGAAAGGTAAGTTCTATCGATCCGTAGTCAGACCTGCTATGTTATATGGGGCAGAGTGTTGGGCGGTTAAGAAGACTCATGTGCGTCGTCTGCATGCAGCGGAGATGCGGATGTTACGATGGATGTGCGGGAAGACAAGGTTGGATAGGATTTCGAATGAGGTTATCCGACGTCAAGTAGGTATGGCACCGGTGGAAGACAAGTTGCGGGAAGCGAGGTTGAGGTGGCTTGGCCATGTGAGACGGCGGGATGCTGACGCCCCTGTACGGAGATGCGAGAGGATTACAGTTATCGGGGGAAGTAGGGGAAGAGGTAGACCTAAGAAGAATTGGGAGGAGGTGATAAGACAGGATTTAGGACTTCTCGACCTGACTGAGGATATGGCCCTAGACAGGAACTTTTGGAGAACTAGGATTAGAGTAGCTGGATAGGAGCTCGGTGTTGTAGAGGTTGTTTTGTAGTGTGTTATATTTGTTGGGAATCTTTTGCTATTGTTTGTACTTGTTGCTTGTACTTGGTGCCTTATCTGTGCTATACTGTGTTCTCTTCCATATTTTTGTGCAGGTGGAGCCGGGGGTCTCTTGGAAACAGCCTCCCTACTTCCGAGTAGGGGCAAGGTCTGCGTACACACACTTGTGGGATTCAAATGGGTTGTTGTTGTTGATTACAATGTGTGAAAAGTCTTGATGCTCTCATACCTAATTCATAATTTCATATAGGCAAATTTATTTGAAGTTGTACACTAAAAATTCGTCTTTGACCTGGATTCGCTTCAAACTGTTAATGGAGAAATGCGGGGGTTGTATAAACAAAGATAAGATCTACTCCGTATATATGTTTCAGGTAAGAGTTGGGGATGGTTTTGTTTCTGATTCTGATTCGAATCGAAGCCATGTTCTTCACTCTATTCCCTTTGTTAATCCTCCTATAACTTGGTCGCCATAGCCTCGCCTGCTCAATTTTGCTGGTAGATGAGACTCGATTGATTGGAACATGCAAATTTTCTTTTTCCCCATTTTCTGTTTTCGAATTAGTGTGATTTTATAGGATTTGTTGCTAGTTATGAATGAATGAACGAACCCTTTAATAAGAATGTGGTAAATCTCATATCTTAATCTTAACAGTTGTTTTTGTTGTTGTTGTTCTCATGTCAAATTTGTTGACAGTGATGCAGCATAAAAAGCTGGTAGTGGTGAATACCCACGGGGAGAAGCTTGTGGGCACATTACATGAAGTTGGTTCTAAGGAGATTGTAATTGTCTGCCACGGTTTCAGGTCGTCGAAGGTTAGTGTAGAAAGTTAAACCTAGGGACTGCATAACTGGAAAAGTTCTTGTGTGTTGCTTCTTGTAATGTTAATCGTTATAAAAAATTAGATAAAGAATAATAGCTTTATAAAGCCTTGAATTGTACCTACTAGATAATCGTTTGGATTCAATCATTTAATGTTATTTAACCCGAGTGCTTTGTGGCCCGGTTGAGTGACCCATATGCGACCCTAAATTCTACCATTTTTCGTAACTTTTGTTTGTTTGTTTGCCGCAGGACCGCATTCCCATGGTGACCCTTGCTGCTGCTTTTGAGAAAGCAGGAATTAGTGCTTTCCGTTTTGATTTTGCTGGAAATGGGTACGTAATTTATCAGTAGCTTAAGCTGTGTTATAGAGGTAGTGAAACTGGGGATTATGCATCAAGATTAGGCAAAACCACTGGTAAAACTTTCATAAACTGTGCTAATTTATCAAGAACTTTGAACTTTGTGTGTGCATGACAGCGTCATGAATTATGCTTCTCTGCCATAAAGCTTGTTTGGTAATAGTGTAGGAAAGGATATCAAGCAAAATAAATTTTTTGCTTTGTACATTGGAAATCGAGGAGTAATGCTGAGGTAGTGAGGTGATTGGGGCAATTAGGAGAAGTGCAGATGCCCGGTGTTGTTTGAGTCAGGGGGTCTCCCGAAAACAACTTCTCTACCTCCGAGTAGGGGTAAGGTCTGTACACACACGCTCCCTAGACCCTTGTCTTGTGGGTTTTTTTTACTGAGTTTGTTGTTGTTGTACATTGGAGATCGAAGTTGGTGGAAAGCGATTATGAGTCGGAAATGTAGTAATTGTCAACTTGTGCCAATGAGGTACATAGATGTTGAACTTATTGATGTGTTATAAAACAATGCTAGTGATTGTCACTTCATGAGACAACAGTGAACTGTAAAATTTGAGAGAAACTTTGACATGTTTTTAATAAACTGAATAACTGTGGTTAATATTTATGCTGAAGAGAGAAATTCAGGGCTATACCTTGACTCATTTACGTCGATTTGGCATATTTTTCACGGTTGGGTAAGTTTCTGTTAAAGGGTGTTTCCATTTGACCTGGAGGTCACATGTTCAAGTCCCGGAAACAACCTGGTATAAATTTTCTTTTTCAGTGGAAGTGAGGGTTCATTCCAGTATGGTAACTACAGAAGAGAAGCCGATGATTTACGTGTAGTAGTTGAACATTTTCGTCGGAGTGGGCATATCTTAGCTGCAATTGTTGGGCATAGCAAAGGTATTGCAGTTGCATTTTGTGGACATTCCCTGCCTTTATTTATACGTCATGGTTTTTCTAATTGTTGTATTTTGACAGACAAATAACTCTAGTTGACAACGTTGAACAAAAATTATTCTAGGAGGCAATGTGGTGCTTTTGTATGCATCAAAGTATAAAGATGTCCCAATTGTTGTCAATATTGCCGGTCGCTATAATCTTGAGAGAGGGATTGAAGGCCGTTTGGGAAAAAACTATTTGGAGAAAATCAAGCAAGACGGATACATTGATGTTCGAAACAAGAGAGGTTTTGTCAAGTGTCAACAATGTCATAGTTCTTTCATATTGTTTTTGTTTGTTTGTGGTTTTGATGCATCTTACAAAATTTTCAGGGAGAGTTGACTTCCGAGTGACCAAGGAAAGCCTGAGGGACCGCCTTACAACGGATATTCTCACGTCGTGCCAAACTATCCTGCCAAACTGCAGGTTTTTCTAATTCTTTGGGTCTTTGGAGTCCGTTTTGTAGAGGTGAAAACGTTAAAACTAAGGCTGGTAGGCTGAAATAGAAGGCGTGCCAACCGCGGTCTTCATGTTTATGAATATCTGCAAATTCAGGAAAACTATCAAATACTAATAGAAACTCATAACTCCCTCCATCCCTCAATCAAATTTACACTTTTCTTTTTCATTCGTTACGACTTACAAATAAAAACTCACACTTCTTTACTTTCCCTTTACAAATTAAAACTCACACTTCTTTTTCATTTCTCTTTCTTCCAAACTAATTCCTACCATACATTTTCTGATTTTCAACAGTTTTTTTAACTCCATGAAGTCAAACTATGAGTTCAATTTGGGGACAGAGGGAGTAGAATACAGTATTTTCTCAACTAAATACTCCCTTTATCCCCAAATAAAAGTTAGGGAGGTAAAATGAAATTATTTAATTTATTTAATTTGAAATTAGGTCTAAAAGTAAAAAAACTAACATACGGAATACATAGTATTTTAAAAAATACTCCCTTTGTCTAAAAAAACTCCTTATTTCTTTTTCAGGACATCCCAAAAAGAAAGACCCCTCTTTTCAGTTTTGGAAAACTTTTTGTGGCTAGGAATCTTTCTCTCCTCTGCATCACTTTGAACCATACCAGTTTACTTTTCTTTAACTTTGTGTCAAACCAAATGAAGAACCTTATTTTGGGACAAAGGAAGTATATCAGAAGTTTTACAACACAAGAAGTGACATGATTATGTTATTTTATCAAATGATTAATGAAAACACATAAGTAAGCAAAAACTATCGTAACCCTGAAATAGTAAGAGAGAGTTCTACTTGGGGTCTAGAAAGAGTATATTAATTATTACTACTATTACTATATCTTACAACATCCAAAGTAAATGGGAACAAAAAACAACATACACTACAATAAAATGAAATAAAGAGTTGATGAAATATTAAGCATCTTCAACTTGTGTTATGGATGTTTGTTTTCCACCAGGGTGCTTACTGTTCATGGCTCAAGGGATGAAATGGTGAGCGTCGAAGATGCCTTTGAGTTCGCCAAGTGTGTTCCTACACACACGTTGCGCGTAATCGAAGGTGCAGATCACGAGTTCACCTCACACCAACGCGAATTGGCATCTCTCGTGGTGGCCTTTGTCATTTCCACTCTTTCCAACGAAGAAACGGGTGAATCAACTAACGGGACAATGGAAAGACCGATTCGTTCGCGAGTCTAATTGTTCTTGCTATTGATCTCACAAAGCATTATGGAGCATATATGTAAGGTTAAACTTGTGATCTAAGTTGTTTCTTAATCTTATTATTGTTGTTAATGTTGGACATGGGAGATAATGATTGCTCCAAATGCCTCTAATGAAAATAACAACAGACCCAGTAAAATCCCACGAAAAAAGACAGATATGGGTGCAGGGTTATCCATAAACATATATTCACCATTATAATAACGCCATAGAGTGATATGAAAAAGATATTGAGCAAAGGTTTAGTGGTGTACTTATATCACCACATGTACTTTTTTTTAATTTACATCTTCTTAGTGACCGTCCGGCTGGGTCTAAGGGACCCTCGAAGATGGGACTCAACCTTTTTCTTAAGGTTCATCTGGCTCTATCATTTTCTTAAGTTGTGTGACAAAAGCAGTTGTCACATAGGTATTGTGCTCCAATCTTAGTGTTAAGTACTCTTTCCGTCCCATTTTAATTTGCATGCTGTTTATGATATTTGATTGAATTTTTTTAAAATGAATTTGTATAAAAGTTGGGTTTGAATTAAAAAATAAAATATATATATCTAAACCTACATCAACATTTCTATGGAGTACAAAACAAGAGATTACATGATTATATTAGTTTATAAAATAAGCAATGAAAATAAATAAATAAATACAGTAATTAAAATTTGACCATATAAATAAAAAATACTCCTTCCGTCCACAAATAAATTTTATATTGCGCATTACGATGTTTGACTGAAGTTATTTTCAAATCATTTTATATGAAAAATGGTGTAGAATTGATAAATAAAAATTACATATTAAAAAACTATATCAAAAGATTTACAAAACTAGAGGTGACATGACTATTATTTTATCAAATGGGTGACGAAAATAGGCCAACAAAGTGAATAAAGTTTGACCCTGTGAATAGTGAACGTAAAATTTATTTGTGGACGGAGGGAGTATGTAATTTAAATTGCGACAGAAAGAGTAGAATGTATTAGAACTTTATTCCAACACCAACAATTTATCATTATTATACTTTCTTTAATGGGTAAATTACTTGATTTGGATTTCTCCATATCATTTCAGTGTCATGTCAGTTTTTTTATTTGTTCCATTTTCATCAAGAGCGATCCATGGATCATGGATGTGGTTTCCTTTCCCATTTGGTCATTCTTCTTTTTAAATACTCATTCGGTCCAAAACACTTTTCTTGTTTTGGTTTTTTAGTTAAACAATGACACTCTTTTGACCATAAAATAAACATAATCTAAATAAATAAATGTTATAAAATTTTGAAATATCAAAATTATATCTTAAGATGAAACCAACTGTGTTTAATTTATATTAAAATTTAATATAGTTTGCTCACAATTTATAGTAAAAAATATCACTATTTGACTAAAAAGAAATTAAAACAAGAAATGTTTTTTTTGGATCGGAGGGAGTATTTTTTAAACATTTTGTTAAATTTATTTTTCTAATTTTTTTAACATTTCCATCAACATTTAATAATAATAATAATAATAATACTCCGTAATAATCAGGGGCGGACCCAAGTTGGATCACACGGGGTCAAGTGACACCATGGAAATTTTAATTTTTTTATATAATACTCCGTGTGTATATATATATATATATATATATATATATATATATAAAATTTTAGTATATGCATGTATTTAATATATATTCTACAAAATGCCCTATGATTAGACTCGTATATGCTGAAGGAGTGGAAAACTCCATGCTTTGCAATTGGGCATGCAGTCGTGGGTTTGAAACCAGCCAAAGGTTTGGTTAATTATTACTCCGTATTATTTTTAGGAAGATGTATTTTTAAAACGGTGTCATCTTTCTTTCTCTTTTTTTCCGGTTTTGTCTTAAACCTAAAAATCTTCGACCAAATTCCCACTTCGCAGACGGAATCGCAATTCTCAACCTTCTCTGGACTGCCTGGACTCTGTCTCCGCCAGACTCCGGTGAGTGACGACAATACGTCACCCCCAATTACTCGATCAGATCTCACCTTCCATTGCTACTTTGCCAGATTTTTTCTCATACATAATTGAATCCAATTATCTAAATTGGATATTTCTTTTTTTATTTGTAAATTGTGAAAATTTTAATTTATTGTTATAAATTTGTTATTGTAAATAGTAGAATAGAGAATTGAATTAGGTTGTGTGAGATTTGAATATGTTAATATAATTAGGTTATGTTTTAAGTTTATAATGTTTTTAATTATTTTAATTTTAACATAGGATGCAAATGTATTTTAAAAAGGCACCAAGATTTCAAAAGAAAAAATCGAGTGAGAATCCATCAAATTTGAACGCAAATAATAAATCACTTTCAAAATATGAAAATTAGACGTTGTAAGATGTATTTCACATTTGCAATGTAGAACTATTTTTAATTAGTATTTTTAATTGTATATTTAAACTTTAATGTTATGTATTATATAATACTATTTATTTACTATTAAAAGCGTGTTGGTTGGATATAAAATTTCTAAATTGCGACTCCATGGTTCAAATGTTCTGGGTCCCTTTCTGGTAATAATAATAATGATTAATGATAATACCTGTCTGTAATAATAAAAGTACTCCCTCCATCCCAAAATATTTGCAACGTTTGCTTTTTTGGCAGTCTCGAAAAATTTTATTTATTTCTATGTTTTCATTCGTTATTTAATAAAATAAAACATTTTTGACATCTCTTATTTCTAATAACTTTTCATGTAGTTTTTTGATATGTAAATTTTATTTTTTATTTCTATACCAATATGTAAATAAAAAGAATTTAAAAAACTTAATATTTTGCCTCGGAAATACAAGTATGACAAATATTTAGGGAGGGACCGAGTATAATTTTGACATACGATTATTTTTGTAAAAGTCCGTTGTCCATTTCAGTGGACAAACCGTACAATAAAGAGGTCCACACACAATTGAAAAAGCTATAATCCGTGCAATGTATATGTACCAAATTAAAATTATATTATTATTAAAATATTAATAATCACATTAATAAATTATTACTCCGTATAATTGTCCGTATTGACACCATTACATAATAAATTAAATATACTACTTAAAGTATATTTAACTAATACTCCTTCTGGTCCTAAACACTTTTTTTATTTTGACTTTTTTAGATTAAACATAACACTCCTTGACAACAAATTGTAAGAAAACCATATTGAATTATAATATAAATTCAATATAATTCGGTTTATTTTAAGATATAATTTTGATATATCAAATTTTTATAACATTTATTCATTTAGATTATGTTTATTTGAGGTCAAGAGTGTCACTGTTTGACTAAAAAATTCAAAACAGGAAGAAATTTTAGAATTGGAGGAAATATTATTTTCAGTTAGGTATATTTAAAATTTAATTTGGTATAAAATTCAAAATAAAAATTATATATTTAAAACCATATACCCGTACAAAACTTTACAAAATAAATGAGTACGTGATTATTTTCTTTTATTAAAAAAATAATAAAAATACCTATAAAAAGGGTATAATTTATCTATAAAAATAGTCATCCCAGACCTTAATAAAAGTTAACTGGATTTTGAAATAATGCAAATTGTAATTAAGTATTTTTAGCGGGGCACGGTTCCATTGACACTGGTCAACGGTGTCACTGGCGATATCACCGCGTTTTTGGAGCACTTCTGATACTCAAATCTTAAAATTGATCATTCATACCCTTAAATCCCAACACCGTCTTACTCTAAGTCCGTTGCAAATGTGTGACTATTATGCATTAGGAAAGACCGAGAGTAATCTAATTAAACAGTTAAACCCTTTGGTCACATGTCCTATGAATCATCATCTTCTTTAGCAGCAAAGGGAGTGGCTCTTCTTCATTCCAGAAGCAGCAAAAACCATTCTTTCCGGCGGCGGCGGCGGGGTCAATGGCGGAACCGGCGAAGTACATTACGACAGATGAGCTGAAGAAGCACAACAAACCAGGAGACCTCTGGCTCTCAGTTCACGGCAAGGTTTACGACGTCTCCGATTGGGTCAAAACCCACCCCGGCGGCTCCCTCCCTCTCACCACCCTCGCCGGCCAAGACGTCACCGACTCCTTCGTCGCCTACCACCCGCCCTCCGCCTGGACCCACCTCTCCAACTACTTCAACGGATTTTACCTCCGGGACCACTCCGTCTCCGACGTTTCCAGCGATTACCGGAAACTCGTCTCCGATTTCACAAAAATCGGACTGTTCGACGAAAAGGGCCACGGCGTCCTCATCTCACTGTCCCTGATTTCGTTGATCTTCGCCGCCAGCGTCTATGGAGTCCTCTGCTCCGAGAATTTCTGGATCCATCTGGCGAGCGGAGCCCTAATGGGGTTTCTGTGGATCCAGAGCGGGTGGTTAGGTCACGATTCCGGCCATTACCAGATCATGATGAACAAGAGGTGGAATCGATTCGCCCAGATCCTCACCGGAAACTGCCTCGCCGGAATCAGCATCGGGTGGTGGAAATGGAACCACAATGCCCACCACATTTCCTGCAACAGCCTCGATTTCGACCCGGATCTTCAACACATGCCTCTCTTTGCAGTTTCTTCCAAGCTCTTCCAGTCCATCCATTCGTGTTTCTACGAGAGGAAGATGAAATTCGACTCGTTTGCGAGATTCTTCATCAGCCACCAGCATTTGAGCTTCTACTTCGTTATGTGTTTCGCGAGGATCAATCTGTTTTCGCAGTCGTTTTCCCTGCTGTTGTCGGCCCGAAAAGTGCCTGATCGGGGCCAGGAGCTTTTCGGTCTTCTAGGGTTCTGGGTCTGGTACCCGCTCCTCGTTTCGTGTTTGCCGAACTGGGAGGAGCGGGCCCTGTTTGTGGCCGCGAGTTTCGCGGTCACAGGGATCCAGCACGTCCAGTTCTGTCTGAACCACTTTTCGACCAGCGTTTACGTGGGCCCGCCCACGAGCAACGACTGGTTCGAGAAGCAGACGTACGGGACCCTCAACATCTCTTGCCCGGCCTGGATGGATTGGTTCCACGGCGGGCTCCAGTTTCAAATAGAGCACCACTTGTTCCCGAGGTTGCCCCGGTGTCACCTCCGGAAGGTGTCTCCCTTTGTCAAAGAGCTCTGCGCGAAGCACGGCTTGCCATACCATTGCGTCTCGTTCTGGGAGGCGAACGCGATGACCGTTAGGACACTCAGGGACGCCGCGTTGCAGGCTCGGGATTTTACCAAGCCTGTCCCCAAGAATTTGGTGTGGGAAGCTGTTAATACCTTTGGTTAGATCTTCCAATGTGTGTGGGGTTTTTTTATTGTTGTTTTTAAATTGTTGTTTTAAAATTGTTGTATGGCTGTTTTTTGCACAATGTTGTACCTAAACCTCTTGAGGCATGTTTGTGTTCTTTAATGTAATTTGGTTCCAATGAAATTCATGTTTTTTCAAGGAAAGAAATCCATGTTTCTTTCCATTTGTGTATGGCTTGCAAATCATTCTTGTTTTTTATATCTGCAATTGGAAGCAAATCTTAGTCAAGAAACATTAATAAGACAACATTGGTGACAAAATGTGGAGCTCCACACAATGTGGAGCTCCATTCATTCTTGAGTCTCTATCCTACCCATTCACTCATGTGTTTCAAAATGATGATTTGTTCTTTAATATGTTAAAAATGTTTGTATGAACAAGTATTACATTATACTAGAGTTAAACAAACAACAACAATAACAACTCAGTTAAATCCCACAAGAGTAGGGTCTGGAGAGGGTGTGTGTACGCAGACCTTACCCCTACTCGAAAGTAGAGAGGCTGTTTCCAAAGAGACCCCCGGCTCAACGTCGAAAGTTGCATTGCTTGACTAACTGCTACTTCATTAATTAAAGAAGCGCAGACAATTTAGAGATCCATTTTGATTTATTCCATCACACCTCAAAGCCAAAAAAAAGTGAAATTTTGGCTCCATCGGAGATGATGGAAATAACATTATACTAGAGTTAATAGTACTCAAAAGAAGGTTTTGTTAGTTCGAGCTCGGATACAAAAAGCAACCTTAGAATGATTCAAATTCAAAAACTCTCACAATGAATATCATAAGGGCATGTTTGGTTTGAGTAGAGAAAAAAAGATCCATTTGGGGGAGCTTTATCCCTTTCCAATCTTCTACAACTAAACATACTTCAAGATTTTTATCCCTTCCTATCTTTTACAACTAAACATTTTTGGCATAAGTCGATGCAAAATTATACTCCATCCTTCCCAGTTTATTTGTCCAGTTTGACTTTTTCGAGTCAAACTGGGCAAACTTTGAGCTTCAATTAAATAAAAACTGTAATGTATTTTAACATAAAAATGACTTTATTGGAATTATCGTATTGAGAACTTTTAAAATTGTATTTCATTATGCTAAGAGCATGAGCAATGACAAGTAATGAGTAGAATGCCACACGCTGACGTGGAGTATTTTAACCAATGAAAAACAAACTAGTCAGCGTGTGGCAAATGAGTGGAATGTCAAGTAAATATAATCGTGATATTCGATTATAGATGACTAAATATAAAAAAAAACTTTATTAGAAAAGACTAGTTATTGAACTTATTTTTCTTGAAATGTCAAGACAAGTATTATTTTTGTCTTACATAAGTATGTGTGCTACTTGCACACCACAAATGTACACCATTTGTACATTAATGTTTTGTATGGGTAAATTACTGGTAGATACTGGTACAAAATGTCAGTGAGACTCGTAACTAACATTTCGTGAGAGTGTATAACACTTCTTAGCCAAGAGGTACAAAGTGGTGTACTCAAATATGTGTGAATGATTAAAATGAGAGGTAATTATCAGGTGAAGTAACTAAATTATCTAGTATACTCCAATTGAACGCATTTTCTTTTTCATCTTGCCTATTCACAAAAATGATATTTGCACTTTAATTTTTTTTTATCGACATTCAAAAATGTACTACTCATCTCTCTCAGATGTATAATACGAGTACAATTTCGTGAGCCAATAGCAAAAAGTAAAATATAAATATCATTGTTGAAAATTGGGTTGGAACATTTACTTAATTGCTTGAATAGAGTAATTCTAGAGTTACAAACAATTTAAATACAAATCACACAAACTTATTATTTGTGCATTTTTCTAAGTGAATAAAATTATTTTAAAATTCTTTCTTTTGTGTTTCCTCTCCAATAAAATTCTGTAAGACCGCATACAGAGACCAATCATTTTTTACATTACAATCATCAACAGAAGAATTATTGCACGTGGGACCCACCATAACCCTTTCTACAAATTCTACAAAACAATCATGCACTATGGCCTATACACAATGAGTTCTACTACAAAAAAAACCTGAAAGAGTAAAGCAGGAACAGAATAAATCGCACTATAATCTTAATCTGGTCCTTAGATAAATCGTAGGTACCTGGCGTGCACAAAGAACTATCACATTCAATAAAACTCTCACAGTGGCAAATTGGCAATGTCGAGATTCGATCCTGAGTTATACTTCCTCCGTCCCAAAAAGTTTATTAGCATGGACAACTTCACTTGGGGAAAAGAATATTAGGGCTCCTAACATGAATATTCAAAGATGCCAATCCTATTCCACCATGAACTTGGGAAGATATGCTCCACAAGATATCATCATGACTGTTTTGCCCCTCCATCTCCAAACGGGGACGCCTCTTCGCCCTACTTACCCCACTACCCCGCAACCACTGGGACCCGCATTCTCTCTGCCTCCTCGTCCCACAAATACCCCCGTCCATGTTTTCAACATTCGTCCCCAACAGGTGGACTGTGGAGATTTTAAAACGAGAAAAGGGCTGAGCATTTGAACCGAGAGCGAGGGCATTTTGGTCCGCCGGACAAAAAGACCGCTCTACTTGGACCAGGGCGATCATTGGGGCGCCAACAATTTCCGCGTTTCTGGAAGGGTCCCTCAGCTGAACTCTCATAGCTAATGTGAAGTTCCTGTCTAGAAGACCATAGTTTTGACCAAAGGAAGAATTGATACCTGAAATTTTAGTACAATTTTCAGCGATCTCATATTCATCGACGAAACAATCTGCGTCGAGCCTCACCCATTCGTCCAATGACAGAGAAAGATTTACTAATTCATCAAACGTATAACAACGGTTATCTTTGTGGGCCCGGGACAGCCGGATGCTAGAAGGTGGTTCGGCATCAGACATGTTACATTGTATTCTTAAGCCTTCGATTGCGAGAGGCTCCACCTTAGCCAATGCTATTGGAAGAAGATTGTAATGAGAAACATAGTCCAGACCATCCACCTCACAGCATTTTTGAAATTCTTTTGGCATGTTCAATCTGTCAAAAAATAAATCAAAGGGGATATAACTACCTAAAAAGATAGCATGATGAAGAAAAAAGATGGACCAATTTGTTAAAATATACAGTATATTGTATGCATTTTTAGACCCCTGGTCATTGACATTTGAAAAAAAAAGTGCCTGGTTGTACTCATTGGTAATGAGGGACTAGAATTTTTATAAATATGGATATTTTGCATGTTTTGGTCATCTCCGATCACTAATCCACCAAAAATGCAAGGAAGTTCGCCGATTAGGTTGTCCAAAGAACCAAAAGTGGCAAGAAACAATCAGTCAAGCACCAAGAGTGAAAAAATTGAAAATCGAGGCATAAATGTGGAATGAGCAAAAAATATATTCACTCAATGGACACAGTTTAAAAAGCATAGGGAGTCATTTACAAACCTCTCGTTCGTCTTGGGCCCACATCCACTTTCCCTGGCAATTTGTTCCATTGTCTTGCCAGTAATATCATCCAAAGGCATCAATGTATTTGCCTGAACAGAGAACTTCTCAAGTCCCTCCAATGCCCATCGCTCTAATATCTCCATTATAGTACAACCCATCACAACAGGAAGCACAGCTGCGCGGGAAACTTGAACGATCAATTTTGCACCATTCTTCACACCCCTGAAAAGCAACGGGCTCATTGAACGCAATAATCCCTCGCTCTTGGTCCGTATTGTGGGTCCCAACCCTTCCCCTAGAGATGGCAGTTCCAACTGCTCCTCTGGAGGAAGATAGATAGGGCTTCCAAATCCACCCGAAGTGGAGCATGGTGACAGTTGAAATGACCTCTCATTTAACTTCCATTTACTCATTAGAGATTCTGTTTCCAAGTTCTCAAGCATTTTAAGATTCCTTTTATCTCTAATCGACGCCGTTAATCTTTGCTTCTCCTTCTTGACTTGTTGATTGACCACCATCAGATCAAAATCAGCAGAACTATCCTCTGGGCCATCTTTATTCTCAAGCATGTTAAGAAAATCATTTGCAACTGCTTCAGTTATATCATCCAAGGATTTCAAACTAGAGTAATCACATTGGCCAATGGACTCAAGCTCTTCAACAGTTGGCTCTTCTTCTTCTTCTTCTTCTTCTTCTTCAAGTTCATCAGTATCATAATCTTGAAAAATGTCAGCCACATTAATTGTTTCGACTAAAAAGTATCAGAACCTATAGATTCTTGCTCGGATTTCACCTGGTTTTGATTATACACTTCTATACCCAACTCACTCAAAGTAAAGGTAAAGTCTTCATGTTCTTTTGTAGTATATTTACAAGTAGAGTCCACCAAGTTTTCTTGTTTTCCTTCAACGGGTTTCCGAAACGTAAAGGTTATTGAAGGGTCAAATGCCGAACCTTGGTCACCGAATCTTTTTTCATCTAGTGGTATCTTAGGAACACCTTCAACAACCTTATTGTCTGCTAAATACTCTGAGTTACTGTTAAAGACAGAGAAACAAAAACTAACATTTAGCAAAGCACCTTCAGCCTTTCCTGACAGCTTAAAGCATGTGGACCACTTCCCTGAATTTCTTTTCCCTTCTGCTAATAATTCCTCCAAAGTAAGAGGAAGTAATCTCGTAAGGTCAATCCAGTGTTCCCCGATATCCAAGCCAGGAGAACTGGGCACAGAAGGCTTGAGCAAAAACAGCTTTGGCTTGTACTTTGTACAACCGTGGGGTCCGCTTCTACTTCCATACACAGAACAATGATGCATCAAAGTCTCTCTGAACTCAGCAGTTCCGCAGCAGACCTGAGCAGGCCGGGTTTTCAATACCGATTCCTTTCTAATCCAATTGACGCACAAATTAAGGTTGTTGAAACTCATGGGTAAGCCCTCAATAGCATGAATGTGGACGAAGAAGCAACAACTGAAGCGTCGATTGCGCATGTGGGCCAATGTTTTTAAGGGCTTCCACTTCCTCAACAGACCTAAAAATTTGGGCTTTGGATTGGAGATGTGTGCGTTGTTGCCCGGAGGTTTGATCGTGTGATATGATGGAGAAAGTAAGGCCTTAGTTGGAGCTTTATTATTATGTGCATAAAGAGATTTACTGATCTCTTCAATGTCTTGTAGCAATCTTCCATTGCTCGCACCCCCAAAATCATTCTTCACATATCGAACTTCATATGACATTTTTGTTTGAAGCCAACCACACTTCGACAACGAGGTTTTGAAATAAACTACAAAGTCTGAATACAAAACACAAATATCCACTTTCACCCACCCTTTTCAAGTCATTTTGCCAAACATATTCTCAGTTAACTTGATCAAATCAACTACATTGTTTGCATGACAAACATAGCATTCATAGACACCAAAAAGGAAAAGGATTATCAAACATAATAAGCTATTTGTACCCCAAGATTTGTACCCCAATTTGTACACCGCAGGTTTGCACTTTCATTGTGTCAGTGTAATGCTAAGGTGATAGTTCACATAAACACAAAATGTTAGTGCAAATTTCTGTTAACGCACCATCATTTTGTGTCAGTGTGAACAATCAAAATGTTAGTGTATACCTTTGGTGTAACTTTGGGTACACTTTTTGGTGTAAGTGTAGCATGGTTGATCACAAAAACAACAACAAACCTAGTAAAATCTCACAAGGGAGGCAAACCTTACTTCAATAAACTCACAGCTCAAAGTTACAAATTCAAATAAGGTTGGAAATGAACTAAATGATATACTCCGTCCCCCTGTATTTGTCCACTTTCATTTTTACACACCATCCAATGCACTTCTTTAATCCATTTTATCTTGTAATTTGTATATTAAAAAATTATAAAAATTATATATTAATAATCTATAGGTTAAGACAAATCAAACAAGATCACACATGACTATATTTAGGCTTACACATTGAGAGAATTTGAAGAGTCAAAGTGCTTAGATGAACAGTTCCAAAAGTCAAATGTGGACAAATACAGGGGACGGAGGGAGTATAAAACATCCTCTGACAGAGGATGATTGCAATGAAGAATCAGACATACCAAAGGTATATATAGCAACTTCGAGACTTGCATCAATAGATTCACACACAAATGACTTAATGGCGTAAAATTAAGCTTACCAGTAAGGAGATCTCTGGAGCGGTTGAGGAGGAAGAAGAAGAACCGCCGCTGCCGGAGTCAGGGGAGGAAGAACCGCCGCTGCCGGATGCAGAGAATATAGGTTTGCTGTGGGAGAATAATTTTGATTTTGTTTTTAATGGCTCTTATAATTAATACAATTGTCCTCCCAAGTCCCAAATGGCTTAAATTTAACTAAAGTAACCCAATTAATGCTTGAAGGTAATTGCTTATGAAAGACAAAGTCATTATTGGTGGCTTGATTTCCTTGATTGACAATAATTTGACAATAATTATTGTTTTGATACAATTTATGGTGTCCAATAGGACATGTTGTAATTGATTGCAACATGTTTAAGTATCAATAAATTCTTTCAAAAAAAAGTATTAATAAATTTACTTCATTATCATTCCAACCAAATCAACTACAAACACAATTATCATAGGCTCAGAAAAATATATTACTCCATCTGTCTCACAAGTCACAATACAACATGCAAAATCTTATCATTTTAAAAATCATTTTATTTAAAAATTGATGTAGAAATAAAAGATTATATATTACTCACTCCGTCACAAATTATAATGCATGTTCCTTATTCACATGGTCAAACTTCATTCACTTTCTTTCTCTATTTTTGTTAGCAATTTAATAAAATAAAGTATTATTGTCAATATTAGTTTTGTAGATCTTTTGATGTATTATTTTAATATGTAATTTTTATTTTTTAACTCTATATCATTTGACATATAAAATTATTTGAAAATAATTTCAGTAAACATCGTATACCGAAACATGCACTATAAATTGGGACGGAGGGAGTATTATATTAATATTACTTCTATTACTCCGTACTTATTTTTCCATTATTAATATTTGTTTTTTGAATTGGTATTATTGTTGTTGGGTTATTATTAGAAGCATGTTTACGAATTTGTCATTTCAATTAAGCGTCATAAATAATTAACGATTCAAATTAAATTTAAAAACGATAAAAGTCAATGTTACTATTTGATAGTCTTCTTCAAAACAGTAGAATTGCTACTAAACATGCACAGGGAGAAACACAAGTTTTTTAAACGAGTATAGATATTTTTTATGGGTGTGATTCTGAACTCAAATTTATTAAATCAACCCTCACTTGAATAATTTTGAAAATTGTCATTTAAGAATGAATTTAACAATTTTGGATGGAAAAGGTGGATTTAGTAATTTAGATTGAACATAATCACATCCGTTTAAAATTCAATAAATTGTTCCATTTTGGCAAAATTATACCCAGAGTATATTTATATGTGCTCATAATTCACTCATCTCAACAAGATATTAACTGCACTACTTTCGATTGATTGCAAAATTGCAACAACTTTTTACTTGAAACAAATAAAACAATCAAGATTCAATCAGTTAAACAATAATCTTTTTTTTTTGAAGGAATTAAATATTCATCTTAATATTAAGTAAATGTTTATCAATGACACATAAGAATTTACTCATCTTAAAGGCATCATAAAACTTGTCTGGTTTCTCAAGGGGAATTTTTGGCCAATATGGTTCCCGAAGCTCGACGGTGGCCAGATCAACGCAGAGCTCACTGCTCGAGGTTCGGGACCCACTCATCGAATGAGTTAAATCAATCAAACACGTCGGATGATCCACTACCCGGGGTGAAAACATTACAATGTACACTTGGTGCAGCAAAAACATAAATTGTGAAGTTTACAGACATAAAGGTAACATATCTACAATTTTTTTTTCAATTCATATATTGTTGCTGAATAATGGTTGTGGTTACAACCAATCAAATATTTTGTACGTAATTTCTCCCGAAATAGCCCGGTGCAGCTTAATAATAAATTAAATAAAAGGAAAATGCTAAAGTCACCCCACCCTGCTCAAAGACACCTACACACATTGAAAAACAGCAACGGGTGCGTTATGAGAAGGTCGGGGTGCCTTTATCATGGCCCTAAATGAGAATACGTACCCTACGGGAATGACAATGTTATAACACTGTCTGTCGGTGTGACGAGCGTTAGCTTTTGTTCTTAAACCTTCTATGAGCTTTCAAATCCACCACGATCACGGTTATGTTGTCCTTGCTACCCTTCTGGAGGGCGCGGGTCGATAGGTACTCTGCTGCAGCCTGGGACGCGGGGTCCACCCCTTCGCCTCTCCCGGGGAGGTGGGTCCCACCGTTGCTTTCGTAGTTCTTCTTGTGCCATTGGAGTATGCGTTTGCGCGCCAAATCGCAGACTTCTCCATTTGTCATCACGTCCCATAAACCGTCGCTCGCCAGAACGAGACAGTCATCCTCCTTGGTTCTTGGAATGAAGGACACTTCGGGGTCTGGGATGATCCAAGGTTTCAAGTACCTGTCTCCTGCAATTTTTTTATTTTGGTTTTTTATTGTCACTTTTAATACCTAATCCAAATCAAGAGTTCCATGAGTTTGAAGGTGAATTTATCCCCTAGATGGGCTAAATTGAAAATTTTGGTCATGTGAGAAGATCCCTTTCACTTTTTTTTTTTGGCAATTTTGGTACTTTGTTTAGGGAAACTTTAATTGTTTTCGAAAATCTCACGAGTCACCCTCCTAAGCATAAGTCAAACAAATCAATTGTTGTGTTTATGCACGCACGGGCGACGCGTGAACTTTGAGACCAATTTTGCCAAGTATGTCTGCGTGCATGACCAAAATTGCAATTTAGCCCCCCAAATGTTTGGTCGAATTGCCAACAGCCCTCGACGTTCATGAGAATTGCAATAAACCCCTTGATCGGTCGGACTTCCCACAAACGACGCCGAAAGATGACATATATATGATACAGAGCATAATGGTATTTGCAGGAATAAATTAAAGTTCTTTCATGCTACTAAATTGCACTCCTAATGCTTGTCTTGGAACTGAATCGTTTGTGGAAAGTATGACTGACCAAAAGGGTTTATTTCGTAATTTTCAGAAACCTTACGGGCTTTTTGGAAAACTGCAAGTTGTAGTAGCCAGTAGATACATACATACATACCTATGGACCTTGACATTGCAAGAACACCAAAAACACGATGTCCGTTCCACTGTATCACTTTGCCCCCAGCTGCTTCAATCCTTTGATATTCATCCTCTCTGTTTGGCTATGTATAATATATATATATATACAAACATAAATGGAAGAAACAAAATTCATCGAAGACTACTCTCTCCATTCCATATTAACTGTCATTTAAGGCTTTCATGATACATTAAAAAATGAATGAATGGAGACATAGAGTATGTCTACATTCATTCATTTCTTAATGTGTCTTGAAAACCATAACGGAAAGTTAAAGTCGAAATAAAATTGTGTTACTTTGTGATCCACAGATAATGCCATAGGTTCTTTCCCGCGACAGAGAACCGCTCTTGAATCGCCACAGTTTGCCACGATAATATGAGATGAACAAACAAGGGCAACGACCGCAGTGGACCCCACAGTTTCTGGGGCAACCGGTTCGACACTCCCCTGCCCACCAACCTCGGCATCAACCTTCATGAAACAATTTCCAAATGCCCTCCTCCATAATGCTTGGGCATTTTCGGTATTTTTGTTACTCAGTTCAATACTCAGCTCTTCGGCCAATGCGGCGTGAATTCGATCACGACAGTAATTTGCAACCTGAAAAATAATATGTGGTAATCAATATCTTGGGAAAAAACTGAGGACTAAAACAGAAATTAATTAATGGCTATTTTTAGTCCGTTAACTTTGGGAAAAACTATCCCTATTCGTAAAAGATGTTAAAGAAGATTACAATGTGGGACAAAAAATGCTAGAAGAGATCAACCTGAGAGCCACCATGACCATCATAGACTCCGAAGAAATGAGCGGTCAAATGACTTAAATGCCCTCTCACCCCATCCACCATACGATTGCCAATTAGCATCTCCAATGGAACCTTAAAGAACCTTGGCACGGTTGAAACCGCATCTTCCATTTCTGCCCTCCTTCCACATACGGATACATACCCCCAAAGCGGGACATAATCCACTTCAAACACACTCCGGATCACAGTCCCACCACTTGATCCTTTATCCAAAACAGGCAGTTTTGCGTGGGACCCATCAGCACACGCCAACTCAGCCAACAAATCATCATTGCACACACTACTAGTATCGCTCACGATGGACAAGGAGCATGATGAGGTGTCCAGATTCGGATCATCGTCTTCACTTTCCCGGGCAATGCTTGAAACCACGACACTAAGATCGCTTTTAGAATCACTAATCGCGTTTAGATTCGTGACATCCATATGGAATTGGTTATCACAAACAAAGTTACCCAAACTAAATGGAACCACAACCGCCGGATACATCTCCTCCATCGAAATCACTATCACCAGTCATTGTTAAGCTAACTTGTCTCCTTCCTTGAATGCCAAGAACAATCCTGAAGCAAAAATCAATGCCATCCAACCACCATTCTCCATATTATGAAGATCAGAGATCTAACTATGAATCATAAAATCCCCCAGTTCTCATGACGGGGATCCCTAGTCAGATCTGGTAAAAACACCCAAAAAGGAATAACATAAACAAAAAATTGCGGGAAAAAAGCCTACAAATTAAAATAATAAATAAATTATATGTACCCTTCTTTATCCACAACCAAATCATACACTTAGAAGGAAACACAGCTCAGAAGATCCTTAAATTCACACAGAGAACATAAATTCAAAAATTATGGACACAAAAAAAAAAGAAATGGAAAAAAGAAAAGAAAAGAAAAAGAAGAGATGGGCATGTGAAAGAACCTCGGAAAGGCAGAGCCAAGTCCAAAGAATCACAAGAATACTTTGACAGGGGAAAAAAAAGAAGAAAGGAAAGTAACCCTTTTCTTCTTCTTCACATAAAAGTTTCCTGCCCCCCTTGCCCTAGATCAGAGGGCATCCCATTTCTACCCTTTTCTTGAAATCCGTACGGAAGAGTATCTTTTCTTTTTTTCTTTTTCTTTCTTATATTCGCACAAAAATCATTCTTTACAGACACCCTTTCGCCAATTGATTGCCCCCGAAAGAGATTAAAATAAAAACTTGAGTATAATTGTAATAAAAAAAAGAGATTGGAATGCAAGAAGAAGGGTTGAAAGCGACAGTACCTAATCTTTGCGTGTTCCAGGATTTGCAAGAATGGGAGACAATGGATCACAAGCCCAGATTCGTAGAGAAATATATGCATCCTGTAATGAAGAGAATACAAAGAACTGTGGGTGCTTATACAGTTCAGTCGTCAATCGTCATCACAATACCAGAACCGTGGGTGTTTACTTTTTTTTTCTTTAAATGCTCCCCCACTTAACAAATAATTCCTCTCCCACAAAAAAAAACACTTTGTGCCAGACTAATTTTTTTACTCCCTCTATCCCAAAATATTTACCACACTTACTTTTTTAATAATTGCGAGAATTTTTGTTTATTTCTACGTTTTCATTGGTTATTTGATAAAATAAAATATTTTTGACATCTCTTATTTCAAAAACTTTTCATGTCGTTTTTTTATATATAAATTTTATTTTTTATTTCTATACCAATATGTAAATAAAATGAATTGAAAAAACTTGATATTTTACCTCAGGAATACAAGTGTGACAAATATTTAGGGACGGAGAGAGTAGTTCCTATTCTAGTCTCAAGGTAATAATGCAAGTATGCATCTCTTTAATTGATGATTTCATAAAATAAAATATTCATGTCACATCTTACTTTACAGGATTTTTGATATAATTTTGAACGATATAATTTGTACTTTTAATTTTTTGTACCAATTTATAAATAAAATTGTTTTAAAAGATATGAGGATTTTACACATTCTTCCAAATGAGAAAATTATATTGGGATGTACCGTGTACGGAGTACTATGTAGGGAGTACTACTCTCTCTGTCCCATACTAATGTTTCATAATTGACCGGATACAAAAATTAATAAAAGAAAAATTTATGTTGAAATTGGTAAAAATGAAATGATATAAGCCACAAAAAATTGTCTAATATAGAAAATAGAGTATTTTTGGGACATATAAAAAAGAAATTGTATAATTTCTTTTTGGGAAGGAAGAACTACCAAAATGCATCTCAAAAAATATTTTATGTTTATTTTACTTTTTATTACTCCCTCCATTCTAATTTATACAGCGTGTTTCGGTTTACCATCTTTGATTGAAATTATTTTCAAAACATTTTATATGTAAAATAGTATAGAATTAAAAAATAAAAATTATATATTAAAATATTACATCAAAAGATCTACAAAACAAGTAGTGAGATGACTATTTTATTTTATCAAATGACTATCGAAAAAAAGAAAGAAAGTGAATAAAGTTTGATTCTCTGAATAGTAAACATGCAATTTAATATGTGACAGAGGGAGTAGTGGATATGTGAGTTATAAGATTTTTTGTCTAAACAAAATTTAATTATATACTCCGTATTTTTTCATTTTTATTTTATTTTTTAAAAGTCAAATGAGTAAAATTTTGAAACAGGAAGTACGAGTTAAGTTTGAATATATCCATTAATATTGATTAAAATTTTGTTTTTCTTTTAGAGAAAAATATTCCGTATTAATTAAGAGTTCAGAGGGTAAGCAAATTAGTTAGATTATATAGGGTATTAAATTTTGTTATTTCTGAATTTGAGATATTCATATGCCAGTTGGAAAATGCATTTTTATACTTTAATGTCTAAATACAATAATAGATTATTAGGGTTTATTAGGAGTACTGAATTTTAATTTATGCTGACACTTTTATTTTGCATAAAATAAACTTAGCATGAAGTAAGCTTCCTTTATCCCAAAACTTTCTTTAGGCAAATGATAGGTAATATTAATAAGTCAAATGGCAAAAAAAACAGATAAGTTGTTTTAAACATGTTGTACCACTAATTTATGTACAACTAGCGCGTGTACGATGATTTTTGGAGATTTCATCTATAAAGCATCGAAATGGTTGTTTACGCACAAGTTAGAGAATATAGACACGTACTAATCACTAATCACTTGAAAATGTTTAGGAGTCTACAAACACTTTTGAAAAGATATACGGAGTAAGAACTTAGTAAGTCACTTATCCTAAAATAAACGTGACAAGTTGGAGTGGTTCATCTGGTCACCACCTCCAACACTTAAGACTCTTTCGATAGATGGATAATTTTATCCATCTCTCAATCTCTAAACTCCTAGATTAGTTCTTTGGCCAAATCAATTTTGTATGTTTCATTTCCGCCCCTTGTGTGGAGCTTGAGTCTATCACTACATGAAGACTCTTTGTGCGTAGAACTGTATATGCTAAATATGAATCTGAAGGGCGAAACAGTTTAGACTTCCCTCATCTAAGATTCATGGGGCGAGATCTTAGAAGCCTAGAATTAATCGAGCGCAAGTTGAAAAACCTAATGTATCAAAAAATAAGTACTCTATGTGTAAACCTTATAGGTTTACTTTCTTACTTGAACACATATGAACGGCAAAGATTGGTTAGACAAAGTTAAGTTATACTCTCTGCATTGACGTTGGATGAGAGTGACATGGGATGGGTAATAGACAAATGATATTGTGACAATTGACAAGACAAACTCAATTGCACTTTCACTTATTAGTGGTTTGTGTTGAGTTGGAAAACCATTTCCCCCATTTGAACCACCAAAGCTAGCCTCCCTCGGATCCATCCCTCCCTTCAAAAGGTGCTCAAAAAAGTGTCAAACATAAGAAAAAAAACAGAATTATTTTCAAGTTTTACAAAAGATTTGAGTGTTTCTCCAGTGCATATAGAAAGACGAGAGCGAGAATCAATTTGTACCACATACAAAAACAACTTCAAGTAGTTTTTGAAAACTAGAATTCATTTGAAATTCACTAAGTTTTGTTTGGGAAATCATAGAATTTCAATTCTTGAATTTGAATTTTTGAAGTCTGCAAAGACGGGAACAGAAGTGGATGATATGTATGGAACTGTTGTTGCATAAGAGGAGATTACTTTTTAATTACAAGTTATAAATTTAAGAAAAGTTGGGCTTGAATTTGTAATTGACATGAGGAGAAGTGTGAATTTGTAATTGACTTAATTTTTATTGAGAGTTCCCAAACAAGAAATTTGGATCAAACCTAGATTTGAAATCCAAATTTAAATTCTCAAACATACCATCAACTTATTTCTATTAAAACTTACGTTATTTTTTCAAACGGCATTCGGTAAACATTTGGATTAAAATTTTCCGATAACAAACAATTTGTTGAAGTAATGACACACTCCATGCCTTAAAAGAATATATAAACTCCCTCTGCTCCTTCCCAATGTATGTTTTTATTGTCACTTATTTGACTGGACAGATTAAAAAAATGAGGACAATGTGATTTAAATTTATGCAAAATAGAGACAGGCAGTATGAAATCTACAATGTTTTCTACGGAGTAATGATTTTTTTGTGTTTGAATCTATATTAAAAATTCTTAAAAATTAAAGGCCCCAACCTCAATTTCGGGTGGGCGCAATAAGAACAGCTCAGGTTTCTAGTTGTCCCAGCCCCAACCTCGGTTTAGGAAAACAGGGCGGGATAGTTCGGAACACCACATTATTCCAATTTGTCCTATTTTCTTCGAAATCGGAACAATTTGAAACGTTATGGGATATCCTAATTTAATTTTTTTTATATAAAATGGAAACATAAAAATTTGTAATATGTCAACCCTAAATAATAATTGGAATGTTTTATACAAGCATCTTAAATAAATTCTCAAATAAACTGCAATAAAAACAAATATAAGCATAAGGAAGGTACTAAGATTTTAGCTTAGAAATCTTATAAAACTGGATAAAGAAGTAATGGGGCATGATATCAAAGATGAAAGTCCTGGCTCAATGAGGCATGAGAGAAAATATAAAATGAATTTAAAGAAAAAAGATTTTGGCAACCAAAAGATTGGACTTTTTGACAATGAACATGGCAATCACAGCTTTTCTATAGGGTGGTGTAAACCTAACTATAAAGGGAACTTCACTTTGCTAAAAGGGAGAAAGGAAGAAATAGATTGCTCCATTTGTCCCCAATTACATTTTTTTAGGATGTCTCAAAATAAATTCTCAAAATTGTGCAACTAATACTACCTCATTCTCATTGTATTCGTCTAATTTGACTTTTCTGAGTCAATCTGGACAAACTTTGGACATCAATTAAATAAAGATTGAAATGTGTGCTAGTATAGAAATGATTTCATTAGTTATATTTTGTTGGCACCTTTCAAAATTTGAATCCATTGTATTAATATAGAGTATAATACAAATTGAGAGTTTTTGACGATTATAGTTCGTCCAGTTTGACTCGAAAAAATCAAACTAGACGAATACAATGGGATGGAGGAAATATCAACCACACAATTTCACTTTTTAAAACTTTGTGAAATACGGAGTAGCGTATAAGAAGGGGACGAGGGGAGTATATGATTCGACAATCAAGTCTGCACATAAAAACATGACAACATCAAGAACCCTGCAATTACTAAAGCTTTTAAATAGCCACCAGTAGAGATTGGTTTACACATAAAATGAGAATAGACCCTCTACCTAGCCTGGCAGAATGCAAGAGTGTGTGTGTGTGTGTGTGTGTGTGTGTGTGTGTGTGTGTGTGTGTGTGTATTATTAGTTTATATATATCAAATGGCCCAACCATAAACTGCCACAAGAGAAAGCAAAGTTTCAATAATTGCCAACCTGGGCAGCTGGGACGCAAATGACACCCACCTATTCTATGCTTCTAATGCACAAACCCTTCTTTCTAACTACTACTACCACTAGTAGTAGTGGTAGTAATAGTGGATTTCATGCCCTCCTTGAAAGTTATATTGAATCCAGCTATTACATTGTTTTTCAAGCACACTGTACAATTACACGGAGGGAAGTTCAGTAAATTTAGGAACAAGCGTAGATGATGGAGCAGGGACGAGCAAACCTGATCAAATAGGCAGATACATGCTACGTCCCATTTGTAGGTTTTGAAGAACTGGTCAGCCTTTGTTATGGTAACATTGCATCACATGTTGATGTGATCATGTGTATGCCTGTTTCCCCTGCTGCTGGTTTGTTCGTTCCTGGATTCTCTTTTGAATTGCCTGGAGATAGATAAAGCAATGAGTCTAGATTTTGCAACTTATGAGTTTCATGATGAATTTTTTTTCACTTTTGTTGGTCCACACGATACCATTAGGTCGTTCACGATTCATTTCTCTGATTTGGTGCTCACAACTTATGGGTTTTGTGGTGAAATTTTTCCCGATTTTGTCCCGTTACTATTAGGATTTTCCCTGTTCTGGTCTCATTTTTTATCTTTTGGACCCCGAGTATGAATTTCTTGCAACCTTTGATCCTTTCTGGTCGATTATCTCGTGAACCCTAAACCCTAGGTGCACCAAAAGTGGAAAGAAATCTAACCCAAGTGGAGTCGTGTACCAAAAGTGCATAAACCCTCTCTCTCAAGAATGTGTGTGGGAGTGTGGTCCTACAGTCTTGAGACCCATTTGAGTATCACCCGCTATAGAACCATTGCAGAAAAATCTCAATTTGTTTTTATTTTTTTGGGAGTCATTTTGTGGGATAAGAAAGTTGGATTGCAACATTCTGGAAAAAAATAATGCCCAACACATTTGTTGCATTGTTTCATATGAAAAATAAAAAATGTAAGCACAGCCGCAAAGCCTTCCAACAGGGTAATGATTAACTCACCGGAAGAGTTCAGTAGTGCCTTCACCGCATCAAAGTTTTTGTATGTATACCCCACGAAACTTAAATCCTTGGGAGTCAGTAACATCTGAGGGTAAGATAAACATTCATTCAACATCATTTAGAACATGAAAAAGTTTATAAAAAAACAAATTTATAACATTACACCAACTTCAAGGAGCTCTTCTAAAGCACTTTATGGCAGTTTTACCTTACCAAAAGTAGAAAGTTGTACATTAAAGAGGAGTTGAAACATCCAGGTTCAGAACCGAAGTTACAAACCTTACGTGAAGGTCCAGAGCCAGTTCTTGCAGGTGTCGGAGGATCCAACTGATGAAAAGTCCAGAAGTTTAATAATACAGTTAAGACTTAAAACACTCATCAAATATAACATGATACTCTGAATAAAGCATACAATGGTAAAGAGGAAGCATTGGGTAATGTGCACATCTAGAAGAAATTTCTAATATTGAGAAACCTGTCAAATATAATAAGTCAACCATATTACTGCAGACTGTTTAAAAAAGAATCACCAATCTCTGTGGGTTAAAGCCGGAAGTGGAATCTGATGTTAAAATGGAAACTCAATGTTGACTCTAGAATACATCCCAGACTGGTCTAAAAATCCCAGCTCCACCTAACCCTTCCCAAGGCTTGCCTAGGAATTCGTAACTTTTTATAACATTGATCCTAGAACATGGAAACAACTCTACAGCATATTTCACGATGAATCAATGCACAAAGGTTGAGATATCACCATGATCATCTTTGGGGATATCTCGTGAGAAAGAGTTAGGCACAAAGAGGTATGATTTTGATTATGTACTATGGAAGTGCATTTGAGAATTATTTACTGCTGATGTTGGTTGGGCTGGGACGCTGGGTTGGGTTTGGTTACTGTTGAATAGGGACTCAGGATGTTTGATCAGCAGAGAATATGGCATTTATCCATTACGGATTGTAACCCTAGAGTTTGGCATGCCTGAGCTCAACCCTTTACAAGACACTAATGAAGATAACTCAGTAGAATATCTATCTACATCTAAGTATCTCTAACTCTAAGATAGGACAAGTCACATTTCAAGAGGAATTATATGATCAAAGAGAAACAAGATCATAATCACGAATTTAGTGTGAATACTTCATCAAATTTCATAAAATTTTGAGTGTCCAGCTCCCCGTTGATTTCTGGTTTGAATGCAGCATTCATGTCATACAGCTTCTCCCACATGATACCCCTGAACCAAGGATGAGCCTGATACAAGTTGTATGTAATGAGCAGTGAAGAAACTGAAAGGCTGGTGCTAAATACTCTAACATATCAAAATAGTACCTTGATTTCGCTGGCACCACCAGTTCCAAGTCTGTTATCTACATCACATATTAACCTACATATTAGATCCTTTGCTTCGGGTGACAATTTCGCATCTTCGGGAAATTTTAGGTGATATCTCCAATGAACTATCTGCACCAGAATGTGATCATAATTCAAGATGCAGACATTAATGAAATACTTCAGAAAGAAGTGGCAAAGGTCACTCAACAATTCAGTATGCTAATGCCTAATGGCATATGCATGAAATGCTGTTAACATGTTACGAAGATAGTAGATTTAAGATTTCAGTTACAAATGTAGAATAAATCATAAATGTTTCTGTTACATATTTAATTTACAGCAGAATCCAGCAGGAGTGTACTCAGTTTCCCCCATGATTAGGCTTAAAAATAGAACAAATAAAGGGTCATGCATTGCCATCAATCATATGCAATAACACACATGTGCAAAAGGTAGGGCAATTCGAATAGCACTATACTCAAAAACACATTTTTTAAGTTTACTTTTTAGTGATGATAACTGATAAGGAGCTGCTTAAAACAAAAAGAGCCCCAGATGGGTAGATCATGCATGTGTTTGTGTAGTTTACAGTACGCATATTACCTTCCTGCAAGTAGTTATGGGATCATCTGAGTAAAATGGGGGATAGCCAACAAGCATTTCATACATAATTGCACCAAGGGACCACCTGCATGTTGTGTATACAGTCATAATAAACAGACAAGCTTCCAGTGATAACAAAATGGGTTGTCCAGTTGTCCTGAGCTGGATAACGCAAACGAAGCAGTTTCTACTTCAGAATATGACAACAACAACAACAACCCAGTTGGATCACACAAAAGTAGGGTCTAGGGAGGGTGTGTGTATGCAGACCTTGCCCCTACCCGAAAGTAGAGGCTGTTTCCATGAGACCCCCGTCTCAGGCTTTCAGAATATGACAGCAAATGTTATCTATAATACCAATTGATGAAATGAACATTCGTGTTTCCCATCTTTTATTAACCAAAGCAACAAATACTTTCTATCAAATTTAACATGGGGAAAAAGCTCACACTGTAACACAAAACAAAACAAAAAAAGTGAGCCATGATAGCAACCATAAGGTTCTTGGAAATCAAACTTATTCTGGAAAAAACAATATATGAAATTCAACTAGCATCTACTTTCAGTAAATGAGTATGACAACAACAAACCCAGTATAACCCAACTCGGGGGGGCGAGGTTTAAGCACTCTTAGACCCTTGATGCATTGTAGCATTTAATGTCAAAAACTTCATTGAAAGTAAGAAACAAGGAAAGTTTAAATGTTTAATGTGTCATTTTGATTTAGTCCATTATTTTCATGAAGCTAAACACTTATCAAAATGACTCTTATGGCTTCACTAAATGAGTGAATGCACAAAAATCTAAGAAAAACAATTAGGCAGAGATATGTGAAAAACTAACCAGTCACATTCCATGCCATATCCTTTCTTCAACAGAACCTCAGGGGCAATATAGTCTGGTGTGCCAACGGTTGAAAATGCCTTTTGATAGGAAAAGAGGGGGAAATGGTTTAAGAAAAAGGAGTAGTGTTTGCAATCAACAAAAGTTAAGGTCACAATACTGCATGATAAATGGACCATCGAACAAAGTAACACAATTCACATAGGACCATCATACGTTTTAGGAATCTACTGAACTTAAGCCAACAGTTTATTGACACGCATCTTCTGTAGTCAAATCAATACTCCCACCGGTCCACGAATAATTTTAACACTTCCTTTTTTTGGTTGTCCCAAAATAAACTTAAAACGTCTACATTTTCCTGTTTAGAAATGAAATGTGTGCCTCACAATCCTTCTCTCTCTATTTGAATTTCAACCATCCCCTTTTTATTTTTCAACATTTTTCTTAAACTCCGTAAAGTGAAATACCGAAGTTTATTTCGGGAAGGGGGGAATATTTATTTTGTTATCATATCACCTTGCCATTCAATTGGACATTCCAAAAATAAAATCGTATTCACAAATAAAGTGTGTAATATTGGAAAATAAACTCGTAGGCTTAGCAGCAACAACAACCCAGTTGGATTCTTGGATCCCACGAGAGTAGGGTCTGGGGAGGGTGTGTGTATGCTTAGCATGATTGAAATAAATAATGTAGTATCTAAAAGCTAGAGAGCATAAGAGGAATGTATTTGATCATAATTTGATGGGACCCCTCTGAATAACTAAGCATAACAAGGACGAAATACAAAATCTCAAAGTTGATATTCATTTCTGAACTTCCCATTGGAGTGACTACTGACTACACACACAGATATTTCAGAACCAAGTAAGATTGAGAATATGTCATACCAGCTTCCGTCTGTTCATTTGCCAATGTTGGAGCTGTTCCCGTGGACTTCTCCAGCTAATATTGCCAGCATCAGGGAAGCCACCATCAATGTCCATTGGATCTCTAATGCTCTCATCACCCATAGCTTCATTTTCATTTAGAGTAGATAGAGTTCTACAATCAAGGGGCTTACAAAGACCAAAATCAGAGAGCTTCATGTGACCATTTTTATCCAGAAGAAGGTTATCAGGTTTAATATCCCTGAAAATGAAGAAAGGTGCATTTAATACAAATGCAACACACTTAATTTGGATTACTAAAACATGTGAACAAAAGGAATGCAATAATAGTTTCAGCTCCTAGCCCCTCCTACATGGTATCTCTCAGAATTAGTATGTTTTAAATAGAGGGTAGGACTAGAATAATTATAATTTTAAATTCATGTACACAGTACACAAAAGTTACCTTTTAACTTTAGGAGACAACAGTACCTAAATCAGTTACAATAACATGTTAGTTCCTACTAAGACTTGACATTCTTTAGTAGCAATGACTCGTACTCCCTCCGTCCCAGTTGAAACTTCTCGTTTTGACTTGGCACGAGTTTTAAGGTAATGTAAAAAAGATGGTGAGTTTCCACTTTTGCCCTTTCCACTACTGCTCAGCGCACGCCTCCTTCTCCGTATAACCACCAAATCAATTCATCTCTTCCTCAAAATCATACCAAGAAATTAAATTGAAAATTAAACTTATCAACAAAAAAATCTTAAACTTCCTCAAAAAAGAGATTTGTTCAAAGAAAAACTAGACCCAAATTGGTCCTGCCATTGAAGAAGAGGTGGAGAAGAAGTGGAAGGCAATCAAGGCATAAGGGAGAAATTTTCCGCTTCCCAATCAGAAAGTTTTGGGAAGTGGACGGACTGATGTTGATCTGAATTCAGAAAACTTCGTCACAGTCTCCTCGCCGGCGCTCGTTTCCAGCTGCTCGAGTAGGAGAGATCTGAAACCATATCTGAAAACGCATCCATATTCCTTCGTCGCTCGTAACACAGAATTAAGAAGTTGGATCTGAATTAAACATTCAAATCAGATCTCTTCGCCACTATCAAAGATGAAGAAGAAAAAAACGGGAAGGTGGGGATTGTCTGACGAAGACAAAAAATGGGAGGGGGGGGAGGGTTTTTCAAAGAAGGAAGAAAAAGAAAAAAAAGAAGAAAAAAGATTAAAAAAGAAAGAGGAAGAAGAAGATGAGGGTGAATGGGGAAGAAACAGGAAGAAGAAGAAGAAACAGATGAGCGGAGAAAAAATAAGAAAAGAAAAGAAAAGAGGGGGTAGGTCAGACGGGGTGGGTTGGTGGTCTGCCTTCAAACAAGAAGAAAAAATAAAGTGAGGGTAAATTAGTCTTTTTGAACAAAATTGTTTACCAAAAAAGGAAATGGGAAGAATCAAATGGGACGGCCTAAAAAGGAAAGTGAGAAGAAAGATATGGGACGGAGGGAGTACTTTTTATTCAGCTGGAAGCTTCAGTTCTTGTAAACCAAATTAATTAAAGCGACCAAATCACATAATGAGGCTGAGAGAGAAGTGAGAGGCCGAAGAAGAAGGGTGTGGACTGTGGAGCAACCACATCCACTAATGCTGCTATTCAGGAGGATAGGGGTGGGGATGGACATGGGTGCATGGCAACATGGGTGGCTTTGATTTGCTCTGCTGCGTAGTAAGTAAGAAGGAGATGGGGAGAAGAAGGTGAACTGCAGAGAGAAAGAAGAGAAGAGAAAGTGTAGAATATTTAGGGTTTTGTGGGCATTTAGTAGAATTTACATCTAATTTTGTCATTTAACATACAGCGGCCAAAATAAAATGGTCACTTTCTGGTCCGCTTATCTCAAAGTTCCAGAAACTGAAAAACAAACCTGTGAATATAGTTATGCTTGTGAATGGACTCTATGGCAAGTACACTCTGGGCAATGTAAAACTTAGCCACGTCCTCACTCAGTGTATCCTCTCTCATTAACAGAGTCATCATATCACCACCTGGTAGATACTCCATCACAAGATAAAGGTATTCGGCATCTTGGAATGAATAATACAGTTTCACAATGCAATGACTGGCCACTTCTGCCAATAAATTTCTCTCTGCTCTCACATGTTCCACCTATAAGATAATAGGTTCATTAGAGGGGGGTAATGAATGAAACACATCCAAATCTAGAAAGGTACAAACTCCTTTCACCTGTCCTCTTGTGAGCATTTCAGATTTCTTCAACTTCTTCATAGCATAAATGTTTCCCGATTTCTTCTCTCTACATAACCTGACCTGCAATGTAATTTTGGAAGAAGAAAAAGATAAAAAATCACATACTTGGCACTAGATATGCACCCTAACATTTCTTCACAACTGCCCATCAGCATCTAGAACAAACTTGCCCATGATAAAGCCATGTGCAAATTGATTCAGAATAATTAAAGTTATGTTAACTAAGATTTGCAAATTAGTCATGATCAAAGTCACCTATGCTAACTAATATCATTGTGAAAAAATCACGAACCTCACCAAAGGCTCCTCTACCAATTATTGTTAGAAGCTCAAAGTCATCCACACATATCTTGTGCCTCCTAAGCCTCATGTACTCGGTCTCTTTTCGTTCTAGATCCTTGATCAGATTTAGTTGCTCTTCTTTGGGCACATCAGAAGTAGCTAGTTTTCTTTCGAGAACCCACCGCCTTCATGTAAAAAAATTATTCAATATTAAGTGACGATACATGTAAGTGTCACATTAAAGAACTTTCTCTGCAATGTTAACAACAGAACAACAAGTTGCTGATTTTATAGAAAGTGCTATTTTCCATCTTCCAACATATAAAAAAACAAATTGGAGGATACGTTTCTAATTTTTTCCAAATTGTTCAAGTACAGACAATACAGCAAAACATAATTTCAATTTTTTCACATATCATCACCATTATAACTGAATACAACCCACCAACAGTCCAACTCTACTCTTGCTCCCTTACTTGCCACTATTAACTACCTACCCAATGCTCCTTCTGCCCAGTTCTCTACCTAGGCTCTATGCAGTCTTTTGAAACCACGATTTTGCTTTAGTTGGCTTACTACGTAGATTATCTCCTAAGGTAGGCCAAGCAAGCCTGATGCGATCCTTTTTTTTCTGGATAAAGTGACATTATTTTATTAATACATTATTCTACTTTGCACAACAAGTGTACAATAGACACTTATTATATAGAATGTGATCATTGAGTCCGTTGACTACTTGTAGCTCCTTCAATTCAGTCCTTGGTGTTAGATATCATGTTAATTGAGTTGAATTCTTTTTTAAATTCATTGGTGCGACTAACATGGAATGTTCATTAAATAATGTAAGATCTTTAGATGTTTAATTCCAAAAACAATTGTAACCACTCACACACACACATATATATAATATATCATTCAAGGCGGCACCTAGGCAGCTCGTAAACCTCACCAGTCATCACCACCACACTCGGTGCGTAAACCTCGCGAGTCACCACCACAGCCTTCATTACTAATTTACTATCATCACTTTCATCGGCCCTCATTTCTATAAAATCACCTACATGTCATCACAAAAAACACCTCTATGTAACACCCCACCACAACGCCAACATTAATTGATCGTCATTACTAATATACTATTACCAATTAGCACACCTGGTATTTTAATATATAAAAAAAGTTGGACAACAAATAATTTTCAACAACAACTAAGTATTATCCCAAGTAATTTAGGGTCGGCTAATGCAATTGAATTTGACCATATTTGCTAGTCTTCCAATAAAAAATGAACAATTGGGATTTCATGGAGAATGTCTAGAATTAGAAATGAAAATGAAAAGAAAAAATTGCTACTTCACTAGTTTTTAAAAAACAAAAAAAATGAAAATTTATGGAAATGTGCACTACAATTTTTAAAAATACATTGACTAAACAAGCCGTAGAGATCCCTTTTACCGAAGTAAACTGCCAAGTGAGAGAATTTTACATTGGAACCTAATAGGGAACCAATTTGTTAGAAAAAATATGAAACGATTATGTAAGTGAGACACTTCTCTCTCTCTCTCTCTCTCTCTCTCTCTCTCTCTCTCTATATATATATATATATATATATATATATATATATAGACACACGCACACACACATATATATGCATTAGATTTTCGCAATCAAAGATAAAAAGTTCATTAGCAAACCAAGTGGAAACGTAGTTAAAACGCTTCTGTAATTTCACAGGTGAACAAAATTATAAATTTCAAATCTACAATAGAACATCGGTTTCAATTATTTACGGCTCATTTGGCTCCATTCTCTTTTTGGCCGATTCTGTTTCCAGAATTGGCTGTTTTAGAGTTAATTGATTCTGGAGAACTAAGCAATTGATTACTTCTATAAATAGATTCTTTTTCAGAATCTAAAACAAACGCAACACTCGATGAATCCTGGGATGAGAGTATACAAAATCAGTTTTTTGAAATCAAAGCCGGATGGCTCCCGAGTCCCCATTTGCGCTCCAGAAAAATGGTAAACAGCTTAAATTCAGATACGCCATCCTTTTTTACATAAAAATCGTGTGTGTATGTTTTTAAATGTTCAGTTTTTCATCACATCCATCTAAACATCTAGACCTAAAATAATTCTGCCAGCAATAGGCAAATGAAACATGAAACTTTCCCTCTTCAATTCGGTCATGCATCGCCCACCTAACACAAGCACACAAGAAGTATCTTCTATATGTAGTCTCCTAACACTATAGACTCTCCCCCACCCACTCACACAGTCACACCAAACCACCACCACCACCACACCAATGAAAACCATTCCTATGATGAATTACTTCCACATATATATCCTCTTTTTTTTGGCCTTCATGGATTACAATTATGATTCACAGAATTATTAAACGCCACCTTTATTTATAAACTTCCGAATTCACCCAAAAAAAATCATCAAAGCAACGTCGGGAACACACTCCAGATCTCGGAAAACAGCAAAAAACGAGCACAAACTCACCTCTCTTTGCGTTCCTGTATGCTCTTCATCTGATTCCTGTAGTGGTTCTCGATGAATTGCTTTGCGGCGGCGACTTTCTCCATCGTATAGCTCGAGCCAAGCACTTCCGCCTCGCCGTGCTCCTCCTCCTCCATCGTATGCGCGAACTCGCTCTCTGTGTCTGGCTGCATATCCATCCGCAACAAAAACAAATTTATAATTCACTCCAAAGTAAATGAGTATAGTATATACATATGCATATATGTATGTATATATGCGCGGGAAGTGTTCGTGAAAAGGTCGGAATGAGAGTTTACCTGAGCAGCAGCGGAGAAGACAACAGACAGGGGAGGGAGCAGAGAGGGAGGTGCAGTGCACGCGCCGGGCGAAGGGTTTGGATCCACTGCTGTGGACAGCTCCGCGGGGGCTTTCTATTAGTAAACAAATGGACTTCTTTTTGACAGCTGGCATTTATTTCTTTTCTTTATACACTACTCTTTATTATACCAGTATTTTAAAATGGTTTTTTAAAATATATTTTACAATATAATAGTCGAACAAAAATATTTTTTTATGTTAATATATAATACAGAGTATTAGTGTAAAATATATTTTTTTCCTTTAGATATATTTGTTCTAGTTGAGCTTTTTAAGTTAAATTTAATAAAGTTTGATCGTCCACTCAATAAAATTAGGTTTTATATTAATAAACTAAAATGGGTTTTAAAAATATTTTTTACAATATAGTCTAACAAAAATATTTTTTATGTTAAAATATAATATGGAGTATATTTTTTATTTATGGTGTGTGTGGTTGGCCGTAAAATATTTGCCAGCAAAATTTTGATTTCATTTTCTTGTGTTTGGTGACATTGGTGGAAGAAAAATATTTTCCTACCAAACAATGGAAAACATGATTGAAGAATAATTTTCCTTGGAATTATTTTTCCTTTGGAAAATTTTCTTCAAGGAAAATATTCCTTCTAGAAATCATCTCTAAACTTTTTTTTGAAATGAAATCATCTCTACACTTATTATATTTGGATGTTCTGAAATTATTTTCTCACATTTTTTTAGGAATATTTAAAGACGTTTTCATTATTTAATCATCTTTATACATACAAAGCTAATGTGTAAAAGATGAACAGTAAAAATTTTTGTCTAAATGATATGGGCTCGGGTTTGAAATGAGCCAAAGATATGGAAGAACGGGCCCACATAACAGAATGATTTCCTTAAAATTTGTACTAATTTAATTATATTTTATACAAATTCAAATCATTAGACGTCATGTTAATTTTATATTTAGTTATATTTGAATTTAAATTTATACATTAATTCTATTAAATTTGTATTCTTTATATTTTAGATAAATGATTGGCCGTACAACGCACAGGTACAAAATCTAGTATACACCAATTACACTACTCTGTATGTATTATCAAATAGTCGTTTCTCCAATAAGGTTTTATTCTTTTGGGTTGAAAAATTAACTTCCAACTCTTTTCAGTTTCTTTCAATAATAACTTAAAAAAAGATTTATATATGATGAGTATACAATAATATCATATCACCAAAACAGGCACTAGGATGAATTCTTTTTATATCCAAAATTAGAATTTTCTTACATTTTTATTTAGATGATCATTTAATTGAGTGACATTTTAACACTTTAATTTTTCCAACTTCTTCTAACTCCTTCCAGCTTTTTCTAATTGCTTACTGTTTCTTCCAACATCCAACTCTAAAATTTCAACCCAAAAGAGCAAACATCTCTTATTTAATTTGGCCTAAATCCACCCATTTTATATTAAATACTCCCTCCGTCCCAAAAAGATCTTCCGGTTTCATTTTTTGCGCATCCTATAAAACACTTTTATACACATCTAAAATGCCTAAAATTTACCACATTTCTCATTTATTGTAAGTAGAAGTTGTTTTGAAAGTTTTTTTGCATTTGAGGCGGGATATAAGTGTTTTATGAGATGCGCAAAAAATGAAACAGGAAGATCTTTTTGGGACGGAGGGAGTATACAAATGTGTCTTTTTTAGGGAATACAAATATGTCCTTAAATATTGGTCTGTTTCTAAATTTCCCCTTTTATACTTTTAAGAATAAAAGTCTCAATCTAACATAAAAAGAGTAAATTTAGTCAAGAAAGAAGTGGATATAGCAACACCTTAAATATGAATAGCATTTTTTATGTACTCTAAAAATTAATATTATTTTTACAAGTAAAGATGAATTTAGGATAGAGAAACAATGTCATTGAATTTCTTTTTTGGGAATGTCCACAAATAATGTTCTCATTTTTTAAAAATATGCATGTCTTAGAAACTGAAGTTTTTTATTCATTTATATAAATTTTTATCCCATAATTTCACTATTTTTAAACTCATTCTAGAAACTAAACGAGATTTTTTTAGACAAATGGAGTACAAGAAAGAAATACATTAAAGTTCTATTTAGTACATGAAATTGATAGAATTAGAATTGAATTGAGAATTGAAAGTCTATGAATTAAATTGATTTGGATGGAATTGAATTCTCCAATTCCAATTCATTTTTGGCACTACCAATTTTAAATCAACATAATTTTGTGCTACCAAACAACAGAATTGGAGTTGTTATCCTCAATTCTAATTTAATAGTTTTAATTCCGTGTACCAAACAGGCTCTAAAAGTACTCATGTAATAATATTTACATGAAAATAATACTCATGTCAATTTGTAATGAGTTCATAAACATAAATTAAAATGATGAACAATCATAACAAATATAATGTAATTTGTACTCCATAATAAAAGGATTAATAGACCAAAATGGGAAAAATACGGAGTACAAAATAAGAATTGTATTAAGAGGATACCAAAAATTAGACATCGCTTTAACATCAAGCTTCTCACAAACACACATAAAGTTGTTATCATCTGAAATGTGTTTGTGAAAAAAAGACTTGGTATCACTATAGTGTCAAATTCTTGGTAACCCCCAATCATTTTTGTACAAAATAATGAGATATATAGAGTGACGGCTAATGATGAGTTAATGCCATTGTTTCAAATTCAGTCTTATAGAACATGTACAAATTTGATAAAGATTCCTCTTAGCATCGAAATATTCATTCATTTTTTGGCACCGAAAAAACACGGAAAGAGGACTTGATTCAGCCCATCAAGCAGAAGGTATCAATATATATAAACTACATTTCATGCTAGCACAAGAATGGAGAATTTCAAGTAATGGACTTTCCTGCCCATTCTCGTTCTCGGCGCTTCTGCTTCACTTGCATTTTATTGAACTTCTCTTTGCCTTTCTCCCAAAGTGGGTCATGCACCAAATAGTCATTCGGGTCATTGTTGCGCGACATATTGTTCTGCACAAGATTGAACCATTGAACACATCAGTACAAGTCTTGCAAAGTCGTAGATTCAAATCTTTCTTATATTGTAATGATTTCTATAAAACAAATATTCAAGGAAGTTATGGAGTAATTAATTGCAAAAACAGACTCAAAATTTGTGATTTTCTTTTTTAGGGTTTCAATTATAAAAAATAATTTTTTGATAGTTTTCAACTTTTCATATTCATGATCTTTGATTGATAGCTAACGTATGTTTCATGCCCTAAAGCGATGAGACTCTTTAAACGGGGCATAACTAAGTTTCCAAGTAAGACTCTTTTGTTGCTTGGGAGGATGTCTAAACCCTATTAAACACACAAAAGATAGATACAAGGGGTAACAAAAGAAGAAGAGAGAGATTTTACCACCTTTGAAGGCTCAGGGTCAAATTTTAGCTTGGCAGATGCCCAACCAGATAGGTCCTCACCCTTTTCTCCATCATTTTCACCACTAACAGTATGCGGCTTTGAAGAAATCAAATTCTTAAACTTTTCTAGTTTCGCTAACACCTGGAAAATAGATATGAAGAGTCTGAAAAAATGCTAGAATTGAAAGGAGATATCCAGCACAACCTCATTATTGAATTTATAGTTACATCAATGGTATAATGGATCCTAATCCTGCACCACCAATGTGAAAAATGTTTTTGTTCCCCCTTGCAGATGGGTTGACAAAACTAGTCTCTTCAGGTTTTGTTTTTCAATTTAGACTTATTACGGAGTATTTCCCAAATGTCAAGAACTTGGTAATGATGCCACTGAAGATGCCAGAAAAAATAGAGACTAAAAATGCCAAAAATGCATTTTTAAAAGGAAAAAAGAAGTACCAGACAATTAGAATTTCAAAACTCATTTTCAAAATTTTAAAAATCATCGCAATGGCACAAAGTTATCGGATTTCCAACCCCTGTGTTTTAATTTCACGTGACTCCAGGGCTAAAGTTCTCGACATTTTTAAGGTAATGGGTCTAAATATACAAAAATCCCATGGAACTACGATGACCAACCTCCTATAGTTATAGGACCCAAAAAAACACATTTTGGCCGGGATTGGTCATAGGTGTTCTTTTTAAAAATACCATAATCCAATGGGTAAAATTATTATTGAAGGCAACATTAGAGTAAGCTGCATTAGCAAGATTATCAAAAAAAGGTTGGTAGCATACCACATCTTCCTGCCCATGGCGCCTGCGCCGTTTTAGCTTCAACAAGTGTCTATCACGTTCAGTTCCATTTAGTAATTGCAGGTCTGTATCAGCACAAGCCAAGCGTTCAACCCTAGCATCAGACCCTATTCCCTTTTTCTTTATAGACAATCTTTCAATTTTTGGTCGGTCATCATATTCTTTGGCAGACCTGAGTATACATTTGCGAATAGTCAAAAGAAATTTAACATGTCACGAGAATGAAGTCATAACTCAAATGTCACTTTCTTGTCAGATCTTATAAACGTTTTGGTTGAATATTTATGTTTTCTTATACTAGCGCCTTTCTTCTATTATCCTTCAGAAAGGTCTATCTAAGATACATACATGACATCAGCCAATTGACAGAAGTGACTCACTAGCCTGCTAGTGGATTGTAAATTCCAGAAGCTATCCATTTAGAGATTTAGAGTCAACATATAATGAGCGAGACAAGGGTCCAAAAAATTTCAAAAGGAGAAAAACCAGAGCACCTTGAAGGAGACGAGGAGCGCGCCCTTGTCTTGGAGTTCTCTGAATATTAAAAAAAAGGTAAGTTTAGTACTAGACAACACTATGAATAGTAAATCTTTTTTCACATCACAACTTATGTAACTTATACCCAGAGGAAAAAATTATGAACACACAGCACATAATAAGCATATGTCCATCATAGTAATCAAGGCGTCGCCTAGGCGATGCTTAGGCGTCTGGGCGAGGTATTGTGGACGCCCAATTGGCCGCCTAGCCTTTTCTTCCCTGGGTGACTGAGGCTTCAATTTGGCATCTGTTTGGCATCGATTTGAGATCTGAATCGCGAGGAAGATCAGAAATCCATATGAATCATCCGGATCTGCAATTAAGATCGTGAGATCGTAATATCTATTGGATCGCAATCGATGGAATTGTCCTTCACGTGAGAGAGAATTCAATCGATAGGCTACACGACCCTTTAGTTTTGATGGAAATCCCTTAGGTTTTGAGCAGCGATAGACTAGGCGGCTCTTCTTCTCAATAAAGTCTTTTTTTGTGAGTGAAACATATGTAATATGTGTTCTATGGAGTTTTTTTTGTGCAGGTTGAGCCGGGGGTCTCTTGGAAACAGCCTCCCTACTTCCGAGTAGGGGCAAGGTCTGCGTACACACACCCTCCACAGACCCTACTGTAGTGGGATTCAACTGGGTTGTTGTTGTTGTTGTTCTATGGAGTTTTTTTTAAAGAAAATCTACTTTGTGTTGTTAAAGTAATATGTTATCTATTCTTGTTTTCTACGAAGTACATACTAAGTAATGTATTTCATACTATATGCTTTTACATTAGCACCTATAAAATTAATTATTTCATAGTACTCCCTCTGTCCACCATAGATCTTCCCAGATACTATTCCCAGGGTCAAACTTTACTCGCTTTGTTTGCTCATTTTTACTAGAAATTTTGTAAAATAATATAGTCTTGTCACCTCTAGTTTTGTAGAACTTTTCATGTAATTTATTACTATATAAATTTTATTTTAAAATTTTACTCCTATAATCAATTAAATTGAATTGAAAATAAAGTCGGTCAAGCCTCGTAACGCGTAACGAGAACTTAGGTGGACGGAGGGAGTAAATGCTTTTAGATTACTACCTATAAAATTATTAAGGTTGCCATAGCCCACTCGCCAAGGGGACGCCTAGGCAGGGACCTAATCGCCTAGGCAATTGGAAGGTTTTCTAGCGCCCAGCCTCACCTAGCCGCCGTAACAACTATGATGTCCATACATGTACGGAGTATATGACTTTATCCATAATGCATATGACCATATGTATACTGTATATGACTATATGTATAGTGATTAACGTCCATAAATTGGATTCTAATATTCTAACCTTTTCGCAACTTCTGCTTGCTTGGCATATCTCCAAGTTCCTTTCTTTTTTCCAATATCTGCCTACGCATTCGTACATCAAAGCCAGTATCGTCATCATCATCTTCTTCTTCACTATGGGATTGATGAGGTTTTGCGTCTGGTTCTCTCGCTACTGCATTCCCCTTTGAGCGCAATGCTTCTTTGACACTTAACTGCACGTCCCTTCTTATTTTGTTCTCAGATGATGTCTGCACCAGTAGGCAGCCTTTAGATACATGTGAAACACATTGCAATTCATAAGGTTCTTAACTTCTTATTATCTGCAATAAAAACACAAACTCATGTAAAGGTGTATAATATTATAGCCTAGAAACTGAACCTTAAACCCAGAAACTAAACATGAATTACAAGAAAAGTTTGCTAGTTAAAGTGAGGTCCATGGTATCCAACTCTTTTATACATAGTAGATGATACCACAGGTGTTCCAATTAATTTATGCATTCCTTCTCGTTAACTCTCCTATTGGCTATCACCATTATAAGCCAGGGGGGTTCTTCTGTTTTGTTTATTTTGAAAAAACTTCATCTTTGGGTCTATATTGACGTTAGGGTAACCTAGAGTTGAGACCTGATCACCCACGATTTCTTTTGACTTGTCTATAGTGTATGAGAAAATCATAATCAAAGTACCATCATGTGTTGGCATGGAGCCCAATTGAAGATCAACTAAACAACTTTGGACTGTGCCTATATGAAGGTCTTACAACGTAAGGATGCGAGCATTTTCTAGAATCAATTTGGTTTCATGCTTGGCTGGTCAAGTCAACAAGTAATGCCATTCACCTCTTGATGGAGGGGACTTATGGAGAGGTATATGGACAAAGCTAGGGACCTACACAAGACTTTCATTTACTAAGAGAAGATGTGCAACATGGTCCTTAGCTTGTTAGAAGGTGACTCTAAGATGAGGTTAGGTTACATCGTGGACCTACCTTTAGTCCTATTCTGTTTGCATTGGTGACGGATGTTCTGACGCAGCATTTTCAAGAGGAGATACCCTAGTCCATGTTATTTGCTGGCGACGTTGTTCTGAATGACGGAGAACTCAATAGTATTCGAATCCAAACGTTTTAGATTGAGCATGACTAATACTAATTACATGGAATGTTGTTCCAGTGGTGGGACAATTGAGTCGATAAGAGGAAGTAAGACTTGACTTGTATCCAGTGCCTAAAAGGGGCATGTTTAGATATTTTGGATCAATCATTCATGACGATGAGAGGACTATGGGGTTGTTCATCGCATTGGAGCCGTCTGGGCAAAGTAGAAGCTAGTGCCATGTGTCCTTAGTGACAAGAAGATATCAACAACCATGAAAGGGAACCTTTATTGAATTGTGGTCAGACCGACAGAGCAAAGTGTTGGACGATGATGATGAGGATGTTGAAGTGGATGGATGGATAAGATTCAAAATGAGGTTATTCTGGGAAAGGTGGGAATGGTCCCTGTGGAGGATAAGCTGCGATAAGTGAGACTGAGATAGTTTAGTTTAGCTGTTTAGACACGAAATGAGGAGTAAGAAAGTCCGAAGCCCCAATGAGATGTGGAGGGGGGCATGAGGAGAGCAAAGTTAGACCTAGGATGAGTTGGATCAAAATGGAAGTGATTAGAGAGGATTTACGGCTTCAGATCTTATCCAAGATATAACCTAAGATAGAAACGTCAGAAGGTCTAGAATTAGGGTGGTTGGATAGATCTTCGAGCTTTAGTTTGTAGTTGTGGTTGGTGAGCTTGTACCCCTTAGTGAGTAGTCGTTGCATTTGTGCTTTGCGTATGTCTTTCTAATGTATATGTGTATTTTGTATGTGCTCTTACTCTGTTTGGGACTTTGGGCTGCTTTTGTTTGTCTTTCAGCTCTTGGGTTTTGAGTGGGGAATATCTTGAAAACAACATCTATCCTATCCAACTAATCCAAGGATAAAGTCTATTTAGTATTTACACAACTACACATACACCCCAGCTCCCACTTTTGTAAGATTTTACTGGGTATGTTGTCGTATTATGCCTATTTATCATATGATGCATTTTTATTATCATAGCCAGGCCCATCTAGATTTTGTACTAGTAGTTACATTTAAGCAAAAGTTCTTTTCCAAAAGGGTGTTGGGTTTAAAGAGTCAGAATCTTGTCTAATTTGAGTCACTGATCCATGACTTCTCCGTTCAACATGTCTCCAACTCTAAGTCTCTAACTAATTAAACCTTGGGTCTTAACAAATTAGCCCCTAACGAGCCCTTAGTTCGAGATAGTATCAACTCAAACTGTTCAAACATTGACCTACTAGTGAAATAACATAACAGAATACAAGGCATTACCAAACTTTCATCATGGTTTTCTTCCTTCAGAAGGCGTGGATCATCCAGTATATCATGACTGCTTTTTATCCTGACATTGATTGCAGACAAATCTTTCTCCTCTTCCTCTGCTTCTTCGCCAAATGAAAGCAAATTCAAGTTTCTGTGTACAACACAGCTAGGACTTGTGACTTTGATTATGCCATTATACAAACATTAAATAAATAAATATATAAATACATTCCACTATCAAATGTTCCAAAAAAACAAAGAACGTACTTTTTAGGTTTCCGCTTTTTACCCTGTTGGTCATTGTCAGCTAAAGGCACTAAAGCAGTTTTAGGTGTCACCCGTGGAATAATGTCGTCAAATGGGTTCCAAAATACCTGACCAAATATATGAAGGAGAAAAAAATCTGAATATGCCATTGGGTACGATTTTGTCCTTGTTAGATTGATATAAATTTAAAATTTAACAATTTAACACAGAAAATGAACATAAAGCCATCAAGTGATGGGATAAAGGATTTTTCACGCAAGTGAATTAACATGTAGGTGCTATGGTGTTTGTTTCATAATTATTATTATTATTATTATTATTATTATTATTATTATTATTATTATTATTATTATTATTATTACTACTACTACTACTACTACTACTACTACTACTACTACTACTACTACTACTACTACTACTACTATTATTATTATTATTACTACTACTACTACTACTACTCCCTCTGTTCCATAAAACCCTTCCCCTTTCGTTTTTTTTTGAATTCCCTAAAACACTTCCACCTTCTATTAAAAAACCACTTTTACCCTTACTTTGTCATACCCTACCTATCACACTATACTTTTTCACTAATAACAAAACTATCACATCTTACTTTTACCCATCACATCAGGGGCAAAATTGGAAAGTCAACCAAAATTGCACTTTCCTTATTTTTGCCCAAAGTCAAAAGTGGAATGGTTTAAAGGAACGGAGGGAGTATTATTTATTATTATAGGGGGGTTAGATATATGTCCAGTTTTATCAGATATTAAGTACAATTCAGTGTCACCTTTATCGATGCCCCATTTGAATAGAAAGTCAACACAAAGCAAAGTACTAAAGGATTATCATAAATTCCAGGAGCAAACTGCCCTTGCCGATTAGTCTAAGTTCATTAAAAAAGGTGTTGTGCATGCTTATATTCTTGAAGTCTAGCAAAAGAAGAATTGCATGCTAGGCATGAGGGGGGAAATGAGGGGGGGAAACAAGTATGCACCTCAATAGAAAGGATTTTAGGGGGAGGATCCAATGGCCTGTCATCATTGTCAGTTTCAATTTCGCCGAGACTCAAAAGATTGTAGATTGAATCCCCAGTTACCTACACAAAGAATAACGGAAACGGGTGATTGCCACATCAAGTACACATTTTGCGGACATCATAGTAATCTGAAGAGCCTAATCATTGGATAAGCATACCTTTCCAAAAATTGTGTGCTTCTTGTCTAGAAAATCACATTTATCTAATGTTATAAAAAATTGACTTCCATTTGTATTGGGTGAGCCGGAACCAGCACATGCAACCAAACCCCTGTGTTTGAATCTAAGGCGGGAGTGGAATTCATCAGGGAACACACCCCCATAGATACTCTCTCCTCCTGTATTAAGCAATGACAATCTTGATGAACTAATCCAAGCAAGGAATGTATGAGAATTGTAAACATGGTAGTCCCTCCCTATGTATTTGTCCAATTTCCAAAATTTGTATTTAAAATGGTAATTTGTCTATTTTTCCCTTTCAAAATTTTTACCATCCCCCCGGTCTACTTAAGGAAAGAGGAAAACTGAAGGAATGAAGGAGAAAAATGGAAGCAATGCAGGACAGTTTAGGTTTTGTTTTCGGGTCACTAGAAATTTCAAAATAAATAAATAAATAAATAAATTTGCAAAAAAAATCAGATGAAAATTAGAGGTACCAGTGCCAGTGCCGGTTGGATCACCCCCTTGAATGAGGAAAGATTTGATGATTCGGTGGAAGATGGTGTTGTTATAGTAGCCTTCAAGGCAGAGCTGCACGAAGTTTCGGACAGCTTTGGGGGCCTCTTTTGGCCAGAGCTCGACGTCTAAAGGCCCGTAGGTTGTCGTGATGATCACCTTGCCTTTCGTCGGCGGCTCCAATACGTACACCGTCGACATTGAGTAGCCTCCTCCTCCGTCTCTCCGCCGTGACGGATTATTGAGGGAAAAACAATCTGACTCTGGATTTCTGAAATTGGTTCTGCCCTAGTTCTTAAATATATGAACCCGAACAAAATAATACTAACCAGACCTGAAATTTTTTATGGGAATCCCATATCCGTTCGGGTTGGATGTGGTTTATAATTTTATTCTACCCGAACTCAAATATTTCTAACCTAAAATGCTATCTACGTATTTAATGAGCACTTTGTATAACAAAATTTCCAATTCTCTGGTGCAATCGTATCTCTCTCTTGGTTCTTACATCGCATTTTGTGTGGTTCTTTCTTCTTTGCATCTCTGTTCTGTCTATTGTTTTGTTTGTGTTTCTAACCACGCAATCGTCTTGACAAGGTTCTACCATACCATATCCCTTTTATAGTTATTTTTATATTTCCTCAATCAAAAAATGAGATGCAAAAAAAAGACACAAAAGAATTTTGATTTTTTTAAAAAAATCTTAGGTACATGGAATTGGTTATTGGTTAAATTACATATTCGAGTTTAATTTTGGGTTTTAATGTCGAGTTCGAGTCGGGTTGGGTTTTTGGTTTATAATTTGGGTTTCGGGTCGAGTTCAAGTTTTGATTTTAAAGGCCCAGTCGAGTTCGAGTATAGTAATACCCGACCCCAACCCGACCAGTTTCCATCCTTACTTATTATTAATATGAGTATTAATACTAAGATTAGGATTTTGGTTAAGATTATAATCAATATTATAATTAGGAGGGTTAGTATTAGGTTGGAATTAGGATTAGGTGATTAATATTAGGATTATCATTGAGATTAACATTAAGTACATAAATTTGTGTGAATCAAGTCTTTTTACACATTAGCTTCTAAACCAATAACTTTTATTAAAAGGTTCAGCATTTAGGCGTAGATTTTGGGTGTACAGAATCACCACTCGGTGAAAGGATATCTTAAATTTTGAACTCTCCTTCGCTCCATCAAGAGTATTTTAATATTTAATCTAAATGAATTTGAACTAATTTTATAAAATTCTAATATACTTTGCTTATATTGAAGTTTGGTATTGTCCAAATTAATTTAATTTTATTTAAAGTTACCTCTCGTCTAATGGTTGGATCTAAATTGATATAATCTGATATAATTATAATAAAAATTAATTTAAAATAACAAATTCTAAAAAAAAGGACAGTACGTTGGTGAGACTTAAATTCAGCATGGGTTAAGTCGAGAGAGTTATATGTCATAGCACGTAAAAAATTTTATGTTTAGCATGGTCATCTTTTTTTGTAGTTGTCAAGATTCAAATGTGAGTTAACTCCGTGCGATGCTCTTCTTTCTCTTGACCGGTTGAGCTATGCACAAAACCACTTTATTTTAGGGTAAGAACCTTATAAGGTGAAATAAAACTAAAGAGTGAAACCCAACTCATTATTCGGTCCCAAAAGACCCTTTATTGTTTCACTGTTTCACGTGTAGTTTTAGGAGTTTGCCAAGGGTACCCAAGTTGGTGTACCACAAGTGTACATCAGCTTTTCACAAACACATAGACAACTCAAGTCATCAAGTGTCTGTGAGAAGTTGGTGTATACTTAGGTTACACTAACTTGGGGTACTCCTAAGTGTTCTCATTTTTTTCCAAAATTGAGAGAAGTTCTTTTTTGGATGTCTCATAAAGGAAATTATTGCAGGACCTCATGCTCTGCTCTTTTAAAACTAATTGGTGCTAGAAGAAATATAGTCTTATATTACATACTCTTCTATATCCAAATTTTGTTATTTCTTTAGTTAAATTATATTTAATTTATGGTCAAAGAATATCACTATTTGACTAAAAAGTCAAAACATAAAGAGCTTTTAAGATCGAATGGAATAAAATATTACTCCGTATAAGCTATATTATCTTTAAATATCATCATTGAATCTTTAGTTTGAAGGAAATTAGAATAAAATGAAAACAGTTGTAACAAGTTAGAAGAAAATTAAAGAAAATGCTAAGAGTGAGAATATATTGAGTATACTATGTATTTCAACATTTTTCATTTTTATTTTTGTTATTTCAAAAGTATAATACTCCCTTTTATTTCAATATTTTTTTTTTCAATCACTTCAAGTTTTTTGTAGTTTTTTCTAAATTTTCTCAATTCTTTCCATTTTTTATTTCATTTGTCCATAAATAAACTTCCCGTTCACTATTTACATGGTCAAACTTTATTCACTTTGTTCGCCTATTTTTATTACTCATTTGATAAAATAATATAGTCATGTCACCTCTAGTTTTGTAGATCTTTTTATATAGTTTTTTAATATGTAATATTTATTTTTAAATTTTACACCATTTTTCATATAAAATGATTTAAAAATAACTTCAGTCAAACATCGTAACGCACAACGAGAAGTTTATCTGTGGACGGAGGGAGTAGTTTCTTGTAACATCATTTTTCTCAACCCTAACGAACATTCACTTATTTGTGTCTCATTCTTATTTGTGTCTCATTTTATTTCTTTTTTCTATACATTACTTTTAGTTATATTAATCTACGTTTATTAATCTTTGTGCCAAGTTAGTGTAACATAATTTTTCGAGACGACCCGACAAAGAGAGTATGTCATAAATTTTGAGATGTCCAAAAAGGATATTCATTTTTGTTTTTATATAAATTTTTTCTTATTTTATTCCTTATTTTTTTGAAGTTATAAAAAAGATTTACTTTTTTCAGAAAAAAATTGTTAATTGGAGGTGTACATATGCATTATATTTTAAGAATATTATAAAAATAATTTTAAAAAACCTTTATTAATAAATGAAACAAAAAAAGGAAAAAATGGAAAAAACAAAAAATAAGTGAGAAATAAAAATTAGCACTGATACCCCATATGGTTTAAAAAATATGCACCAATGCCCCCTTCTTTGCCGGAAAAAAAGCTAGAAAATGATCAGAGGGGGCACGGGTGCAACATTTTAAAACCACGAAAACTTTAGAAATACGTTTTAAAAACAGAGGAGGCATTGATGCATGTTTTGCAAACCACGAGGAGTACTGACCCTATTTGGCCTAAATTTATTTATAGCAAATAATCATTCAACTGAAAACTAAACGGGCCATCGGCCCAAGCCCAACCACAATATTCCACCAACACAATTAAACCCTACGAAACATCATTAGATTTCCACAAGAGTATATAAACTTTCTCTGCTCTCCTATTCGCCGATTTTACCAAACGTTCTTACAACATCCAATCCAGGCGTTCTCCGTCGGTATTCTTCTCTAAATCTACTTCTGCCCTTCTCATCACATATTCCAAAACAGCGATCCAGTCTTGATTCAATCATCCAGGTTCGAAACCCAGAATTTAGATGTTCTTGTTTAATAACATATGATTTCTAGTTATATGGGCAATCATCAAACAGCATCTTTATGAAAGTTTGCATCTTTATCCCGTTTTTTTGATGAAAGTTTGCATCTTTGATGATTGGTACGTGTTATTGTCTGTGTTCTTTGATAGTCTGATTTGATTTATGTGATTTACTTAATGGGAGATCTGTTTGAAGCTAAATGTTATCCGGGGATATGATCTGATACCCGGCATAGGTTTTTCTTCGTTTGTTTTGATCCTTTCAATTTTTGTTTGGCACATCACATAGGAGGGAAGGATGAAAGTTAACTTTTGATTGGTTTCATATGAAAAAGTTCGTAGCTTTAGTGGGTTCATCCAATCAGGAAGAAAGATGACTTCTGATTGGTTTCGTGTTATAAAAGTCTGTAGCATTGTTGGTTTCATGCAATTTTTTCTAACCTGTATTTATTTTATTTTTTATATAGTTACATCCTGCAATCATGGCTGGAATGGCACCTGAAGGTTCTCAATTTGACGCTAATCACTATGATGCTAAAATGAATGAGCTGTAAGTTCCATCCATCCTTGGCTTTATTTATACACACAGCTTATAATATAGGAGTAGTTGCTTCCTCCATCCGATAGAAGTCTTCTCCTTTTCACTTTCACATAGTTAAATAAAAAGTGTTATTGAAGTGCTGAAAATATTTTTTGAATTTGTCAAGAAGAGAATTTCTTTTAGCCATATATTCTTTTTGTTAGAAGGAAATTGTTTTTTCTTGCTATGACTAAGAATGAAAAGTGTTCAGATTTATGCGTGACTGAGTAATTTTTATTAAGTTACAAGTATGCAAATATTAATCTGTTCATGATTAAATATTGGTGTTTGAATTGTTCAAATATTGGGTGCAGGCAAGCTGATGGACAAGATTTCTTTACACCCTATGATGAAGTTTATGAGAGCTTTGACAAGATGAATCTGCAAGAAAATCTTCTAAGGGGCATTTATGCTTATGGTACATATTCTGATTTAGGAATCCTTTTTTTTGCTGGATTTGATTCAAATGAATTATTGGTTCTTGCCTCACAATTAAAATACTGCCCATCTTATTCTTGAATCATCAATCCCTGAGGACTTTATCATGTCACTTGTAATGATACGTTTTGATCCCAGAAAATACTGCCAAACATTTAAAAAGAAAGGATGTTTATTTTTTTGAAGAAAATGTGATAATAACAAATAAAACTACTGCCAACAAAACAGCAATGGACCCTGTAAAATCCCACAAGAGTAGGGTCTTGGGAGTATGTGTTGACATACTTTAGTTCCATTACCCCTGCTTGGAAGTAGGCACCTTCAAGTATTAAAAAATCTACATTGCATTTACAGCATCAAGCTCTCTTCTATTTTCCATAATTTTATTTCCTTCCCATTAATGAATTATTATTCTGCTTATTTTCTCACCCTTATTCTTTATGAGCATTCCATCATGCTCCATATGGACCCTTGGTGCCTCATAACAAATTTGCAACCTAAGAAGGTGAATTTCACTTGTTTTTCAAGGTTTTGAGAAGCCCTCTGCAATTCAACAACGTGGGATTGTGCCCTTCTGCAAAGGTCTTGATGTGATCCAACAAGCACAATCAGGGACAGGAAAGACAGCAACTTTCTGCTCTGGAATTCTCCAACAGCTCGATTACACCCTTGTCGACTGCCAAGCACTCGTTCTTGCTCCCACACGTGAACTTGCCCAACAGATTGAGAAAGTCATGAGGGCGCTGGGTGATTATCTCGGTGTCAAGGTTCATGCCTGTGTGGGTGGGACCAGTGTCCGTGAAGACCAAAAGATTCTCCAGAGCGGTGTTCATGTTGTGGTCGGGACACCTGGCCGTGTGTTTGATATGTTGCGCAGGCAGTCACTTCGTCCTGACAACATTAAGATGTTTGTGTTGGATGAAGCTGATGAGATGTTGTCCAGGGGTTTCAAAGATCAGGTTTTTCTTTCCTCACAAATTTATGATCTAACCCGTGTCTCTAAATCTTTATATATGTCTAGATTACTCAAAGAACCACCTTATAGTTTAAGTGTTTGTTTGGCCCTAGTGGATTGAAGCCATTGTTTCAAGAGGATGAGTTTAAAGAATCCTTTCTTTTTTTGCAGATCTATGATATTTTCCAATTGCTGCCACCAAAGATTCAGGTGGGTGTTTTCTCAGCCACAATGCCACCAGAGGCGCTGGAAATCACCCGGAAATTCATGAACAAGCCAGTACGGATTTTGGTTAAAAGGGACGAACTTACCCTTGAAGGTATCAAGCAGTTCTATGTTCAGATTGAAAAGGAGGAATGGAAGCTTGAAACCCTCTGCGATCTCTACGAAACTCTGGCCATCACCCAGAGTGTCATCTTTGTCAACACGAGGCGAAAGGTTGACTGGTTGACCGACAAGATGCGAAGCCGGGACCACACTGTGTCTGCCACCCACGGTGACATGGACCAGAACACCCGTGACATCATCATGAGGGAATTCCGGTCCGGTTCATCGCGGGTTTTGATCACCACGGACCTTTTGGCCCGTGGCATTGATGTCCAACAAGTGTCTCTTGTCATCAACTTTGATCTCCCCACCCAGCCTGAAAACTACCTCCACCGTATTGGTCGGAGTGGGAGGTTTGGGAGGAAGGGGGTTGCCATTAACTTCGTGACCAAAGAAGACGAGAGAATGTTGGGTGATATACAGAAGTTCTACAACGTCACCGTGGAGGAGCTTCCAGCAAACGTGGCGGATCTTCTGTAATTTGTGGCGGTGATGGTGGTGGGTTTTGGTTTTGAAGAAGAGTTGATATGTTTATTTTGAAGGTTCTCTTTTTTTCATGTGTATGAATCTTACTCTTAGTACTGCAAATTTTGTTTGCTTTGTTTTTTGTTGTTTTTTTGTCACCTAAGGATCAGCAAGTATCTGCCGGACTGAATGTTGATTTATATTTTTAATGACTTCATTGCTTCTTTTTTATTTTTTATATTGCATTATTTTCTCCACTTAGGGAGTATATTTTTCATCAAACAATTCTACAGTTTTTGTATAGTATTATTATTGTTACCCATTTTATCATATGGTCTGTTTCTGTAAAATCACAAAGAAATTCATTAACACTACATTGTGGTGAGCTTGAACCATAGAATCATTATCCAATGTCTCCGAACCATCACCGATGTGCCCCGTAATACCATCCCTTATCAAATTTTGTGCCTCCACGGTCCAAGCCAACGATATCTCGGGGTCGCTCTAACTTTGGCTTCAAGGAACGAAGTCATATAATAATACAATGCCTTAAGAACTCGAGACACCAATGCTTCCGGCTTAGTGAGAAAGCGCCATCCTTGTTTCCCCAACATTGCCACATTAAATGAACAGATTTGCTTGAACCGTTCATAATGCGCTCAATATTACGACAAAGAGATTTTGGTAACAAAAATACACTCATAGCAAATCGAGGCATAACAATAGTTTTAATTTTTTTATATTACATTTGGTACTTGGGTCATTCCCAAATACAGAAAAACTCCAAAAAGAGTCGCTAAATATTTCAGAAAAAAGACTACATTAATGGATAATCCAAGAAAGAAAATGCAAAAAATAAGAATAAGGGATAATGAAGTGGATTAATGGATAATCCACTTAATTATTAATATTGGGTTGTGGAAAGCAATTAGATGTTGTTTGGAACTAGAAAAGTTTGGAATTACAATTAGTGGTAGCTTTTGTTATGTAATTTCTGGTTATAAATAATGAAAGGGATAAGAATGAAAACAAAGTAGATATGCATAGATTAAATCACAACAAATTAAAGATTTGAATGTAAAAATAAAAAAATTAAAAAAATCCTCCCATTTTGAATGGATTAGCAGTTGCTTGCATGATCAAAAACATTAATGACAATTAAATTAAATATAACTCCCTAAAATCTACCAACCACTACCACAATAATTCATTGACTTCCAAACTCATATGAAGACAACAATAGTGCACACTCATGTGTGACACAAAATGGGTCCCAATCACATCTGATTCAATAATCAAGTTGATTGCTTTGAATAGCCAGTCCCTCCTTGTGCTGCCAGCTCTCATGAGGGGCAATATGGTCATGTGAAGGCCTATATTGCTGCAACATTGTCATTCAAGAAAACAAAAGTGGCTCACTTTTCATGACAAATTGCCAATTCATGAGACAAAAACCGTCAATTTTTAATCCCAAAATGACAGTGGCACCGCAAGCGCCACCAAACGTGGGTGTCACCAGAACCCCCAAAATATATACATATATATGTATGTATGCATACCTCCATCTTGTTTAAGAGGGCAGAAGCATTGGGAGCAGAGAGGACAATGTGGCGAGCAGTAGCCTTAATGAAGCCTTCCTCTACTCCATTGTCAAACAATGCCAACAATGGATTGTAATATCCATCCACATTTAACAACCCAACCTGATCATATATTAAAAAAATCATTTTTTTTTGAAAAAAAAAATATGTAAAATAATTCATGGAGTAATAATAATAATAATATGGCTGATGGAATAAAAATAATTGTTAATTAATTAATTATATACAGGTTTTTTATGGATTCCAAGCTGTGCCCATGTAATCATTTCCAGCAACTCTTCCATTGTTCCATATCCTCCTAATTAACCATTTCAACACACCAAAAAATAATGCAAGCCTTAGAAATATATATTCCACATTACTATTTGCAAAAATAATAATTTTACAGGGATGGTTTGATTAAAAAATGTTTTGGAAGAACCCAAAACAAAACTCGCTAATTTTACAGGGATCAAAAACATATTTAGCATAGGAAAAAAGAGTTTAAGTTTGTGATCGGAACCTGGAAGTGCGACGAAAGCGTCTGCCTCCCGAGCCATTTCCGCTTTTCGTTCGTGCATATCCGCAACAATTTTCACATCTCCAACGCTCTCTCCCGATATCTGTCACTCCAACACATGACAGAACAATTTAATTTCTTAACTTAGGCCTTTTGCGCGTACGTTGTTATGTGGGATTGGTAATTTATACTACCTCCGTCCCATTTTATAATGCCTGTTTCGGTTTACGATGTTTGACTGAAATTATTTTCAAACCATTTTATATGACAAATGGTATAGAATTAAAAAATAAAAATTACATATTAAAAAACTACATCAAAAGATCTACAAAACTAGTAGTGACAATAATATTTTATTTTATCAAATTGCTATCGACAATAGAGAAAAAAGTGAATGAAGTTTGACCCTGTGAATAGTAAACAGACATTATAATTTGGGACGGAGGAAGTAGTATGTTTCATATAATTTGGAGAAAATTACCTCAATAGGAACCAGTGCTTGTGGAATCACCCTGCATAATAAAAAAAATAAATTGGAGATGAAAATTGAGAATAAATAAGGGAGATATATAGAAATGCATGGCACCTAAATTTGCATTTTTATTATTTCTCATTCTTAACACATAAAATGTTAAAAAAATGTTGAAAAAATGAAAAATGTATAATATAGAGTAAAATAACAAACTCCTTATGTCCCATTGTTTGTTTGACTTTTACGAAGTTTAAAAGACGTCACGCAAAGTGAACAAACGTATGGCTACGATTTATTTCTTTAGATGAGAGAAATCTTATGAGTCACATATTCATTTCTAACAAAGGAAATAAACGAAGTACTTTCTGAAACGTCCAAAAAGAGAGAGTGAGTAAATTTTTTTGAGAGGGTAATTTAGTAATTTACCCAAGAACATGACAGCCACCATCATAGACTGCTTTAGAAATCAACCCCATTAGGCCCACACTTCCACCACCATACACCAAGTCTATCTTCCTACTTACCTGCAATATTAATCAAGTTAATTAAGAGTAAATACCCAGACAACTAAAACATGTTTTATATATATATATATATATATATATATATATATATATATATATATATCAAAATATGACATTTTTTTATTCTAATATAATGTCAAATAATGCCAAAACATAATACTCGGAATAAAAAAACAATTTAAAATGCCAACCCACAGGACCTAATTGGGGGGAGTATACATAATGATTGGACTTAATTATGAAAGTCTTTGCATTTTAGTCAACTTCTATTATTACTTTTTATTCATACTCCCTTCGTCCCACTTTAGATTACAATATTCCCTTTTAGTTAAAATTAAGAAAGAGTCAAATCATATTTTTCCCCCCTAAATTACCCCCAAATGCCCCCAAATAGTGTGAATAGTGGCTGGCAGAAAAGAAAAGAAGAGGGTAAAAGAGTCAAATCACTATAAACTATAACGTTATTGACTTTGTAATCTTTTTTCGGACAAAAATGTTAGAGAATATTGTAATCTATTTCGGGACGGAGGGAGTATATCTAATTGTGCTTATAATCCCTCTTATAAGTACTCTGAATATTCTCGATTGTTCTCCGAGTAATACAATTATTCCAATACTTTATATAGGAGGCGAGTTCGAAACTCGACGCCACCCTGTTTTAAAAAAAATATTGTTCAAGCGCAAGGCTCGATCAAAAAACAAAATCTCGCCAGCACGTGAGGGGCGTGTCAAAATATAAAAAACATTTTCGAGGTCACAACGAAAAACTTAAGTTTTTGGTTGAATCGGTTCTTAGTTAGATTTCTTCAAAGAAAATGGGGATGAAAAGAATGGTGAGGAGGCAAAAAAGTTAGATGGAAAAATAATTAGATCTGATTCCAATAGAATATGTCCCAAAGGAAGAAGAAGAAGAAGAAGAAAACTTACAAGTTGATTGCCAAGCTCAAGGGCTGCATCACTGAAGACCTTTCTGTAGCCAGAGTTGCTTCCACAGAACACACAGATTTTCTTGAAATTATTATTATTATTATTATTATTATTATTATTATTATTATTATTATTATTATTATTATTATTATTATTATTATTATTATTATTATTGCTCTCCATTCAATATAATCTCTCAAGAAACACTTTGATGTTAAAAATCTAACCTTTTTTCCCCGTGTCTATAATCCTTTGAGATCACAAGCTTTGGTTTTATATAGAGATATGTGTGTGTGTGTATTGTGTGTTGGGGGGTGTGAGAAAAGAACAAAAAAAAAGGAAAAGAAACACAGACAAATAATAGGAAAATGCTAGGATGCCACCACATGGGTGCTACCATGGGTGCATCCATGCTTCGCACAGACAAACACAGACGATAATTGTCTGTGTCGCACAGACAATTATCGTCTGTGTTTGTCTGTGCGAAGCATGGGTGCACTCATGGTAGCACCCATGTGGTGGCACCCTAGCATGATCCCAAATAATAATGGAGGAAATACAAAGAGACAGAACAGGGGAGGCTAAGAGCACTAGAAATACCTTTAATGCCGGGAGGCGTTTTTTCCGATTTTAACGCCGCTGGCGTTAAACACCGATCCCCTCCCAGTTAAACCAACGTTATCTTGGAAGTGTCAAACATTTGAAACTGTTTTGCTCAAATGAATCGTTGGCACCCCCCGCCGCCCCACAATGGCTATAATGTCGTTAGTATTTTTAAAAAAATTCTTTTCCTCCTCAAAGTGCACCAAAAAAAGTACACACCAGAAGAGTCACAAATCGAAGGGTGACAAGCCGATTATCGAGGCGGCACGGTCCATTCAAAAGTGGATACCGGAGGAAGAATCGTTGTTGGCATCTGTTTGGGTTGACGTCTTCGAGCATCCTATCGTTGGTAAAATTTATATATATTTTAATATATATATTGTATGTATGTTCTTTTTTATATTTTTTAAATTAAATGTTCTTTTTTCATTTAATGTAATATTTTTATATAATGAGTTATTATTGTTTAGATTTAATTAATGAATGAAGTTTTATTAATTTAAGTCACATGGCTCCAAACCCATTTTCAGTGAGACTGTGAGGTAAGTTAAAGCTGATGTGGCAGAGAGAAAAATTTTGAAGCCCCGAAACTTCACAACCATTTTCAAGCTCTAAGTGGAGATGAATGAACTATGGATCAGCGCCCCGTGAGGGGGCGATCTGGGCTTCAAGTCAAGCCATCTGAGACACTATATTAGTGTCATTTATTTCTCTTTGGGTTCTATGACGAGCCATCTAGACTTGAGGTAGAGGTGGGTTCAGTTTTTTAGGTTTAGTTTTTCCCTAAAATCAAAGATAGAACGAAAGTTAATTTGGCAGTTCAATTTTTCAATAAAAAAGTAATTGATCGGTATTTCGATTAAGTTTTTTTGTGGTACAATCCTCGATTATTTTGGTAATTCAATTTTAGAAAAATATTTTTTAAAGTATATTACATTTATCACATTAAAAAATTACCAAAAAACTACAAATACTGCATTACTGCAAGTATCCATTAACAAAATAGCAATTAAACTCCCAAAACTTGCAAATGTCTATCCAATAATAAATTGGGGCAAAAAGGAGGCTAAACAATAACCAACATAATTAAACTTGCAAAAAGAATTTAAACAATTATATGTGTAAAAAAACTAAATAAACTTAAACAATTAAACCTACAATAAATGGAGACTTATGATAACCAAAATGTTTAATTTCTTTCCTCATCTTGGAACTCTTGGTGGTAATTTACATATTTTGTTTTTTGTGATTCGGTTCGATTTTCATAGTTCAAAACGAAAAACGGAACAGTTTAGAAACAATTTGGTTCGGTTTTTATTTTTCAGATTGGTTTACTTTTTGGCACAATTCAATCGATTTTGGTTCGGTTTTCGATTTCCCCACCCACCCCTAACTCTAGTTGGAGTTGCATATGTGCGTGTTTTAGCTTTAGGTATTTCTCCCCATGTGTGGGGTAATCTCTTTGGTGTATTGCGATACTTTTAAACTCAATAGAAACGATTTATTTCTTTTTCTATTTTAGTGACATCTAAGTTCTAGATTGGACTTCTGGTACCTATGGTTAATCTGCTCACATATAGGAGAAATTTTAATATCTTTGCACATCTGGTTCTTGTGCATCTGTTGTCTTCTGAGAAGATTCAAGTCAAGGTAAAGATGTGTTAAATAATGTCTTGAAAATATTTTATATATGTATCAGGATTAGGACTATGATTAAAATTATGTTTAACTTTCATATTTCTTATCTCTATATATAAGTGTGTATCAATATAGGATTATAATTGTTCATATTCCCTCCACTAAAGATATTGGTAGTCTACATCTGTAATTCAAAATCTGTGAGAAAAAGTCTCAATATGTGAGAGTAAATCCCAATATGAAAATCTATAGTCTGGCGAAAAAATTTTGGCCAATAAAATTTTTCTTTTTGTTCGTGCAGGTTACTAACACACTCTTAGTAAACCATGTTAAATCTATCTTTCTCGTGATTATCGAATGTTTACGTTCATACTTTCTCGAATCTGTCATACCAAATAATTTCATAATGAAAATACGAAGTATAAACTGAATCAATTTCTTAAAATAAAAACTCGATCAGCAATGTTAAGTTTACAAACAAAATGGTCACAAACTTCACAAATTTACCATTTTTAATTTATTAAAAATTATTTTAGACTATTTTTATTTGTTTATTAAACTTCACAATTGGTAAGTTTATGAAATTTGTGACCATTTTGTTTGTGAACCGAAGGTTCAAGATAATTATGCATCTTACTATTTTTATGCACCTATCAACAAGGTTCAAGATGAACTTACTCAAAAATATGCCAAGTGTCCTTAACAATTGAGCATTGTGGTAGCATTGTCCAATAATTGCATTTAAATAATGAAGATGAATATGAATAAATATGGTAACATGACATTATCCTCCCAAAAAAGGAGAAGACAGCAAAATCTCCCTTTCATGCGCACCATCTCTCATCTCTCAAACAACCAAACATATACTTCCACACCCCCATTTGGTCATGTTCCTAATAAATCACTTTTTAATAAAGTTAAAGTTATTCCTATGTTTGTCCCATTTTGATCTTTCATATCAATATCTTTAAATTTTGAGAACAATTTATAGAAAATATATTGAATTATGATATAAGTTTAACATCATTATATTTATCTGAAAACATAATTTTAAAATATCATATTTGTTAGTAATGTCATCGGCTATTTTATGTAATTGTGATTTAGTTAGAATGAACAAAAATTTTAATAGACGTTGTTAACGAGTTTGGATGTGCGAAGTGCATTTCGTTCGAAATTAAAATTTCTATAGCCGGGGTAAGAGGCGGCAGCCCCGTGAGCGGGGTCTGTGGGGCGACAACCCCTTATGGGGGTCCAAGGGGACATGACATCATTGCTTTGGAAAATCCTTTGGATTTTTGTGTATAGAGTTCAAAATAATGAACACTCGAGCATACAAATCAATACATTCGAATGCTGCGTTTATCTAGCGCATCCTGCGGGAAATTGCTCGATAGATTCGAATATTTGATACTAAACATTTGAAAATTCTGCGGTAAGTTGCAAGGGTTCACGCTTAACTGGAGAAGTAAATGTTCAATCTAATCCGCCATTGAACATTCAAACGTTTGAGCACCAACATTCGAACATTACCAAAAAGTTGGTTATTTCATCAACCGCACGTCCGTTCGGAATTTGCGTGTAAATATGACACCTTGGTATGTTTCGAGATACGATTGAAAATTTCATTCTCGTTCTAGAATATTACTTACGTCTTGTCCGATTTAAGTATTTTGATATACCCAAAATAACTTTAATTTGTAAGCCTTTATATGTGGTTCGTTAAGTTAATCAAGCCAATCTTCACATTTCTTGTATACCGTACTATAACGCTGTTTCACAGTGTTGTTATCCCTCATGATTCCTCAACAATCCATATTTTTCTATAAATAGATAGATTAATGACCAAAATGTTATATTAAAGATTGTCTAAGTCAAATGAGGAAAAAATATGAGACAAAAGTTGACCGATCCAAAAGAGTTACTCTCACGAAAATCTTTACGAAGTTTGCCGACTTAGCTCTAAGAAATTAAAGTTTTAAAAAAATATTGAGAATGGAAACATTTGGATTTTCTTCAGATTCGATTAAAGAGAAATCTTGTAAGACACATATTCGTTATTAGAAAAAAAAGTAAATAAGAATATATATTTTTGGAACGTTTAAAATAGAAAATTTGCAAAATATTTGGAAGTGATGTAGTAACTTTTAAACTCTAAAATCAAAAAGAGAAAAGAGGAGAGCCAACCCTCTTAATGATATGAATTTAAAGGTAAAACATGTTTAACGGGCAAAAACACCACTTATGTAAACACCAACCCTACCTTTAACTAATTTTAAGCATTTCAGTTTCTTTGCAATTCTAAAACAAAACAAAAAACATTCCCTCCACCTATTTCATTCTTCTCCATTTTCAAATGAATTAATTATTATTATTACTATTATTATTATTGTTGTTGTTCTTCAATCCTCAAGAACAAAAAAAATAAATACAAAAATCTTGTAGCCACCCATTCATTGATCTTTTTAAGAGAGGAGACTTGTAAGGTTAGGGTTGAGGAAAAACATATTTTCAAAATTTAATTAAAAAGGAAAAAAGAGAAGGAATTCTTTCAATTCCTTTTCTTCCTTTGAATCATTATATTCCTCCTCCACATATGGGAAGAAAACTTCCTCAAGATTATCATAACAATTATCATAACAATCCTGCTCATCGACCTCTTTTATCTTACGTTTTCCTTGTATTCTCTATTGCCACCACCGTCACCATTGTCACCGTTCTATGCGGTTTCTTGAGCCGCAAGAAAGAGAAGCGACGAAGACAATGTAACGCTACGACAACAGAAGTAGAGACAGAAAACAACGAGGACCGAGAAACCAATCTCAATTCTCCCCGAGCCCCTGGCGAAGCTTCGCCAAAGGCCCCTGAGGAGGACCTCCACCGGCTGCCGATGCTGCCCGCTGCGAAACGGGCGGCATCGTACCACTTCAGGTCGAGCTCGCACGCCTCGATGACACACAAAAAGGCGAAACTAACGTCGAGCATGAGCATGAGGGTCGGGGGAGACGCGGGGAAAGAGAAGAAGCGCGAGAAAAAGCTGAAGCACGAAGATTCGATATGGAAGAAGACGATAATATTGGGAGAGAAATGTAAAGTTCCTGATGAAGAAGAAGATGATGATATTGTTTATGATGAAAAGGGGAATAAAGTGACACCTTATCACCCCAAAACGTCTATAGCGTTGCAGCCATTGTCAAGACAAAGTTCCCACATTGATAATCAAGGTGATGATGAAGATCATGTGAATTCAAGATGTAAAATGGATCAAATGATTGTAATTGATAATAATCAATGAGGGATGAACATTATATTATACATACATTTAGACGTAGGAATGGAATCTAATCAAGTTTTTTTACAAGAAAATATAAATTGTTTCGATAAGGTCTCGTTGACAATAACATCTAGTGTCAAGGATAACACTCGCCTCTTTAGAACATCTCCGGTGTTCCATTTGCAAAATTGATGGTTCACCGGTCAGGTTCTGAATACTATGAATTAGGATGAACAAAAGTACTGGACTAGTCAAACCGGATCGATATCTTGAAAAGATCGGTACTATTTAGGACGAGATCGGTCCAGTTTTTTTTAAAATCAATCATCCAGAATAGTCTAACCTTTGTGAAAAAATAGGGACCTTTGGGGATCGGGTAGTTCCGCTAGGACCGGTCCTTAATATGTAAAATTCTCAATTTTTCGTTCTCCAAAAACAAAATAATCGTTAAAAAACTAGAAAAAACTTATTTTTGATTATTTAATATTTTTTCTATACTTTATTGATTTATAACAATTGTGCAACATGAATATTTATATGTGAGATGGAAGTTGGATAGAATCAATAAAAAATAAATTTGAATATGTATGTTTTATACACATGCCATGAGATTTTTTGTAATCACTTATTTGTAAGTTGTTAAAAAAACTATGTAAGTACTATGATTTATGTTGATGGGATAAACATATTCGTGTAAAATTAATTTAAAGTACAAACATGAAACATACTTCGTACATGTATAAAAATTATAGTATATTTTTTTCAAATACATTAGATCTCTAGGTCTAGTCCGGTCTCGGTCTAGTCGTTCGAAAAAAACTACCTGGTTGGAGACTAGTCTAGCCTTTCATAAAAAATCAAGGACCAAATAAGATTACCGGGGCAAGACTTGGCCGGTCTTAATGATCACTTCGGTCTCATCTTTTCTAGTCTCAATCCCGATCTATTTTTTGGGCCTTAGTTCCCGTTTCGGAACAACATTTTTTATTAGTTTTAATATTTTGGATAAAATTTTAAGGATATAGATTAATTCTAAAAATGTCATCGCTAAAGGCTACTGTCAGATACCCTTTTCAAAATGCTAACGATAATCTCTAAGACTGATGCCACAAGTAACTTTAATCTAATGAAACAAAAACAACCTTAAAACGTGAAAGGACGTTCAACATTTCTTGTGCTGGACTTCCACGCATCCCCCCAAATTCCGAAATCAGCTTCCAAGAATTGAGGACCCAAGAATCTTCTATAGGAGAAAGTCAATAACAAACGTACCCCGATCGTTATTGATCCGTGTTTTTCTATATCATTTGGGTATTCTTGATCTGACCAATTTTCAATAACAACTCCAATTGATTCTTATTATTCTCCTTCCCGATTTCAATTTGGGGATGGATCTTGGAAAGGAGAATTGATTCAGCTGAGATCTCGAATTGATCACTGAAGATTATTTCAATTTGGGCACTCTTCAATTCTAGGTGCTTTTGGAGCTGCGGATATGGATGAGTGCGACTGTTCTTGGCATTGATCAGCGGGGAGTTTAGGGTTTTGTGATCTTGATCCATTTTTACCTTTGTGTCTGTTTGATGAATCTGGCTATAATCAAAGAGAAGGATAGGCTTGTGAACCAACGGTCATCGAATCCGGGTGATCTCTGGCCGTTGGGTTTGCCCGTTGAGCAGAAAGTGTTTCGGGTTTGCATCTCAATCCACAGGTGGAACAAGGAGTTCTACATACTGCCCGGAGGATAATTGGGTCGACCCGAATTTTTTCTGGCTTAGTAAATTTACCAGGGGATGGATTCAACCCAAGATTCAACTTTGTCAAGTAATGTAGCAGGTTTCGTAGATGGGTCTTCTTCTAGTGAAAGAGAGGTTTATTATATTGATCATCTGCCCGTATTTGCGAAGGAGTTGATTGCTGGAGGGGCTGCTGGTGCATTTGCCAAAACGTCTGTCGCTCCGTTGGAACGGGTTAAAATACTTCTTCAGGTAATTTTTTAGCTCTTTCTCTAAATAAAGAAGGCGCTGTAATTATTTTAGCTTCTTATCCAAACAGGGAAGAAATCTGAAATCCGTTATACAAAAATAAGATCTTTACTTCTTTATATGTATATCTTAATGCTTGTATGATGTTGGTTCCACTTGAAATCGGTTCCTCTGGTTGGTTTGACTGAGTAGTGGGCCCTGCCAATCTAACCCCTTCCAAGCGCTTAGCCAGGATTCTTGGCCTTCTTGCTAAAAGAATCCGGATCCGTTTGGTTTTCTACTTCCAATCATAGTTGTGCTTTTTAAAGAAATTGAATATCACCCTTATAGGGCTAATTATACAGACTTGAGCATACTGTGTTTGGTGATAATGAGGTTGAGGATGAATCTGAAGGACAATATAATGAAAATGAACTTTTTTAGGACAATGAGTTTGATAAACAAGGAGGATGATTGTTTGATGCTTTATTAGTTATGTAATGCTATATGCTAATATGTTTGACTTTGGTACTTTGTACTCCATAGTTTGCTATAACTTGTTTGATTTAATTTTGAAATTTGGGAGTTCAACTTAACTTGAAATTTGAAGTTTATATTGTCATTAGTTCTTTAAGATTTATTTTTTAAGTGATGTTGTTCTGCCGTGTTTGAAAGTTTTGCATCATCATCATAATTACTCCGTATATTATTAGGGTATTCCTAAATCCAGTCCACTTTTGGCTAAATCCATCCCATTTGTGAGAATTAGACAAATCTATCCTTAAGCTAAGTTTACATGTCATCTTTTCTTATTTACACTTTTAAGGGTAAATTTGTACATTTACAACAAATAGAGTGGATTTAGCCAAAATAGCGGTAGATTTAGCAACACCTTTATTATTATTATTATCATTGTTATTATCATTATTATTGTTATTGTTATTATTATTGTTATTATTATTATTATTGTTATTATTATTATTATTATTAAAATTGAATGTGTTAATATGTGTTTTTGCTTTGCGCCTCATGTCTAGGGACTGCTTTTAAGCTCTAATACATCTCTTGGACGCTTCTATAACCATATATGGTTACTTATCTGTATGGATAAGGATGGAAATACATAGGATATAAGAGAAAACGAGTGAAATGTTTTCTTCTCTTTGACTCTTTGTTTGGATGTAGAGAATTAAGAGAGAAAAGTTAGTATTTTCTTGTAAACACATTTGCATATATGTATTGTGTGTGCGTCCCATAATGAACTTTTTTATTTCTGGTATTCATCCAAAAGTCCAAACAGAAAACTGAAAACTTTTGTCTTTTCATACGTGAAAACTTGCGTGTTTAAATGTGTAATACTTGTGTGTCCATTTCATATTATCAGACAAGAACTGAAGGATATCGCTCCCTTGGTGTTTTTCAATCCCTTAAAAAGCTATGGAAGCAAGAGAGCTTTGTAGGGTTTTACAAGTAAGTTCAAATTTGACCATTACATTTTCCTTTACACTTATTCATAACAAAGGGATGAGTGCATCACATTTGTGATGTGGGCATTTCAGGGGAAACGGAGCAAGTGTCATTCGGATTGTTCCATACGCTGCCTTACATTTTATGACCTATGAGCGGTATCGGAGCTGGATTTTGGACAACTATTCTGCGTTTGGGACGGGACCCGTCGTTGATCTTTTGGCTGGTTCAGCAGCTGGAGGAACTGCAGTGCTATGTACATATCCCCTAGATTTGGCTCGCACTAGATTGGCTTACCAGGTAAAGCACGAGTATTTCTTTGGGTTTTTATGAATTCGTCTAGTGAATTATTGGTGGAAGTTGCAATTTTTTAATGAGTTCTTTAATTTTTTTATTTCTTTATGTTCCATTAATACAACAACAAGAAACCGAGTAGAATCCCACATGCCACTAGAGAGGCTCTTTCCACGATACCTCCGAATCAAACTTGCAAATCATAGAAAATGGTTAAAGTATTGCTATTTATTGTTTTTACTTATTATTTTACCAATTTATAGGTTGTGGACAGAACTCTAGAAAATAATCCCAGATGCCAACGTGCTCAACCTGCTGCATACAACGGAATAAAGCAAGTTTTCCAGTCAGTTTATAGTGAGGGTGGGGTCCGCGCACTTTACCGCGGTGTAGGTAATGATTTTCTTGCGTATCTCTACCCTATGAAATCCAGTTTTCTGTTATGCTTATGCCCTAGCAATGCTATATTGGGACAGGTCCCACGCTTGTGGGGATTCTTCCTTACGCTGGGCTGAAGTTTTACATATATGAGGAACTGAAGAGCCGGGTGGCCAAAGAGCACGAGAATTCCATCATGATGCGTCTTTCGTGTGGCGCTCTCGCCGGTCTGTTTGGTCAGACTCTCACTTATCCATTGGATNGGATATTGTCAATTCACAGAAAATTAGATTCAGATTTTCCATATTCAGTAGGTAAATTAATCGTTTCTCGAATGAATGTTGTGTTGTTAATTGTCAGGTGGAACGAGGGAACCGTAGGTACCGTAGCACGAGGGAGGGGCTTACGGTAATTGTGCGCGAACAAGGCTGGAGACAACTGTTTGCTGGCCTCAGCATTAACTATATCAAGGTATTTCATGACACCAACTTTACAACAATAACAAACAAACAAGTCCAGTAGAATCCCACAAAATTAGGGTTTGGGTCAATGACCTTACCCTTACTTGAGAGTAGAGAGCTTGATTACAAAAGATTTCCGGCACAAAAGGCATAGATTTTTCTCGGAAACAATCTCTCTTCTCTCTTGGGCTAACTGTACTCTCATTTGCTTTGCGATATGGCATGTTGAGTAAGGTTGTGTCCCGTTCGCTTCTGATATGACTTTTGAGGTTTTGGTTTGATCAGATCTGATTGTAGTTATGTTTAAAGCTGTTTCTGATCTGATCTGATTTTAATAAGAATAAGTAATAAGCTGAAAAAAAGAAGTTGAACCCTAATTCTACACCTTTCCATCCATTTTGTATTTTTTCTTCTCAGGTTGTTCCATCGGTGGCCATCGGTTTCACTGCGTATGATGCAATGAAGGGCTGGCTTCGCATTCCTCCACGGCAGAAGTAGAAACAAGCGCTTCTTCCTCTTCCTCTGGTTAATAAACATGTGTGGTTGATGAAGGCACCAACTATTATTATTATTATTATGACACACCTGAGGCCTTTTGCAGGTCTATGGTGCTCCGTTGGCCTCAAACCGATTCCTACCCCCCTAACCTCCCCACGACCCACCCCTCCCCTATCACCACCTATGCTTCCCCATCGGCGTCATCCCCCGGCCCCATCCTCCGGGGCGACAAATGCCCTCACCCTCTACCCTGCATGATATCTTGTTTTTCCTTTATTTCTGGCAACAAAACTTGTCCCCAGTTATATTGTTATTGGGTACTTTTTCTTCTTCTTCTGGAAATGGGATTTAATTAGTGGAGTCTACACATTGGGTCTGTTTGCTATACAGAACTGATGGAATTGGAATTGAATTGGGAGTTCAAATTTTATGGAATTGATTTGGATGGAATTAAATTTTCCAATTTCAATTCATTTTTGGCACTACCAATTCCAAATTCACATATTTTTATGTTACCAAACAGCAAAATTTGAATTCTTGTCCTCAATTCCAATTCCATACTTTGAATTCTGTGTATCAAACGGAGTCTCAAGATAATTACAGAGATCTCATGTGTAGTTACAAGGAATCCAACTTGGGTAACTCTGTATCAAGCAGCTCTATCATTGCATCAATCCCCTTTTTCTCTTCTTCAAATTGCTATCGCCGTTGGTTTTGGTTAGGGGTGGGAATGGGTTGGGACGGTTTGGATTTTATATCGTCTCGCGTTTTGTCCTATTTTTTTAAACGGTTCGGAACGGTTTGAACCACAAGCTTATCCCTCTTTGTCCCTAAATATTCTGGTTCGGGTTGTTCTACTTTATCATTATACGAAATTAGGCATAAAAATATAAAAGATATAAGGCGGAGACAACCCACTTTGGCTTGCAAAGTAATGAAAAAATGATCTATTTATTTAGATTTTTTTAAAAAAGCCAAAAGAATAAGGAAACATGAAAAAAATGTTATAATATACGTCAAAAGTCAAGACTATAAATTTCATATTACTATGAGCTGCAAATTGGGTCGGCCGGGTTAGAACAGTCGGAATTTTTAGGTTTTTGGGTCCTAGTCCATTTTGGGAAAAACAAAAATTGTGATATTTCTTTATGTATTATATCTTATATAAATAAGTAAATAGATATATACATATATAAGGGACAATGGGACAGAATGGAAAAATATTTATATGTCCCTGTCTTGTCCCATTTTAAAAGGGATAAAATAAATTAGTTTTAACTAAAATCAATAAATATAAAATAAATTAGTTTTAATTTTGTTTAGTACTTCAATTTTTGTTTAAAGCGTTTGCATAAGGGGACATGGGGGGGTTAACGTGGGGTAGGAATGTTAATTTTGTGAGCGGGTTCACAAATTTACCAAGTCAGCAATCGAGGAGGGAAGGTGGGGGTGAGGAGAGGGCGGGGGGGGGGGGGGGGGGGTAGGAATGATTAAATCTGCAAACGAGTTGTGTCCCATGTCATATTATGACATTGATTTTTGGTGAAATCCATATATCAAAGTCAAAATTTACTAAATTTGACTATGAAAAGTCAAATAGGAGAATATTTGCAGACGAAGGGAGTAAAACACATGTTTTTTTCAATGTAGTACTACTTAAAGTTTTTTATTTTCTAATTAGTACTTGAATAATGTCTAGTGGCAGATCAAAAACAACGTCCAGTGATGGTGAATATTTAGTTTGAACAATGTCTAGCAGCGCTGGACATTTATTTGAACAATGACTAGTAGACATTGAACAATGATACTACATTGGAAAATAAAATTAAAACATATAGTACTCCCTGTGTTGGATAAGTCGTTATGTTTTAGTACTATTTAGGTAAATTTCTCATTCCTAAAACATGACCTCAGTTTGATTTTTTTGGTCAAACTGTGGCACCCCTTGACTACGAAATAATTATAGTTTAAAATAATTAAATATTATGAAAAATTGATATTTCAAAATTTTATTTTAAAATAAACCTAGTTTTACTAAATTTACATTATTATAATTAAACATATTTTTTCCATAATTTACGATCAAAGCGTTTCAGAGTTTGAATAAAAAAAATTAAATCAAATTGTAACAATTTTTTGGTACGAAGCGTTCCAAAGTTCCAAAGTTTAAATATTGAGCTTTCAATTACTCCCTATTTTTTAGTATGCAATGATTGGGCACATAAAGATGAATATTTGTTCATATTTATTTATTCAATTTTATAGTGAATACACAATATCCATGTTCAAGAATAGTTATACGATATTTATATATTGTTACAATGATCTACGAACTTAGAAATCTTTAGTAACAACATGCTAAACATATTTTTAAAGACTAAATTTCCTAACACTATTTTTAAACACATAATGTTGAATTAATTGAAAAGAAGAATATGAGATTATGAGACAATGCAACAAGATTAATATTTTCACTCATGTATTACATTCGCTCTGGAGTATTTTACAAATTTTGACTTCTTACAATCAATCATATTCAATCTTTGATTTATAATTAAATAAAATATAAATATATGACATATTAATTAGATAAAATAACATTTTGAAAAATATTTTTTAAAAAACAAATCATACAAATTTATTTTTATATCATTCTCTAGCAACACTTTTATTCAATTTATGATCAAAATTTGTCAATTTAAAACGCAAAAATTAAATGTGAACAAATACTCCAAAAGTACGTAGTTGTAATAGCCTTCCAATATGACCATGTTGACATAGCCACACAATGTTGTAGTACGTTACCCCATTATAAAAGTGGATGGGCATTCACTAAATGATGATCACTATACTACATACATAACAACCCCCACATTAAATATTGTTGATTTTGTCACACTTATAGGAGGCATACACTTTTTTGGTTACATGTTAAACAGTTTTTGGGCAATTAAAAAAACAAAAAGAGGCCACAAGCATGTTCAAAATACATTAGTTGCATGGAAAATTCTATTTGTATCCTACATTTGTTCAACATCTTGTACATTAAATGTTTGACCTAACATTAAATGTTTGACCTAACATTAAATGTAAGTGCAAAATTGATAATATGTCAGTTTTGCACTAACATTTTTTTATCAGGGTAAACTTTGGGGTACAAAACGGGGTAAGAGTAGCACAACCTAGTTACATCACACACATTAATTATGCATATGGTGTTGTTGGACAACATTGGTGGATCTAGCTCACAAAACTGCTCCTAGGCGCCTCCTATTTTGATAAACTAGTTGTCGGGTAGCTCATATTTTTAAAATATATTTCGAGGTACCCTCTATTTTGAGAAACTAACTACTGGTTACCTCATATTTTTAAAATGTACTCAAGGGTTACTCCAAATATACATTTACTTATCTGTGAGGGACATTCCGTCTCACTCTCCGTCAAAGCCCGTTAAGCCATGAATTTTAACAAAATAGGGGTTTGGAATTTAAAAAAAAAAACCTTGGTTCTTATATTTTAAGGATACGATTCATCCAGTTTAATTGAAGCTTTCGAATAAAAGGAAATGTCCATCACGGGTATGCTAATATATACATTTGGAGGTACTCCGGAGTTTTTTTAAAAAAATATGAGTTAACCTACAATTAATTTCTCAAAATAGAGGGTAACCCGGAGTATATTTTAAAAATATGAGGTACCCGGTAGTTAGTTTGTCAAATTAAGGCATATCGAGGCGTAGTTTTCTGGTCTAAGCTCCGTTTGATTCTTGAGGTAGACACGGTTCCAATTCTGAACTAAACACTCAAATTGAAATCGTATCGGAACCGATCCAATTGAGAAATCTAAACATGAATCAAAAGTAGAGAAATCTAAACATGAATCATATCGGAACCGATTCAATTACACCGAGTAGTCTTTTTGTTTTATTATGTTTACAGTTTAATACACAAAAAAGAAAACTAATTTTGGATGAAAAATTGTACTCCGTATTTTTTAAATCCAATATCTAATCATATTTTTATACTCATAGCAATAGTATATTTTTAAGAAATCTATCCTGCTAGGAATAAAACATAAAGAAAAATATCAAAGTAGAAATTCCATCTATTTAACCCCAAATTAAGACTACTTTCATATGGCAATTTGACAGTGTATATCGATATTCCATAGTATTTTTTATATTACACATTGACATTATTACATTGTAACTCTTATTTTAAAGATAAAAACATCAAAAATTTTATTTTGATATTTTCTTCATCTTTTATTCCTAGTCTCTTTCCCTATATTTATTTATTAAAAAATAATAAACGTATCGAAACTAGAACCTTCTAGAACAAAATCATAACTATACCAATCTTAAAAAATTATTGAGTATTAGTTTATTTGTTTTACACCCATGGATAGATGGGGTGATAAATAATTTAACAAATGAATAACATAACACATGATATATAGGTGGGATGACAAATGTAAAGTGAATCTTTGAAGGATGATAAAGAGCTATCATCTTTATTTCCAAGTCTTTTCTAGCCCTTCAAAAGATGAATGGAATTAATAGTGTGTGTGTGGAATTGCAAGTGTTATTCTAACAAAACTTTAAAAAAAAATAGTTGACAAAAAAAGAAAGATAATCACTTCCATGCTATTATCAGACACTTCTGTCAGACATAAATGGTCTGTCCGATTTTGATTTGGTCAAAGGACGGCTCAGATCATCTATCTGACAGTTTTGGTCAAATGGCATGAGATGTGTGAAATGGGGAAATGAATCAGTGGGTTCAAGTACATCACTATTGATGGATGATCTGCTACTACGCTACAAACCTGTCCAGTTCATGAACTTCTTAACCTCATCGTACAACACGAGCACGGAGGCCGCCCCGGTGCTCCGGAACACGTTCGACAGGGCTCCGCGGTAAAAAGATGCGGGCCCCTCCGTCCGGTATATCCTCTTCCAGCAATCCCACGTGCTCTTGTACATGAGCGGTGGGCCCGACCCGGCCTGCATCATCATCCGCCTCCGGACCGTGTCGAGCGGGTACGACAAGAGCCCGGCCAACGTCGTGACCCCCTGAGCCGCCACCCACCGCTTCCACAGCGCCACTTCCGGTTCGGCCGGCTTGCCGGCCGATGCGGCCGTCATCATGTCCTTTATGGTGTCGAAACCGCCGAAGTAGAGGCCACGGTGGACGACCATCCCGTGGAGGGAGGCGGGGAGGCCGCGGTAGACCCCGCGAATCCCGTCTTTCTTGTGGATCGTCCTTAGGAAGTGGGAGATGCCACGAAATTGGCGCGCGTCCGTTCTCCCGAGGTCGGCAGCGAGACGTGTGTGCGCGATGTCGAGCGGGTAGATGATCACCAACGTCGTGCATCCGGCCGTGGCCCCCGCGATGAAATTCGCGGATGGACCCGACAAGAGGTGGCCCTCATGGAAGTTGCTGTGCATGATGTTCCTATAGAGATCCTGCAAAACATAAAACAGAAGAATTTAGTTATTCATGGTCAAAAAACGAATAAATACAAACAACACCCGTTTCGGGTGTCATAATATGACTCGGAGGAGTCCCGAATTGGTTCCGACCACCTCAAACCCCCTCGGAAATCCTCCTCACCCCGTAGAACCCTCAAATGACCGCTGTCATACTATGACAACGAGGCTGAGTATCAAGACATCCTCACTCTAAGTGTTAATTAGGAATATTAGCCAGAAAAGTTTGGAGTAATTCTTCATCTTCCCAAAAAGCACATGTTGAAAGGTTCATATGAGCTAAAACTATTCAATGAGCTAAGGCTCCATTGGTTCCTCGGGAAATGCTTTCCTTAAAAAAATGTTTCTTGGGTTTTCATGTGTTTGGAGAACATTTTCCTGATATTAAAATAATGTGGCGGGTCGTGTGCATGATAGCTTATGGATAGTTCCATTTGAGTTCGCAACCGATCGAAACATAATTTACATCATGCTAGGAATTTTATCTTGGAATAACATTCTAGGACGTGAATGACCTCCGAGCATATTTTCCCTTTGGATGCCCGATCCAAACGAGTATGAGTCCGTTCCTCACTTCCAAACAAGGCTTTTAGGACCACAACAACAACAACAACAATGGCATCCGCGTTAAAGCTATCTGACGGTAGCCTTTAGCGTTAACATTTTCAGAATTGATCTACGCCATTAAAATTTTATCCAAAACGCTAAAGCTAATTGAAAAAGTTGTTCCCAAACAAGGCCAATAACAACAAATCCGGTAAAATCCCATGAGCGTAGTGATTAGGAAGCGTGTGGAAACACAAACCTTATCCCTATTTGGAATAACATAGGCTATAGGCTATTTCTGCGAGAACTTCGGCTCAAACACAGAAGCAGAGACAGAGACAAGGCAAACACAAGAAACACATATACCGACCTCAGCAACCAGACAATGTGCAAAGAAAACGCACACGAACAAACACATAAGCACAATGACGATGACCCGAAGGTCTATCCAATCAATGCAATCCTAACTCTCCCATAGTTCTTATCAAAGGTCACATCTTCGGTACGATCCTGAAGTCTTAAGTCATGTCTAATCACTTCCCGTCGATTCTTCGAGTAATCACAATCACTTGCAGGAATTATTTACAGAAACAGATGAAAAAAATGTATGAATGGAGTGTGTGAGGAGGAAGAAGAGTGTACCTTAAGGGAGAAATTGAGGGCCACAGAAGGGTAATATCTGATGACACTGCTTCCATTCCCTCTCCACAAAGACAGAAACCCTTCTTCCCTAACAGTCCTAACTATGCAATCCAACATGCCCTTAAACCTCCTCTGCCGCCCTCCGGCCCAAATCGCCGCGTTGCTCTCCTGCGTCTGCAACAACAGCTTTGCCCTCTCAATGGGTGCCACGATGGTGTGAACCACGCCGCCCATCACCGCCCCCGCCACGATGTCCCGGTAGAAACTCGCCCACCAGTTCGCCCGACCCGGTTCTGAAACAGGGTCTTCCCCTTCCCCGTTTCCCTCCTCCATTCTCAAACCCTAGCCCCCCCTCCCTCCGACAATATGGGAGAGATTCGGGCTCAAAGATGAAATCTTTGCGCCTGATTTCTCCGAATCGTTCTGGGTTTTCTTTCTCCTCTGAGATCGGAAGGAAAAAAAGAAGAAAGAATCGATTGAGCTCTGAGATTGATGACGCTATGCGCAAATACTGATGTATTGTCTCTGTCTTTATGCGATTCCGAGTTTGCGTGTGGAGTCGATTGCAACAAAGTGGGGGGAATTTGATCTCCTCGCCTGGATTCTGGTTATGGAAGACAATGAGATTGGGTCTTTGTCTTGGTAAGACCTTTTTTCTCTCATGATACGACTGGATAAACTTCTCTAATTTTCCTTTCAAGAAAAAAAAACTTCTCTAATTTTGTTGGGGCATGATGACAACTTGTCGCTGTAAGCAGGTAACAATTAACGAACATCAATGTCGTTTTTTTGATGGGATCATCGAAAAAACTTTCTTCGTCCCCCAATTTTTGTCTAATTTTAACTTTTGGAATTATTCATCTAAGCACTTTGACTCATCAAATTCTCTCAATGTGTACGTCTAAATATAGTCATGTGTGATCTTATTTGATTTGTCTTAACATATAGATTATTAATATACAATTTCTATAATTTTTTAATATACAAATTACAAGATAAAATGGATTAAAGAAGTGCATTGAATGGTGTGCAAAAATGAAAGTGGATAAAAACTGGGGGACGGAGGGAGTAAAATAGTACTCGTATCTAAAAAGTAAATTTTAAATCGAGTTAATTTCATTTTTTCATTTTTCAAGACTGACTCTGAAATTATGGTTGATTCTCGCAATGACGAGTGGCTAGATCAATGTTAAAGGGATTTTCTCAAGAAAAGAATAAAAAAGTACGAAAATATCAAAATATGAGTTCTAAGTCTTCTAAAATCAAAATAAGAGTATAATGACAGTGTGGTGTAAGAATATGTGTTGGCAGTGTGATGAAAAAAATAATAACAGTGTAACATATCGTTATCATCAGTCAATCGTCGGCGATATACGATGGGACTCTAGTGGTCGGCGGCGATACATGGCAGTGTGGTGGTGAATGTGACAGTATACAAATGTCAGTATAAACTCATATTTTAGTATTTTCGTAGTTTTTTACTTCTATTTGAAAAATTCTCCCTTAATATTAAGGCTTCTATTCTTCAATAAGAAATCACTCTAACTAAAGGAGGTGTATTCAATCCAGATTCTGATAGATTTTTTTGGATTCTGAAAATCCGTAGGTATTAAATTTAGAATTTAAAAAGTCATTTAAAATCTGGATGTATTCAATTCAAACTTTAAAAAATATTTCTAAATATGATGGTATTCAAAAATTGATGGATTTTTAAAGATTTTAAAACAAGTGGATTTTGATGGATTTTTATCCCTTGTGTATAAATACAAATCCAATTTCCAGTTCCAATCAAAAATCCTAAGATTTTGACTACTCCTATTCTCGTTCTTCATCTTCGCGTTCGTCCCTGCCCTGTTCTTCTGCCAAGTCACCAGAGCTCGGAACCCCGACGGAAGGCCTTCCTCGGCTCTGCACGCTACTCTGCTGCCGGGGTGCTGTTGGCCGCTGCATTCCTATCGCCGAGGAGGTCGCCATCGTCGCCGAGGAGGTCGTCTTGTTCGCCGTAAGAAAGCTGGGAGGAAAACAGAGGAGAAAAAAGAAAATAAAAGAAAACGAAAAAAGGAAAGAAAAAATAGAAAACGAAATGGGATGGAAGAATTGAAGCGGCGCGGCTAGGGTTCATGGGGGAAGGAGGAGAAAAAAGAAAAGAAAAAGAAAAAGAAAAAAGAAAAAAAGAAAAGAAAAGAAAAGAAAAAAAAGAAAAATGTAATCCTATAAAATCCTTTGACAGAATACATTAGAATTTAGTTAACTCTGCGTAAATTTAAAACAATCCAATAAACTTACAAAATCTATAGATTCTAAATAATCTATCAAAATCATGTAAAATCTAAATTAAATACACCCCCTAAGACTAAAGTATATATAGAAAGTATCAAAATATGAACTATATGTTTTTATTCTCAAAATAGGCGTTGACACTATGGTAATGTGACAATGTATATTGACATTGTATATGCATTTTAACTATTATTTCGTAAATAAAAACATTGAACTCCTATTTTAATATGTTTTCAATGTTTTATTTATAGTCTTTTTTTCCTTTCTCTTCTTTAATTTTATCTTTGTGATATAAATCACCCTATGTAGCGCCTTAAGACACCTAATATTGCACATATAGCACTCCTAATTATTTTTCACATATTTAGCTATTTATGGCGTGGATCTCTTACAATTATACCTTTTTTGATAATGTAGAATGGTCGTGGTATGCCTACACTTTCTGGCAGTGTGTTATGCCCATATTTTAGACAGTTTGTTATGGTTCACAATATTTAACTACACTTTCTCACAGTGTATTATTCTCATGTTCTGTAAGTGTATACCGATTCAAACACATTTTTGGTAGTGCGTGTGGAATGATCATGCTTTGGCAGTGCAGATACATGTTATATTGGGTATGACGGCAGTGTGTTATGCCCATGTTCTGGATGTGTATATCAACTTAAGCATATTTTTTGGCAGTGTAGAATGCAAGAACAAATTTGTATTGCATCCATACGAGATTCATTATCTCATAGCAGTGTTATATTGTGTATTTTAAACATATACTAGTGTTATGACGGTACTTCGCTCTTTTTGTAATTTATTACTCTCTCAATCTAAGAGTTATCTTCTCATTTACTATTTACATAGTCAAAGTTTATTTAAAATCTTCACCTTTTTTGGTGTTCATTTGATTAAATAATATAGTCATGTCATCTCTAATTTTGTAGATTTTTTATTTAACTTTAAATATACTTTCTTCAACCTTAAATAAATTACACTTTATGTAAAACAAAGTAAAATTTCAATTTTTTTAATTCATTTTATTTAGAAAATGGTATAAAAATAAAAAAATTACAAATCTAAAAAATATGCCAAGAGATTTACAAAACAATAAATGACAAGCGTATTTTATTTCATCATATAATTAATAAAATACACAAATAAATAAAAATTTTCATAATTTTTGAGTGTTGAAGATTGTAAATCATTGTAGGGCGGAGGGAGTTTGTAATTTTTATTTTTCAATTCGACATTATTTTCTTATAAAATGATTTGAAAATAATTTTAATCAAAATTGTAACGCGCAGCACGAAGATAAAAATTTTATACGGAGGCATAACTTATTTTTATTTGAAGAATATTACAAGGAATACTGCTACAAATTATCATTTTACAAGGCCACGCACTGCAGATAATAACGTTATGTACTAAGATTCATCAAATGAACATGAATCTAGAGAAATATCTCTAGATAGGAGTAAAAAAATCGCAGTGTTGCGTAAGAGTACGCGTTGAGAGTGTGTTAGAAAAAGTGATGAGAATGTAATATATGATGAATGTGATCAGTCAATCGTCGGTGATCCGCAATGACGCCCTAGTAAGTAGTAACTTACGGAGACAAACGACAAGGTGACGGTGATAGTGTGGCAATCACAATGTGATAATATAGTGAATGTGACAGTATAACAATGAGGGTGTGAACTCCTATTTTGGTCTAAAAAGTATATGACTCTTATTTTGATATATGTATATCTTTTTACTGTTATCTAAGATGTTCTATCACGAATATAGGGACCACACAAAACTTTGCCTTATACGAAATATATCAGATCAGACTATAGTAGAAAAATATTAAAAAATAAATGATGTTATTGAGTAATGTGAAGTCATTTTGCATTATAGGAGAGATAACTCTGCTTTTGCATTTTATTTTGGTTCTCTTATTGAACAATGTAAAGTCATTTTAACATTTTTTTTAATTTTTTTCTTGATCTTTTGTTTGTTGATCATCTAACCTTACTCGTATTCATGGATTCCTTAATAGGAGGACTAAGAACCATTTTGGCCTTTTTGGGTGAAATGATGAACCTCGATTTTTTATTCTCTTTTGATGTGTTATATATAGCCCATATCTCATGCGACTAGGCCCATAAGTTTTGAAAGAGAATATAGGCCCATAATTAAGATAGGTGAATTAATCCAATTAGTATGGACTGCTCTCGGCCTGTCAATGAAAAGTACCCCGCCCTTCCTTTTTAAAGGTTTGATTCGAGTTTAAATTTTGTGAAATTTACGCTAAATAGTATTAAATATATGTCATTTTTCTATTTAATGTGTACATTTTTTATTTTCTAAATAGTGCTTAAATAATGTCTAGTTGTGGGAACAATATCCAGTGATGGTCGGTATTTAGTTTGAATAATGTCCAGTGATGATTGATATTTAGTTTGAGCAATGTCTAGTGACTGTGAATATCTCGAACAATGACTAGTGATACTACATTGAGAAACAAAAACATAAGATATTGCATTGGAAAAATTACTATGTTATAGTACTATTTAGGTAATTTTTTTTAAATTTGACTAATAATATCTCTTAAAATATATTAGTAAAAATTAATAATTTAAAGTATTTTTCGATATAATTTTAATTCTTAGATTCATCATATAATTATGTATAATTAATCAAATATTTGACACGCATAATAAAATAGACATTTACAAAGAAATGGAAGGAGTAATTAAAACTTTTGAATTTCACTTTTTTGGGACACTAATTTCTTTTCAACAATTAGTCATTTTGGACAAAAGTACTATCCCTCCGTACATATATGGAGTATGTGTATAAAGAAAAAGAATATTTATTTTTTTTTAAAAAAAGAAGAATAAAAATAGTCCATAACTAATCCACAACATGAACCACTGCAGCACCAGTCCAAATTCCCCATCATGGATTGGACAACGGGTCGGCCCGGTTAATCAATCCGGTCGCCCACTGCCTAGCGCCGGTCGAACGAGACGTATCTACGAAGGATGACCGCCACGTGTACGCTGCCCACAGATCCGCAGAAACCCTCGGCTTATCCCTCACTCTGCTTCTTCTTCATCTTCTTCTCCCTTCCGCCATCCCTCTCTCTCTCTCTAGGATTTTCAAAGATCTTATCTTCTCCACTCTCTCTCTCTATAGCGCGATTTTACTCTTTTATCCTCCATTTACGGCGTTTTCCTCCGGCGGGGTTTTCGTGATGCTTCTTGAAGAACAGGGCACGCAGAGATCGTGCATCTGTATGTTGGGGTTTAATAGAAATTGAGTTCGACCCTTTCTAGAGATTGAATAGATTGAAAATGGGTCGTTTTTATATTTCAATTTCATTTTGTATTTTTGAAGTAATTTAGATTTTGCCCTTTTGGGAATTGGGTTTTTTCCCGGAGTTAAGTTTAGGGTTCTTCAGATTTAGGCAAATTCATGTATATATTGGGCGTTTGAGAGGAAAAAAAGTGGCGAAAATGAGTCTGAGGACGGCGTCTGATGATTCTGCGTCGGAAATCCATCTTCCGGCGGATATAGACTGGGAGATGTTGGACAAATCCAAGTTCTTCTTCCTCGGGGCGGCGCTATTTTCCGGCGTATCGGCGACGCTGTACCCGGCGGTGGTGTTGAAAACGCGGCAACAGGTGGTGGCGTCTCGGATCCCCTGCCTCGAGATGGCGAATTCGATGCTGAGGAAAGAAGGGCTCCGGGGGTTCTACCGAGGGTTCGGGACTTCCCTCGCCGGAACCATCCCGGCACGCGCACTGTACATGGGCGCGTTGGAGATGACAAAGAGCAATGTGGGGACCGCCACTGTTCGGCTAGGATTATCTGACCCCACCGCCGCTGCCATCGCCAACGCTGCCGCTGGTCTGAGCGCCGCCATGGCGGCTCAGCTTGTGTGGACTCCCATAGATGTGGTGAGCCAGAGGCTAATGGTTCAAGGTGATTTACTTTTTCTCCATTCTCTTTTATTTATGCTTTTAAATGCTTTTTTAACCACATTTTTAGATGTACCCATTAATAATCTATTTATAAGAATACAAAATCGCATTACAATATCCTAATAATAATAATAATAATAATAATCCATTTTAGATAATGTCTAATTATAATTCGAAGAAATTATTAGCATGTTGAATTGTTGGCAGCTTATGAGATTGATCATAAGATTGAACAGATATTACATAGTCTAAGCCTAACTTTATGTACCATTTGTCCATAAATTATCTTCTTATTTTTCTCTATAACTTATGTTTATTTATATACCAATTTGTAAGGAAATAATTTTAAGAAAGACAATTTTGCATGGTGTTCAAAATAGAAAGATAAAAAATGTACCAAATTATACGGTGATTATAATAAATTGGTAACATTTCACACTATTTCTAATTTTAAATTCTCATTTTAAAATTATTTTAGACTATTTAATTTTCTTTATTGAAGTTCACAAATGGTAAGTTTGTGAAGTTTGAGTTTCTGAACCAAGCATTTCCCTTTTTTAAAACATAATTCCCACTAATTACAATCATGAACTCTATCTTTAATCATATCAGGGTTTATAACCCAAGATGGTGGAGGTGGGCTGAAGAGCTACAATGGCGGAATAGATGCGTTCAGGAAGATACTCTGCACCAATGGAGTGACCGGACTGTACAGGGGATTCGGGATCTCCATCCTAACCTACGCCCCGTCCAACGCCGTGTGGTGGGCCTCCTACTCCGTGTGCCACCGCGGGATCTGGCAGCTGATCGGCTGCCGCGGCTGCAAGAGGGAGGATTCCGGCGGGTACAGGGCGGACGGGCGGGTTGTGGTGGCGGTGCAGGCGGTGAGCGCCACCCTGGCGAGCGGCGTGTCGGCTCTGGCTACGATGCCGCTGGACACGATCAAGACGAGGCTGCAGGTGCTGGACGGGGAGGCGGCGGCCGAGAGGCGGAGGACGCGGCCGACGGTGGCGGAGACGGTGAGGGAGTTGGTCAGGGAAGGCGGTTTCCGGGCTTGTTACCGGGGGTTGGGCCCGAGGTGGGCTTGCATGTCGATGTCAGCCACCACCATGATCACCACCTATGAGTTCATCAAGCGACTGTCCACCAAGAATCCAGAAACACCAGTGTTCTATTGAGTAGAGTAGGGGGGGTGGGGGTGTGGCGGGGCCCGTGGGGTTGTCGGGATTCGAACTTGGGTTGATCTCGTGTGGGACCGACCTCTCGACCAACTAAGCTACGCCCCCGGACATGTTATGGTTTAGTTTTTTCTTATTTTTTGCATAAATGTTACTGTATGATTTAGTTTAGCTATGGCCTCGATAGGCTGCCATATTGTTAATATTGTGAAATGAAAGAAATGCAATAATTGCGTTGTGTATAATGTTTACATGGGATTTTTGCATTTATAAGTGTCCGAAAATAATCTTACATTTAATTTTTCATGTTCAAAGAGTGTAAACTTTAAAAAAATACATTGTATTAGGATATAAATTTAATATAAATAAATTTATATTAAAATGTACTTTTGATATGTCAAATTTTTATAAAATATATCTATATATAAATATAGATATTAATAATCAAAGTGTAAAAAAAATATAAAATCGTAAAAAGTCAAATGAAAAGATTATTTTTGGATGGAGGTAGTAATTATATTAAGGCCATAGTTTTAATTACGAAAAAAAGATGAGCTCCATCTCTGGGTGTTCTCTCAGGCGTGGCTGATGGTCATTTAGAATAGATAATTAAACTTTGATCATGTATTGGTGTCAAATAATAGAAATTGTATCTGGTACTTGCATAAATTCTATATTTAGCATAGTTTCTTCTCAGCACAATTGTTAATAATGGAACACGGGATTTATCGCATTGAACTTCTTTTGCCTATTGGCAACGACACATAGTTTCATTTACGTTGAGGATAGGGTTTTACTCTCTTTTTCAAATTAATCTTTCTCCTTTATCTCTATTATTTGTAGTAGGTACATTCCGTAACTATTTAAGACTTCTGTAAAATAACAACCCAGTTAAATCCCACATGAATAAGATTTGGGGAGGGTGTGTGTACGCAAACCTTATCTCTACTCGAAAGTAGAGAGGTTGTTTCCAAAGAGACCCCCGACTCAACGTCAAAAGTTGCATTGCTTGACTAACAGCTACTTCATTAATTAAAGAAGCACAGACAATTTAGAGATCCATTTTGATTTATTCTATCATACCCCAAAGCCAAAAAATGGTGAAATTTTGGCTCCATCAGAGATGATGGAAAGACTTCTGTAAAACTTGTATCGTAATTAAAATTTGATCTTTTGAAAAGTAACATGCAAAAGGAGTAATAATTTGTGGAATATGTTTAATAAATCATTTTTTAGATTATTAATGAATTGACAAATTGAAGAGACAGATAATGACAGCTTCACCAATCCACATTTTAAGGATCATGCTACATTTACACCAAAAATTGTACCCCATTTGTACACCGTAATTATACACAAACATTTTGATGGTTTACACCGACACAAATGTTGGTGCGTTAACAAAAAGGGAGAAAGACCAAACTAGGACTAAAACATTGAAAATATACCAAAATAAGACTTCCATGTTTTTATTCCCGAAATAGGACTTACATTACCAAACATGGTCATATACATTACCAAAAAAGTATAGTAGTTTGCACATGTACACTGCCACATTACCACAATGTAAAGTCACATTACCACAATATAAAGTCACATTACCACGGTGCAAAGTCCTATTCTGGGAAAAAAACATGAAAGTCCTATTTTGGTACTTTTCTCTATGTTTTAGTCCTATTTAGGATGATTTCTATAACAAAAATTTACACAGATACAAAGTATTGGCGTGTTAACAAAAATTAATTTTGCACCAACACAAAATATTGGTGCAAAACTGCGGGGTACAAAAGTTTGGGGTACAAGTAGCTTTATCCACGTTTTAATGCAATGTGGCACCTACATACACCATTTTATCCAACAATTGATAAATGGAATATTAAATTAGAAAATGAATTTTAATGAGTGCTATGGGACACCACCCTTCAACATTTATGCATTATAGGGCCAGCAGCAACAACAAATAAAATCTTAAAGTAGGGTTGTCAAACACGTTAATCCTAGGACTTAGGGTTGAATCCCGACAGCGGCAGAGTTCTATTATTTGTAACAACTCCTTTTACACACCGGACACAAGACAGCCTCTCTAAGAACCAGATTGAAATTATACCATGACTTACCCCTCATAATCCTATCGGGTCAGGGTATGAGGCGCCCGGGGTGGCATTCCACCTTTAAAAAAATGTTAGGTCTGAAAGGAATATGTATGTATGTGTGTGTGTGTGTATGTCTTTGTATGTATGTATGTGTATGTGTGTCTATATATATATATATATACACACACACACACACACACTGAAAATAGAATCAGCTAAAATTAGATAAAAATTATGATTGTTACAAATGCAAATCATTCAAAGCTCAAGTGCATTGGGAAATCAAGAATTAAGGGAATTCCTCTTCTTATATAAATAGTAACCAAACCTCTACAAACAACACATTTCAAAAGCCTCCAAACATGAATACCCTTTCTTAATTGGTCCAAGCAAATTTTGGGTGTGTGTTTTTTTTCTCTCCTCCTCTTCTTCTTCCTCCTGCGGGCGGGGTTATGGCCCCACGCGAGCTCTCTTGTTACTGCAAGAGGGGCATTTGTACTGTTTAATATGCTCGGCACGGGCGGGAGTGATCTTCACGCACTTGCCATGGAACCACGTTTCACAAATGTCACAGCAGATCCAGAACTCGTGGTTCGCGTAGCTCTCCCCGCAGGCCCCACACTGTGTCTCCCCCTGCTCTTCATCCTCCTCCTCGCCGTCGTCGTCATCATCATCTTCTTCCTCTTCCAGCCCTGCCCCACCATCATCTTCGTCATCTTCCTCCACGCGTTTTTGTTGAGGTTTTGGGTACTTGCTCTGGTTCATATGACCCCATTAATGGCAATCAAAAAGACTCATCAAGATGTCATCAAACATAATGTAGGCAGAAAAGGTTTCCTACATTCCCTCTCTTACGCTATGTTTGGCTCAAAAATTTTGACAGGGAAACGAAAGGAAAATGAGATGGAAAACAATTTTTCTTGTTTGTTAGAGGAAAAGAAAAGAAAAGTGGAAATCAAAATGTATTAAGAAAAGGGAAAACAGGATTCCTCCTATTTTGGTGAGATATATTGAGAGAAAACAATTTTCTTTTCCTTCCGAATTCCTTGGAATCAAACATAGTGTTAGAATATACGGAGTAACTTTTCATGAGCCTAAAAGCACAAGCTTGAGTTCTTGGTTGAATAAATTCCTTGACACCCACTCATGTAAGGGTTTGAACCCGCGACTTGTAGGTCAAGAAGGCTTTGATACCATGTCAAGGAACCAATTTGACAAGACTTTGGTTGACCTGGATCTTTACGGTTCTGGATACGAGTTCCAACTCGACCCATTCACACGTTTGAATATGGGAGGGGAGGAAATAGTACCTTAGAGTTAGAGTTAGATTTGGACTTGTTGCTGTCGTGGGTTGTCTTCTCCTTTTGTTGTTTCTTAGCTGTCCCTGTCACGACCTCAAATATTGTGGGGAGGTCGTTTATCATATTGAACAACCGCCTTCTGCACAATTCAAGACCGAGATGACCTCAACCGTGACATGGCATAAGCTCATAAATTATGAAACTAATACATATATACAATTCATATAAGCATTTTTTCATAGTAAAACTAAAGAAAGGTATGAACTTTTGGCTCTACGACTATTGGGTCACTCTCACTATGAGTTATTGTCATCGAATTTCAACTTTCCTACTTTTGGTGTGTGATTAAGGATTTGTTTCCACTCTTTTGTCCTTCTCTATCCCTCCCAACCAATTTCTATACAATTTGGGACTTGATATTTGCGAGATAAACGACGGGAAAGGGCAAAAGGTGTCAACAAATCCAGTCATCCAGCAAAAGTGGAAATAATTCAATTTGAGGACCAAAAAGAGAAATTTTCAAGCATGAAAATACAGAATTATACCTATCAGCTTTGTCGAACCCAAATCTTGCACCAAAATAGAAAGAAACAGAAAGTAACCATGCATCACTATGCACCGCAACCAAAGAAATCCAATCCTTTTCCTGCATTCCGTCTCGGGCAAAGTTAATTCCCAAAGCAGGTTCCGGAAGCTCCGGGGGTACCTCTTCAGCTGGTATATTCACTTCCCATTGTTCACTTGGGAATCCGTAAAGGCAAAGGTTTTCCTTCTCTGCAAATAAATACCAAAAGTTTAAGGATCTTTTAGAACTTGGAGAATATTGGGTAACATGTAGATAAAGTAGAAAGATAGGGGATGACAGATTGGTTTAAACTCATTAAGAGCTTCTTTTTAAAAATGTTCAAACACACTTATTTATCTATTTCTATCATATTAGGACTAAAAAATCTAAACACATACTCTGTATTAACTTTACAAACACATACCCCAAAGTCACCTAGTGTTCCTTTGAACTAAAAGCGTGACTTCTAGACAAAGATTTCAAGATCCGGCATGCATTAAACAAACGAACAAAACAACTCATTGTAATATTTAAACATGAATAAGCTACACATAGAACCAAAAATGGTTCATATAATGTACCGATTCCATAGATCTAAAGGTCAGTGATTGGATACTTCTGCCATACAAAAAGTTTAGTAACAGAAGTCGAATGTTATAACAACATTGTCATACTGAAGTTAGCCACGACGACTTCATCACATTTCCATATGTCAATATATAATTTCATCATTTCCCCCTTTTCCAAAGTACCAAGTTTGCTCTACCAGAAATGTTTTTTGACCTCATTTTTTTCATTAACCTGATAAAGAAACGCTCAATCAACTCGATAGCTGAAATTTCGTGTTTGTGTGGACACAAAATCACATTTATAAATGTGAATTTGGGTTCAGCTAGACACATATTAAGCTTTCAGTCCAAATATATAAAATATGCAACAAAGCTCTCTGGAATAGAATGTCTAGGATCCCACATCCCCACACAAAACTAACAGGCAAAATTCACCCTAGAATATGAGAAATTTCCCAAAAACATCCATAAAACTCCTCAAAAAATGTATTTTGAATAATTAAGCAAACAGAACGCCAAAAAAATTCTTTTAAAAAATTAAATCTTTACAAAAAATAAATCTTTAAGAAAAATTTATCGTTGTGTGATTAAAATAAAATAAAAGAAAGAAAGAATTTTAATGTGGGTTATACCTGGATCACACTGGTGGAAAAATTCTTCAACATCTGCAAGAACCCATCAGAGAAAACCCAGTAAATTACTCGTAATAAAAATCCACTCAAAATAAGGAATTAAAGAAATGATCTTTGCCGATAAAATCAACGAATCTGAGCTCCATTTAAAGGCAATTGAGTGAAATACCAGTAGTGAGAGCTTTAATTAAGGCCGCCCGCCGGCCCTTGAAGTCCCGGAAAACCTCCTCTACAGTTCTTGGGCTGCTGTACTGTTGACCTCCTTCCATGGGTCTCTGACGAAGCTTCTTCAGCTATGGCGGCGTTGACTGTCGTGTATATACAGTACAAAGTATACATACACAGCAGATGCGTTGCTGCAGTTGGCAGAAAGAGAAGGGGAAAGTAGTTGGTTTGGGAGGGAAAAAGGAAATGCGAAAATTTTGGAAGTAGAAAGGGGGAAAGAGGGAGGAGGAGGAGGAGGAGGATGGAGAAGACAGCTATGGACTGTGAGTGAAAGATGAAGTGGATTTCATAAAATGGGGAAAAGTCCGGACTTGTGGTTAAGAGCAACTATAGCGCGTATATGCCTAAATATACACTTTATCCCATTTACTATTTATATTTTCCTTCTCCAATGCATTGTGTATACCTAATGGTAAAATGCACTATAGTGCAAAATATCACTCCCACCTTCTATTTATACAAGATCACTATTACTTAAATTTTTTCCTCTCTTTTTTTACTTCTCTTTCTTCTTCTCAATTTGCTTCACATTTGTCCTTTTGTTAATTCATTTCTTCATTTATTGTGAGTTAATTCTATTTCTTTTACATATTGTAATTTTATTCGTGACACTCTCCATTCTAATAATTAAACTATGAATTAAAATAAGTATTATGAATAAATAATTTTAGAATAATAAAAAAAATTAAAAAAGTGTATTATATAGAAGATATGATTGGAGTAGTTATTAAAAATTGGGTGTGTATAACACTGTTGATAGTCTAAAATTTATTTTACACTATCACTTTATACCCTATGCACTGGAGATGCTCTAAATGAATGTGGGGAGGTACAACTTGGTCTATAAGGTGTATATTTAACATTGTTGTTTTATGGTGTGTTTGGTTGGGCATAAAATAATTTCTAGTAAAATTTTGATTTCATTTTCATGTGTTTGGTTACATTAATGAAAGGAAAATATTATATGATTGAAGAATAATTTTTCTTGGAATTATTTTACTTTGGAAAATATTTTTCAATAAAAATATTTTACACCAAACCAAACACAACCTTAATTACAGAGTACTCCGTATTTCTCTATTTCAGGCTTTTCAGCTATACGTAATTGGCAAAGTTCTCTTTTCATTTCATAATAATTGTCAACTAAGGATTATTAGATACATTGGATTTTGAACGAATGTAGACTTAAATATGTCTATAATTATTCAAAATCTAATATATTTAATAAATCTTCATAGACGTTTATTAATGAATTGAGGAAGTAAGGTGTAATACTTTGTGTTAACATTGAATTAGAAATACTTAACAAGATTGATAGAATTAGTCATATTAACGAAAAGCATCTGCTTTTCGAGTGTGACGTGGATGTCTTGTAAGTAGATGATTGTGTGAAAACCATCACTAATGTGATGGTGGTCACCAAAGTTGGGGCAACATCGCCTCACGCGGGCACTATAATGGGGAAGGAGACATGATGGCGGTGTTGATACCCAATCACAGAGGGCATAACACATAGCCTTATACAAAGTATATTATTGTATGTCATTTTGCGCTTAAGGTATTTCACTTGGCTTGAAATTAATTCTTATTTCCATCTAACCACTCCATCCCTCTCTATTTTGGCGACTTGTCATAGTTTTAATGTAGCAACGGAGAGAGGACAAGAGACATGGGTTTCACGGAAAAGGGCTAGGGAACAGAGAAAGATTTTGGAAGGAGACTTAGAAGAGGTAGCATGTTTACGAAATGGACATTGTAAGTATACAAAGGCCATCCATAAATTTGATAATGATTATCAAAGGAACCTTGCCCAAGATATAAGAGGCTCTTTTAACAATAACTCAATAAGGATCCATGTCATATTATGACTGGTCCATTTAAACCACACACAGTGTTCTTGAATCCAAAATAGGGTTTATAATCCCCTAACCCCTATTGTCATGCGCCCCCACCCGAGCCTTCCCTAACTCCCTCTCTGCATTTTGCCAAAATACTATATTATGAAGGGGCGTCATGCGTTAGAGGAAAAGAAATCACTTCCGCATACAATAGAACATTACTGCTAATATCTCGTGTCTAAAGAATCGTTGACAACATATATTCTATTCGTCTCAAATTAAAATTTTCATATATTTTTCACAAAATATTTAACAAAATGAATTTATTTATGCAAAACAGGGAAATGAAGGAATTAATGTAGACCATCAACTTTCTTTGGAACAATATAAAAGGAAAGTTATATCAAAGATCTTGTGGTCCAATAACATCAAAGTGACTCTTTTGTATGAAATATCACAAGTCCAATCCCCAAGGAGGTGATAACTTTTGGTGGTTGAACAAGTTTTTAAAATTGAGGAATGTTAGGGGTATACCAAATCATTTGTCCTCCACTCATTTCTCCACCATACAATTTTTTTTAATTTTATTTGTTTAATTTTTTTTTATTTTCTTGCATTGTTTTGTGAGGATGGAGGGGGTGGGGGACAAATGGGGTACACCAAAGGTGTACCCTAACATTTTTTCAGTAATTAATGGTGGGAAGAAAAGTGTGGCCGCCAGGGTTATTTCATTGGTCCATGGGCCTCCTCTTTCAAACCATGTTTCCCAAAACTCCGCTATCTCACCGCCTCTGTCACAGTTTCACTCAGTTACTGTAGAAATTACTCCAAAAAAAAAAGTTCAATTTCCTCATAGCTGCCTCTGGAAATCCCTTCCACCAAATCTCACGCAAACAGGTACCTGCAAACTTCTTGCTATATTTATACTCCGTTTTTATTTCTTCATCTTCTTCCTTTCTTTTTTTTTACCAGTTAGCCATTTTCTTCCACCTTCATTAGTCTTTTTTTTCAAATTTTAAGTTTTTTTTGTGTTGTTATGTTATTTTCTTCTGCAGACACACCTTGATAGACTGACACTCACACATGGCCTTGCAAGTTGCATCTGTTCTTGATTTGCCATTTGGTCTGTTCAGATGCATTTTTGATTTATTTTTGTCATGAATGGAAGAGCCCCAAAAGATTACATCTTTAGTAACTGCTTCCAACTTCTTGGAGTTCTTGGTATAGATCTCTGAGTCCTTACTACAGGTAATGAAGAATCAGTGGTAAATTTTTGCTTTTTTACCTCACAATTGTGTGCAAGTGGCCCCCTTTTCTTTTTCTTGGTCAAAAATTCATATTTTACCAGTAACTTTGTTTTTTTCTGTTGTTGCATGTGAGCTTTCACCCCTACTTAAAATTTGAGAAACTTTTAAAAGATTGCACTTGTGTGGGTAGTTAAAGGTAGTGTATTAAAGACAAAGTACAGGTGTGAATGGTCAAAGCAGATACTATACATGGGTTTGGATTTCTCTTCTCATACCTCACTTTCATTATTCATTGAATTCAATTGTCTGTAAAGATCCCATTTTGTTTGGCACCTTATTGTCCTCTCAATGTCTTTCTGGTTACCAGTTGGGAAACTTCAATTTTCCCTCTTTTACTTTACTTTTTGTGGGATTTTTTTGGGTTTGTTAGTTGATGTTGCTTAATGTAATCTTGATGATGTTAGGTACTTGGTGCAATTGGATTGTGATGGATGCAAATGGTAAGTATAATAAAGATCCAAATACTAGCAATGGAGAACAGGGCACAACAGACAACAATGGAACACCAAATGATCATGTGGTTGTTATGATCCATGGTGGTGATGGTTTGAAGGATCCAAAAGCGAAACCTTTGCCCGATTCGCCCAATGCGTGTGTCGGTTCACCCGAGATCGTCACATTCAGCCCAACTGCCAATAAGCCTCCAAGACCACCACCCACTCCTACCACTCTCACTCGGCGAAAATCACTCGCCAGATCAGTGTACTCAAAACCAAAATCAAGATTCGGCGAACAACCGGTACCCATTGATCCAGACTTGTTTGACAACCAAAGCGACGCGTCCGCCCGTGTTTCGCCCAGCAATAGACCGGGTCCCGATGGCACTTGTAACACACAAAGAGAGACGCGGAGGACGGTCTCTGTGAGCATTACCCCCAAGACACCACTAATGGCGTCACCCGTTGGGAACGAAGAGGAAGATGAGAACGAGGAGATATACAAGAAAGTGAAAGTTAGGAACAATTTGAGGCTTAGGAAAGTAAAGATGAGAGTTTTAAGCGAATGGTCATCATTTCTTTTCCTCTTAGGGTGTTTGGCCGCTAGCCTCACGATTCATAAGCTCCGAAGTTGGAAACTTTGGGATTTGGAGTTATGGAAATGGATCACTCTTTTTGTTGTCACTTTCAACGGTCTATTGGTCACTAAGTGGTTCATACATTTCCTTGCCTTATTGATTGAACTCAACTTCTTGTTAAGGAAGAGGGTGTTGTACTTTGTCTACAGTTTGAAGAAGACCGTTCGGGTCTGTCTATGGGTAAGTTTGATCCTTGTCACCTGGGTATCGCTCTTCAAGAATGGAACTCGGAGGTCGCGTTTGGCCAACCGAAACTTGGATTATATTACATGGACTATAGCGTCCTTGCTTCTCGGATCATGTTTGTGGTTATTGAAGACTTTATTGCTCAAGATCTTGGCTTCCTCTTTTCACGTGAACGCGTTCTTTGACAGAATCCAACTCTCATTTTTTCATCAGTACATTTTGTTGACCCTTTCTGGGGCCCCGGTCATGGAGTCCGCCGAGATGTTTAGGAGGACAAACAGCAATGTGAGCCAGCTCAATTTCCACAGGACCAAGAAGGGAAAAGATGGAAAGGAAAAGAAGAGGAAGGTGAGGGAGGTGATCAACATTAACAAGCTTCATCAGATGAAGCGCGAGAAGGTGTCCGCTTGGACAATGAAAATGTTGGTCGACGTGATATCGAATACTGGCTTGTCTACTATCTCTGCTTCGCTTGATGAAGGCGCGTTTGGCAGAGAGTTTGAACCAGCAGCAGATACTGAGATTACTAATGAAGAGGAAGCCATTGCTGCTGCTTATCACATCTTTAGGAACGTTGCACAACCAGGTTCCAAGTAAGACATAATTTGCAGTTCGTTTCACGTGTTTTTATCCATTCCTTTGTATGTGAGAGGACGTGTTAGAGGATAAAAACTTTCCTTGTGTGAAGGTATATTGATGAGTATGACCTAGCGAGATTCTTGATTAAAGAAGAGGTGGATATGGTTCTCCCAATGATAGATGTTGCAGAAACCGGAGAAGTTGACAAGAAAACTTTGACGGAGTGGGTGGTACGTTTGTAAATATATGTATATATCGGTTTGTAATTCTATATATTCGTCCGATGTTGGGTGGGTCATAACATGTTTGGTGAATGCAGGTTAAGGTTTACAAGGACCGGAAAATGCTATCACATGCTTTGAACGACACAAAAACTGCTGTGAGACAGTTGAACAAGCTTGTCACCGGGATTCTAGTAATCGTGATAATCATCATATGGCTTCTGTTAGTGGGGATAGCAACAACCAAAGTTTTGGTCTTTCTGTCGTCCCAACTTGTCGTGGCGGCGTTCATGTTTGGGAACACTTGCAAGACTGTTTTTGAAGCCATTGTCTTTGTCTTCGTGATGCATCCTTTCGATGTTGGTGATCGTTGTGTTGTGGACGGTGTCCAGGTAATCAATTGCTCCATTCGTTCCTAAATAACTGTCTATTATGACTTCTTAGATACATTAGATTTTGAATGAATGCTAACAAACATTATGTATACATTCATTTGATTCTTAATCTATCTAGAAAGTCATAAAAGATAGTTATTTAGGAACGCAGGGAGTATATACTCCCTCCGTCCAAAAAAATCTTCCCAGATTGACTATTTTCTTGGTCAAAAAACTTTTCAAACTTTGACCATAAATTATGGAAAAAATATATTACTTACTCCGGTATCATATAAATTTAATATCAATAGATTTATTTTAAAACATAATTTTGAAATGTTATATTTTTTAAAATATATACTCCCTCCATTCCATATTAACTGTCTTTTAAGACTTTTATGATATATTCAAAAATGAATGAATGCAGACATAAAGTATGTCTACATTCATTTATTTTTAATGTATCTTGAGAACCATAACGAACAACTAAATGGAATGGAGGGAGTATCTATATACACATAGATATATTAAGGGAGTTTATTGTAGAGCCTAGGGCTGCATTTGGCATTAACTTCATTTTCTTGAAAAATACTTTCCAACGAGTAGCTTTAACCTTTAACTGCCACTGATTTCAAAGTTAATCTGCAACATTAAAAAAGTTGTCGAGAAAATTTCTTTGATTTATGATGTCCTGGAATTTGCAGATGACAGTTGAAGAAATGAACATATTAACAACTATCTTCTTGAGATTTGACAACGAGAAAATATACTATCCGAATTCAGTTTTGGCCACTAAACCCATTAGCAATTTCAAGAGAAGTCCCGATATGAGCGATTCCTTTGAGTTTTCCATTGATTTCCGGACGCATGTGGAGAAGATAGGAGCCCTAAATGAAAAAGTCCAGAAGTAAGTTGAAAGTGGTTTCTATGTTTTAGTGTGGTTTGACCCAAGTGTCTTATAATCACTTGAACATAAAATACTCATCTTTCTTTCTAATCACTCAAATACATCATTATATTGATTCACTTTTTCAGGTACTTGGAAAAATCGCCGCTTTGGTATCCTAATCACAACATGGTGGTGAAGGAGATCGAGAGCATGAACAAAATGAAGATGGCCTTGTTTTTCAACCACAAGATGAACTTCCAAAACTACGGAGAGAAGAACAGGCGTAGAACCGAACTAATCCTCGAGATGAAGAAAATGTTCGAGGATTTGAGCATCAAATACGATCTTCTCCCTCAAGAAGTTCACATCGTCGAGTCTTCAAAAGCAAGACTAAGCTAGAAGTAGTAGGGAAAAGGACACTAATCCCACTATATTCTTCCCCTTACATTAGCGGTAAGTTTTAACCTTTCTTTAAGACGAACTTTAGTCATCAATTACATTAAATTTGCACCGTATTTTAACATAATGAAATGATTCTTCGAAAGTCTTCTCCATTGTAAGGATGCATATCTATAGCTGTAAACATGTTTTTTTTGAAGGTGTTCCAATTTTCGTGGTCGGTGAGAGCCTTCTTCTGCAATACAACGCAAGAAAGGTTTTTGACGAACTTCGGTCTGCTACTAATCCTCACCGATAGCTTTCATAGGTATGTAACCAAACTAAGTTATGATCTGGTAGATTTAATCTCTTATGGATATATAGCTTAGTAAGTTTAACGAAACAAGCTATGTGATAGTTAAGTGTAACGTATGTTATATGAATTTGATTAATCTGTTCACACTACTCGAGAAGCTAGAAGTTTAGTATTTTTATTATAAACTTCATTATTGCGTATTTTTGTATAATTACTCTTAGATTCAATAAATGACACAATAATCCCGGATTTTTAATTTACTTCGTATACGATAATATCGATACTTCAATGCAGACTGGACCACTAGTTTGACTTGGGAGCATCGATGCGAGCAGAGATGTGAACATATAAAATTTTTGAAAGCATCGATATCATTTATTGAATCCAAGGGTAATTATGTATAAACACGCAATTCGACAAGTAATAGGGTGAACTTTTCCAATTCTCAAAATTTAAATTTCTGAACTTTTTTTTCATGATTAGTTTCAATAGGCAAGCTTATTCAAAAAAACCATTTCAAATACAAAAATTTAATATTATTATTAAAAATTTAAAAATAAGACCATCCAAATAACAATCATACCCAAGCAGAGACATGAACTCATAATGAGACAAATATGATATGAGAAGAACAACAAAACACTCATTTAAAGAGTCCATACAACATATATTTTATAACTTGTGTCTACTACAATTTAGAGTTCATAATCTTCTTACCCCAAACAGTGTCATAAACCTTAATGAAAGTCCTAGTGTTCGGAATTCCGAAATTGCCCTCGACGACGGCGCTCAAAGACGTAATGAGTCGCTTCTTCACGTTGCCGTCCATGACGTCACCCTGGCCCACGAACTCGGCGTACAAGGTCGGGTCCCCGTTGCATTCGAACACCATCCTGGCGCCTTTGTTCACGCCGACCATGAAAATCTGTTCTGGTTTTTTGAGGATGGCCGACATCGTTGCCACGGCTTGTTTCGTGAACTTGTCGACGGTGGCTTCGTCGGCATTGTGGTTTGTGGTTACTATCAATATTGGCATTTCTTTTTTTTCTTTCTTGAATGCTCACAAGCTAATGAATTTGAACTCATTTCTTTCTTATGTATATATATAGGAGATTAGAGGCATACTAATAATGTACATTTGTATATAAAAAGGTCACCAAAGGTCTCATGTATGCTTTGAAGTTTCAACCCCTCACATTCTTTGATTTTGTTTTTTTAATATGCTTCGCAAATGAAGTCTCTTAACTCATTAATTATTGGTCTTTGTAGGGAAATTAAGAGTCAATAGTTTATTAATGGAAGATGATAAGATTTTATTTAATTGTTACACCAATTTACTATCATTCGTGTTTATATACTATTTTCGTCCCAAAAAGTTGTTTATAGTTTTACATTAGCCATAAGTTGTTAAAAAATATACTTCTTATTTTGTTATAATGCAAATTTAATATATATTATTGTGTTCATTTTCAGACTGGTTTTGTTATATCAAATTTTTATACCATTTGTTTATTTAAAACAATATTTTTTAATTTTCTGAATATATAGTAGTTTGACCAAAAAAGTTAAAGTGTAAAAAGTTTTTTTGGGATGGATGAAGTATATTACTGCTACTATTATTATTAGTGAAGATTGATTAATTTTTTTGTTGAGGAAATTAAATTGACGGATATGGAATAAACCTAATTTATATCAACTCCTATTTGGTAAAAATATTATGGGTGTATTTAATTTTTTACTTGTTTTGAGACAAATTGTTATTATGGATGTGTGTGTGTGTGTATCTGTTTGATGAATTTTGGAAGATTGATAAGAAATAAGTTGTGAACTTTATAAGAAGGGATATGACTTTTGAGATCTGCTGATGAAATGAAAGTGTGAAGAGATTAGAAATGAACGTTTTAGTACGAAAATTTTAATTTCTAATTCAACTCTTATCCAGAAATAAATTGAATTAAAAATAACTTGAGTCAAAATCATAAATTGAATCAGACAATTTAATTTGGGACGAATGAATCCGAGTATGATTTAAGAACAAAACAATCCCATTTAAAAGCTAATTCTTCAGTTTTTTTAAGTGATGATTATAATTGTTTTTTTTATCAATTATCAAATACTTTTTTATAATTATCAAATAAATTTTTATTTATAATGAAAATTATAATGTTTTTCAGATTGTAGATGAAAAAAATTTCAGTAAAACAATAACTTCATGAACAAATATTTAAAACGCTTTCTTTGGGGGTACAAAATGCAATTAAGGGGTCAAACACTAAACAAAGATTAGTGAAAGGATTTTGACCATTAAAGAGACCTTTCATATGCCCTAATCACAAATCAAAGAAACCACGTACTTGGACATTAATCAAACTGCAAAGTAACACAACATTACTTAAGTCTTAAAAACAAAGAGGAAAATCCTGCAGAACACAAAATAATACTAAGCCCTCAATTAAGCACATATCTATTTTTGCTTCTTCTTTAATTTTGATGTTTTCTTTTGATAATTTGTCATCCATGTCATGTACATCCTCCATGTATTATCAATACCAAATATCATGTAAATATATCTCGCGTCTCGATCAGTTCTTGAAGTCCAACAACCCGTGCCCGGGAATGAACCTCGCGTTCTCCTCGGTGTACACATGCGTCTCATTCTTCAGCCTGCAGATCGAACAAACACCGTACATAATATCTTTTGTATTGTTAAAAAAACATCCATTTTTTGTACGTTGCGCGTTAGTTAATTGGTCAAAAATATTTTTGGTCAAACCTAGTACATTAAAATGAGAAGTTAACTAGTTTTTTTTTTGGATGGAGGGCGTACTATTAACTGATGAATAATACTCCCTCCGTTTCTTAAAACTCTTCCTCTTTCATTTTTTTTTGTTTTTCTTAAAACACTTTCCTTTTGTATTAAAAAAACCACTTTTACCCCTACTTTTTCATACCCTACCTATCACATCATACTTTTTCACTAACAGCTAAACTATCACATCTTACTTTTACCCATCAATCACATCAAGGGCAAAATTGGAAAATCAACTACAATTTAACACTTCCTTATTTCCCCCCTTTTGAGAAATAGAGGGAGTATATTGAAAGTTGAGGTTTATAAGTTTGTACGTGTTTGCGACGGTCTTGTTCAGGATGGTGGAACTGTAGAATGAAGAGCCATTGAGATATAGGAGCTCCCCCTCAACTCTCTCTGCAATTCTCGCGTCGAGTTTCGCGGAATCTATGCATAATGGCTCGTCTGAGGCCTACAAAATCATTAATCTCTATTTCAGCCTGTCGTAATAATTGTACCCGTTAAACTCGACAAAATAAATTAGAATTGGGAGTGTGCGAACCATAACCCATCCCCATGTATCAGCAAAGGATGGGACATGTGCTGTGAAAGCAATTACATCTGCATTCACATGAAAAAAGGAAAAATAAAAATAAAAATATTCCCAATTTACAACAAATAAGGCCTTAATTAGTAGACGACTTAAAATATTTTTACCAAACATGCTCTTGAAGTATACTTACGGTTAAAAACGTGTTTGATCGTGTTGTAGATAGATGAAAACACTTCGGTGTGGGTGAAAACTCCAGCGGGCCCCGCCTGTTCGATACAAAAAAAAACATTTGTACGCTTTATGATTTTTGTGATTCATCAAAAGTGGGATAAACCTGGATTATTATTAAGCTTTGGTATTACCTGAGTAACAAAGATTCCATGATGATTAAGCTTGGGCTTAACAACATTTTGATAGAAAGATTTGGTGTAGAGTTGATAGCATGGCCCTCCCTCCACTGGGTCTGCCAAATCTCCCACTATCACATCATATTTCTCTCCCTTCTTCTCTAGCTCAGCCCTTCAAAATTCACCCCATATTTATTCACCAAATAACTAATTATTTAATAATAATTATATAATTATCTTAAAATAATACTAATAATAGTAATAATAATGCCACTAAACATGATATGCGTGAAGAAAATGAAAAGAGTAGGCCCAATGGGGCAATTATCATGAGACTACGGAGTGTTTGATTTGGAAAGCCCAATGGGCCCTTCAGACGGCATCTTGGAAGACCAGATTAATAAGAGTAGGCCCAACACGGGGACATTATCATAGGATTAGACTTAGAGCATCTCCAAAGGGGCTTGGTATATGTGGCTTGCTATTGCTTTTCTTTAGCTAATGAATAGTGGTATAACAAGTCACTTTTTGCTCCCTTTTCCAACCATGACTTGTTATATTACACTCCCTCCTTCCAATAATGTTTTACTCATTTTTTATCAACGTGCAAATCTCCATGATTTTAAAATGATTTTATTTATAAATTGTTAAATAAAATACAAAATAAAAAAATTATATTTAAAAAACTACATCAAAAAATTTACAAAACAAGAGCTGACAAAATTTTTTTTAATAAAATAATCAATGAAAATACACAAACAAATAAGAGTTATCGAGAAGCCGTAATAGTAAATGGGTAATTCTTTTTTGGAGGGAGGGAATAACTAACAAATATATTTTGTTCCAATAACCATTATAATACACTAAATACAATAATTCTTGAATTGTATTTATTCCTGTTAAAAAAAAGTAATAAATATGGAGTATGTGTCAAAGAACTGATTTAACCAAAAGCTCAAACTTGTGGTTATGTCCAGAAAAAGTTATTTATATTCTAATAGTATCTAATTAAAAAATATAAAATAAAATATTTCTATTAAAAAAAATAACCAAAGAACTCTTCCTACGATAAAAATCACATTCACATTGAAAAAACAAAAAAAAATGTTATACGGAGTATTTAATTTGTGCAGTATATATCATTATAAAAGAAACTTACCTTAATTTTTGTTTAGCTATATTCTAGCATGCTTGTTATAAATAGCAAAGTATTTTCATTTTTTAGCAAGCTAGTCAAATTTTGAATAACCCTTTGGAGCATGAAATTTTGTATATGCTTGTCAAATTATAACATATAGCAAGTCATTTGGCTATGGTTGGAGATGCTCTTAGATAATATGATATGGTACGTACTTTGCATCATTAATGACGAGATTAAGCTTTTTGTTACGGAATGCATCATAGTTTGCGGTTAGGTGTCTCCGGCAAAAGTCAACAACCTCCTGCAACAACAACAACAACATTAACCCAAATATCTTACCTTTAATTACGCACTTATTAACTTCCCTCCCCAAAAAAATACTCCTCCCATCCGTTCCTTAAAATCTTTTCCATTTTGACTTTTAATTAGAAAATTTAAGATATATATATATATATATATATATATATATATTTGTGTTAATTTTTTAAAAATATCCTTGATCTGATGGGTAAAAGTACGATATGATGGATGAATTGCTAGTAAAAAAGTGATGTCATAGGTAGAGTAAGAATTAGTGTGTAGGGAGAAAAATGGTTTTTTTCTGAAAGAAGAAAGAGTTTGTGGGACGACAAGAAAGAAGAAAGAGTTTAAGGGACGAAAGAAGTGCAATTTATTAGGATTAATTAGCACAATTCCTTATTCTACCATGGATCTATGATTAAGCTAAGATTATTGATATAATATCTAAATATAGTGATATAATCATTCATTATTCAATAAAACTAATTATTATTAATTTGAATCACTTATTATAAAGAATAAGCTAGCCTGGTTAAAGTCAATAACACAGTTTGACTAAAAAATCAAATTATACCTGATCAATATCACACATGATCACATTCTCAATGGTTTTGTGCCTAAGTGCTTCCCTGGCTGCTGATCCTTCACCACCTCCCATTATAAACACTGTTCTTGGGCTGCATTTATATATATATATTGGCACCAAATTAATTAAAATTCACATTTTTCCAATTTTAATGGAGTGAATTGTACTCTCTCCCTTTCGCAAAAGAGTTCTGTTTTTTTTAGTTTTGGCAAATGTAATGAGTGTATATTTTGTAGCAAACTTTTCAATTTTACTTTTGGATGTGATCAGTAAAAATAGAATGTGAAGATTGGATTAACAATGAATAGAAATGATGCATACAATACGTTGGGTCGTAAGGGTAGTAATAAGGATAAAATAGACATTTGATTAGAAAGTTTAACTATTTTATGATGACGAGACGAGTGAAAAGTACATGAAAGTAGAACTATTTTCTGAAACGGAGGGATCGGAGTAGTATAAACTCCATCCGTTCCACAAAACCCTTCCCCTTTCGTTTTTTTTTGTTTTCCACAAAACACTTCCACTTTCTATGAAAAAACCACTTTTACCCTTACTTTTTCATACCCTACCTATCACATCATACTTTTTCGCTAATAACCAA